TGTTGGACATTGATGATTGCTGGCTCACTTCTCTGGAGTCTGATTTATTTGGTCACCAAGGAGCCATGTATTGTTTACGAAATATAATTACACTTTTTAAGTTTCCAGTCTTTTCTATTCTTATTCTATAGTTATTATGTATAATCATATTATATAAAATTCAAGAATAAACAAAAATACATATTTGTTACCTACATGACGTCTATATAACGGTGTCAGTATAATGTGAAGTGTGAACCTTTCCTTAGAGCTGTTTTGTTCTTAATGGATACTGGAGGGAACAAGTCTGAAGGAGTCATGACGTCCTCTTTAATTAGTTTGTATTTATTATCTTAATGTATGTTCGATAACAGAATTACTATAAACGAAGGATCAACAGTTCATTAAATACATACTGAGTTACAGTCGGGTTCTTGTTTCGCTTAACAAATACTATATACATGTGTTACAAATTCATCTAAACAGCTTTATTTTGTACATATTTGTTACTTTCAAGTTTCAACCGCCCGGTTGGTTCTATGTATAACACAATATATTACAGGTAGCGCACATATTATATACCTACTGTTAGCGTAAAGCGTACGTAATGGCGTGGATTAACAACTTCCTTGTACATAATGTGCATCAAATACAATGTTTAAAGTCTGAAGTAAGCCACAATCGGTCTCGACTCTCTCCAGTCGTTGTATGAACCGCGTCGTATAAATTGCGTCATTACAATAATCTTCTATTGTGAACCGCTAAAAGAATTTTTAACTTAAGAACCAAAAAAGCAACGGAAATTAATCGATTAATGCTATCAACGAGTTCATGCTTTAAATTCACTCCCAAATGTACCTCTCGATAAGGCCGTGGACACATGCGTCATGGTAATACTATATATGTATTAACATAGTAATATTTTTAATGATCACAAATTAAACTTTTAAAACCATTTGTTTGCGATTATATTTGTCTAATATTTATTTTATTGTTATTTGACCGTACTGTGTGTTTGAAAATTTTTTACATTACAAATTCGTAAATAAATATTTTTGTACTAATCAACTTCACCATTGGGTTTGTCTGTTTTGAAGACCTCACCTCATGCTCCTTGTACTTTGTAACGTGACATGCGGCAGATACATGTTTTTTTTCAAAATGTTAAAGATAATTTTAACAATATTAAGTAATCCTTGTAGTCGTTCCATGAAATATGTAATATTTGATTTTGAGTTCTGACTGTATGTCTACTTCTTTACTGTAAAAGTATTTAAAACAGAGCCGGTACACAAGTACACAAGAACACAAGTACACAAGTATAGGTATCGGAGTCGAACAATGCGTCGATAAGCGGATAACATGAGCATTTAGCGATGAGTGGTTAATGGTCGCTCCATTACCGCTCACAGCGTCCGACACGCGGCGTTTCACACGAGCGGTTTACACGAGCGTTTTAGACGGACGGGTTTCAGTTGAGTTCAAAACATAGGTGACAACCTCATGTTAAAATAGTAACAATAGACTGTAGGCATACTTTTGATTGTTATGTGTATGTATAGGTGATATAACTTGGTACGCTGCTTAGAAACAGAACCTTATTGCACCTACGATTTGATGTACTACACAAGTTATGAAGTCTTTTTATAAATAAAAAGATTTTGTTAGAATAGTATATTTTTATTGTAAAATAATAACATAGTAGTGTTAATAATCGTGTCAAGTTATTTTTATAAGACGCTCTCGTTTCTTTTTTTCTCCACCGAGCCATCCGTCGTTACAATCTATCAACCAATCGAGTTATACATTAAATAGCTTTCAGACCAGTAATGGGTGCAAACAATCGTCCTCAGTGATGCGGGGCGGGGGGTGCGGGCGGTGTGAGGGGTGAGGTAGATAGTCAATTTACTACAGCTCGAACATGGGCTGGCTCGACCGGGGACGTACCACCCTCTCACAGAAAATCGGCGTAAAGTAGTCTTTAAAGGCTGCGTTTCGTCCGGTGAGTGAGAGAGCCGGTTGCCCTTTCCCTTTTCCCAACCTTTCCTTTCCTTCCCTTTCCCACCTTTTCCTCCTCCTTTTCCCCAATCAAGGGCGCAACACATCCGCAAATCTACGTTGCGGATTTCCATGGGCGACGGTAACTACCTACCATCAAGTAGGCCGTCTGCTCAGTTGCCCCCCTTTTCCCATAAAAAAAAAAAGTAAACCGATCAATAAATACTCATACATGATATAATGCTGTTTCTAGCGACACGAGCCTCAGTTCAGTCATTGTTTGCGGCTCAATCAGTTTATTAATCACAGAAATAACAAACAAACATGAAACATTTCTTTGCTATCTTTATATTTATAAATAAACTAAAGGTCAATATGTGAAGAATTAGACTAGGTACTTGTTATTTTGTGGAGTCTCTTCGTTTTTACCATTTAACTTATTATCTTCTTCATTTTTTTATTTACCAAAAAGAATCAGTAGATACTTTGAAAAATTTAAACTATAGGTTTTCTCTTTGTTCGACATTTTTTATCGTTGAAGAGATTTTCATAAAATTTTCAATTGAAGATAAAACATAAAGAACTTACATAATTTCAAATATAATGTGGAAAAGCCTGTTTGTTTCTCTTCCATTTGTTTTATCAATTGTAATAAAAGAAAAAGATGTTATATAATTTATCGTAGGTTGTGTTTTAAAGTACACAATTCGTAGATTTTCCTGTGTTAGAAGTTTATTGAACACCTCCTCGATATTCATTTATAATGTAGCTACGCCGTGAGTTTTATAGTTTCTTTACATTTAATTTACATATACAAAACTTTTGAAACGACCAAACAATCTTTATTAAAACATTAGATAAAAGAAAAAATAAAATATAATAGTTTTTAATAAATATTTAGTAGGACGTGTATGTGAATGGTATATATGAAGAATGCTTTTTAAAAGTCACAAATTATGATTATGATCGATGTCGTAGGGCGATTTTCTCTTTGGAATATAAGTTATGAATATTCATTTCCACTAGAAATTAATATTAGAACCAAATTATGAAATGTTCAATTATATTTGTTATGAATTATCAAAGAGACGATTATGTACATGTTCCCTTATGGTTGTTAATAATACGAAATCTCACTCTACTTGGAGGCGCTGTGTTATCTACTTCAATTTAAAACAATAACAAATTTGCAGTCTTAGATGTGTACACTCGTTATAAAACCTCTTCAAAATCCGTCCGATCCTTTCATTTTAAAGTCACCAGAACCTTTTTATAAAATAAAAACAGAATTTATGTAATAAATAACCCTTAGCGTATGTAGGTGGTAGAGCCTAGCTGTGGTAAGTTACTACACATGAGCTGGCTTGACCGGGGAAGTACCAACCTCTTATAGAAGATCGGCGTTTCGTCCGATGAGTGAGAGAGCCGGTTGCCCTTTCTCTATTCCCACCCTTTCCTATCGTTTCCTTATTCCCACCCCTCCCTATCCCTAAAAAAACAAGGTTGGCAACGCATCCGTAACCAAGATGTTACGGATGTCCATAAGCGACGGTAAGTACCTACCATCAAGTGGGCCGTCTGCTCGTTTGCCACCTTTCACATTAAAAAAAGATAATTTGCGGCCACCGCACTGTGGGAACTTATAAAAATAAATCATATTTCTTTCAAAGGTTAATTCACCATCATTCTAAATATTACTGCTAGACTCGTTTGTTACATTTACTTTAATGAGCACACAAATATCTCTATTTTGATTTTCAACTGTTTTACAGTGATATTTCGTTGCAGTGAATGACCGAACAAAAGAATTAGTGCATTACTATTCAAGAGAAATTTCGGACATAAGGTTGTTGTAACATGTTTGATTTAATGGTTCTTATAATCTATAACTGCTAACAATTAATGTTAAACGTCATACAGATGCATAACACGGTGGTCGGTGAGCGACTTTCCACAACTGTCAACCGTCATTACAACCGATCTATGATTATCAAAAAGTCATGTATTTTGAAACTCGGAAACTTGGGCCTGAAGAAAATTACTTTTAAATCTAAAACAACATGACACATATAAAAGAGTTATTTAGGATTTATACACTTCAATCACTACAAAGAGAGATGTACTGAAACTCAAAAAACTGGAAAATAAAACAAAATATATAATTATACTCTTGGCTCGTCTGCATTGTATACAAGAATGTACCATGCTAGATTTAGTAGATTTCTGCTAATAAATATTACACATACTGTTGAAAGAATGTAAAGTTGAAGATAAATATTTAACATTTTAAAGAGAAATAGATATCTTTTATATTAACAATTGAATTCAAAAGTAAATTTAGAATATTATTTTGTCAAATACTAAGTTTTACAGACATTTTCATCACGTTTGCATGATCTGGGCTTGCTGTAAAGGAGACAAAACGTTTTCTAAAATCATATTGTATCTGTTGTAAGATGTTATATGTAGTTTCATTTTCATATTATGTATAGCGTAAAAGCAAAAATATTGGATATTATTAAAGTATCTGTCTGTGGTTTTGTTTAAGCCTTAAGAAAAGGAACACAAAACACTGTATGTTGTGTCGACAGAAGGTTCGTGGAGTTTATGCGATACATTAATACATTAGTCGTTCAACAGAAAAGTCAAATAAAGCACTTTAATATTTGCTGCTATGAACATTGTTCACGCACTGATTTCTATCGACCCTAATGATAAAAACAGTTAAACACACCTGTTGATGATTTAAATAACGGACAGAGTAAAGATAAAAGTTTTATTTGTAATTAAAAGATTAAAAAATACACAATTTGTCCGAGATAAAAGAACATTTAAATCGGAGAAAATCTCTTAATAAAAATATTTATAGACACAATCTAACTCTTACGAAACCACATAATCACAATAGTCATCTAAACGCTACGAAGGAAGGAGGTCGTTATCGAACACGATATTTATTGTCGGGAAGTTCGGGGAGAGGTGGAGCGGGTGAGCGGGGTGAGGGGGGGGGGGGGGGGGGGCGGTCAACGAGCGGACGAGTCGGCGGTGGACAGGTCGCGCCGGGTGCGGTAACGAGGCTCGTCCCCGCGCTCCAAGGACCACTGACGCCGCAGGACGCGCGACCCTGATGTACCCCATCTGGACAATGAAAACTTTGTAGTATTTTTGGCTACTAATAAAGTCAACACACTCAATGGATCCTACCGATCTGACAGGCGCGGTGTATCCACCAGTCCCGCTACAGTAGACACAGATGATCGTAAGTATCTATTTCGCAACAAGGTCGGTCCTGGCGGGCTGCTCTCCGCGGAGACCGCACCAGACCTCCGCCAAGCTGTGAGGTGAGAAGAATATCTCATAAGACACCATACTATGAGTAAGGAATAATTCTAAGAAAATCGAGGTCTTTTTACAAAATCTGTCGACTGTAGGAGACGGGTCGGACCGTTGCCGCTCCACGTTCTGTGTGAGGCCGGTGCTGCGCCCCTCGCTCGGCGGCTCCTCGGTCGCGTCACAGTCGTTCTCGCTCTCTGCTTCGAATAGAACTTCTTCCGATCTGTAAATTTAATCGATGAGAGTGACTTCAAGTCCGTTTCAATTTCGAATATTATTTGTTTTCACACAGCATGTAAACGTTTACTTCAGCGGCGGTGGCGTCGGAAGAGTCTTTTCAAAACCTTCTTTTCCGAGTAACCAGAAGGTGTGCATGAGGCCTTTGCCTTTTATCTGCGTGAGTCCTCGGGAGCGAAGCCTGTAGCCGCCGGCCGCTGCGAGCTTCTCTGCCGTCGCCGACGAGATCTGGATTCGCCAAGCCGCTCCTGTTATTGCGTTTAATAGTATGTAATTGGTATGATATTAAATGTATTTGAATTAAGATTAAATAGATGACAAAATTCAGTATATACCCGTAGATTCCATACGGGAAGCCGTGTTGACCGTGTCACCAAACAAACAGTACCGAGGCATAGTGAGTCCCACCACTCCCGCACAGCAAGCGCCCGTGTGGAGCCCTATGCGGAGATGTAGAGGAGACGCGGGCAGATGTCGAATACGAAACTGGCCCGCCAGGTGTAACAAGTGTAAGGCCATGGTCGCCACACTCTCCGCGTGGTCGGTGGATCGTATCGGCAGACCGCCCACCACCATGTACGCGTCACCGATCGTTTCCACCTGTTTTTAAAACCAATTTCAATCGTTGATCAATATTCTTCCAGTGATCTTAATCTTTATATATATAAAAATTTGGTGTCACGTGTTTGTCCGCGATGGACTCCTAAACTACTAAACCGATTTTAAATTTGATTTGCATTCCGTGTGCATTTTGATCCAACTTGAAAGATAGAATAGCTTACATCTCAATTTTTAGTCACAATATTATTTTACTGCAAATTATTTGTCTATTAACCTAAATTTATTGATTAAAAAATCGTAACAGATATTTCTTGATTATAGGGCGATACGAAGTTCGCCGGGTCATCTAGTATAATTATATAATGGAACAGTATTAACCTTGTACACTCGGTACATTTCTATAGCAGCGTCGAAGGTGGTGTACAAGTCATTGAGCAGGTCAACGACCTGGACGGGTGTGGAGCGCGCCGCTATAGATGTGAAGCCCACGATGTCGCTGAAGTAGATCGATACCTCCTCGAACTCTTCCGGCTCCACTCTCAGGCCCAGAATCAACCGCTCGGCTACTGTTCTGAAAACGATAATAATAGGTAATATAAGTCGACATAACATATAGTTAATTACAATTTATTTATAATTTCATAACTATTAGAACAAATGTTAAATCAAGAAATTATATCATAGACCACTATTACAGTTAGCAAATGTTATGTTTCTGTTATATTGTACTATGATATTTCAGTGTAATTTAAATTCTCGTCTCTCTCATGTTAATGTCAAAGTTTTCTTAACTTTAACCTCTATGTTAATGGCTGTTCATATTAACCTGGGCAGCATCCTGTTCAGTAGTTGCTCCGTTTTCTTTTTCTCCATGTCCAGTTGCTCGGTTCTCTCCTTTATCAATTCCTCTAAATTATTGCTATATTTCTCTAACATTTCAAACATAGAATCTACGATGTTGACTTTTCTGAAAAAATAAACATAATACATATTCATGAATGACTCCACTCGTCGTGTCGTACGTGGTGAGTGCCCTCACCGTCCTCGATGCATGTGTCTGAACAGCTCGTAGAGTTGTATGAAGTCAGGTCGCAGGTGAGGCTGCTCGCTCCAACACTGACGCGCCACGCTCACCGCCTCCGGGGGCGCCGCGCTCATCGACACGGACGGTCTTATAAGAGGCGGGGGGTGAGACAACTTCTCTATGATCTCTGTGAGTTCCATTAAATTAAAGCAAGCACAAAAAAGAAATCTACTTCACAGAAATTGTTATATCGTTACCTTCCGGTGTAAAAGGCAGCATACAGTAAGGCTCTCCACGGACAATAACCTCCTGCATGATTATAGCGAATGAGAACACATCGGCCGGCTGCGTTCCGCAGATGACGTTACCTGAACCGGCTTCACGGAGAAGCTCCGGCGCCGTCCACAGTAACTCTATAATCCATACATATTAAAAACAAAATAAATGCATATGTAGGAATATAAGATAAAAATGGATAGATGGATGGGCCATAATTCAAGGTATGAAGTTCTTTTAAACTGAATAATAGTTGAATTCGGATATAATTAGTCCAAAGACCAAATTACAACACCAGAATAATAATTAATTCGTTCTCACAAATTAATTATCCAAAGAGTCAAGGTTAACAGGCTAAGTACAACTAGTGCACCGCGCCACGTCAGAGCCAAGACTCCCGTAGAATAATCGCGCACGTCTTTTATACAGCTAGTAGTGGGGAGAGTGGGGCATCGAATCACGCGCTCGGTGGCGTGATCGGTGCACGTGTTGGTTATAGTTATGTTTAGTTGGCGCGCTAGTGCCGACACGGCCATGCTGACATGCGTGCGCCCTCGCACGCGCCTCAAATATCGTTCGACTATCCTGACAATATTATAGTGTCTGGTTCGGTCCACACTGACCCTTCAGAGTTATGGTAGTTAGTTCTGATCCGTCCTGAGGTCCTGCAAAAGATTTCATTAGTAATTTCTCTAGAGAGCTTAGGCCGGAATAATTATTCCCTGTAACCTTTTCTAGACCGGAATTAAAATTCCCTGTAACCTTTGCTAGACCGGAACTAGTATTCCCTATAGCTTTTGCTAGACCGGAATTACTATTCCCTATAGCCTTCATGCTGGACCGGAATTATGATTCCCTACAGCCACACGTTTGGACCGGCGTAAGCCCTTCAACTCTCTGCCTTCTTTTTTTTTACTCTTTTTTTTTTACTTTCTTTTTTTTAACTTTTTTTTTAAACTTTCTTTTTTACTCTTTTTTTTACACTTTCTTTTTTTACTTTTCATTTCTTTTTTTTTTCTTTTTTTAGGTTTTTTTTTTCTTTTTTAGCTTTTTTTTAGCTTTTTTACTTTTTTTTTTTTACTTTTTTTTAACTCTTTTCTTTACTCTTTTTTTGGCTTTTATTGCTCTTTTTTTTTGGCTTTTTCCGCTCTTTTTTTTTTTATTAGAAAATCAGTGAACGATGATCCGGACATACACTCCAATGAGCTAGCCCGTTCATCTCCACTAGCCATACTCACGTAAGTGAACGATGACCCGGACATAGACTCTAATAAGCTAGACCGTTCATCTTCACTAACTGATCAAAGCGTAGTCCGGACGTGGATTCTGGAAGCCCTTGACAGGCAAAGAATTGATGCCTTAGGAATGTGGTGCTGGTCAAATACGCTGTTACGCATACCTTGGACGGTCCGTCGTACGAACGTCACTATAATCAAAGAACTCAAAAGACAAGATGGTTAGCGCTTATCTAATATCTATTTGCAGAGAATACTGGCGTTGTTTGGTCATTTATCACACAGAACAGCGGATAGTCTTAAACGTCCTCTAGTGATACGAAAAGTGGACAGTAACCGACCTACAGGCCTAAATCACAAGTGGTGGATTCACGGGATGCTGGTTTAAACTATTTGATAATTTTAATAAAATTGCTTCCATTCCAAAAAGAGGCTTTTTTTTTTTTGCTTTTCAATGCAGTTGGTTTGATTATGAGATGGAGGTGGATCGCCATCCCACTTCTGATGTAGGAATATAAGATAAAAATGGATAGATGGATGGGCCATAATTCAAGGCATGAAGTTCTTTTAAACTGAATAATAGTTGAAATCGGATATAATTAGTCCAAAGACCAAATTACAACACCAGAATAATAATTAATTCGTTCTCACAAATTAATTATCCAAAGAGTCAAGGTTAACAGGCTAAATACAACTAGTGCACCGCGCCACGTCAGAGCCAAGACTCCCGTAGAATAATCGCGCACGTCCTTTATACAGCTAGTAGTGGGGAGAGTGGGGCATCGAATCACGCGCTCGGTGGCGTGATCGGTGCACGTGTTGGTTATAGTTATGTTTAGTTGGCGCGCTAGTGCCGACACATACATTAATTCAATTCCAATCGATCGTGTTAAAATTAAACGAACCTCGGGCAGTACGCGGAGGGTGCGGCAGTGACTGAGCCTTCGTGAACGATGGAATCCCATAATCCGTGACACGCAACACCCAGCGGGAGTCGACGACACAGTTCCGTGAAGTGAGTCGACCGTGAACACGCAGCGGAGACGAGTGGAGGTAGCGCATCCCGCGCACCAGGTCCGTCAGCAGCGACAGGCGGAACGTCCAGTCCAGGCGGATGTCGTCGGCCATGAGCACGTCTTCCAGAGAACCTCTCCCGCAAGCCTCGAACACGAGGGCCGGTCTTGTGTCCGTCAAACATCCTTAGTCAACAAAAAAAGTTGAATTATTTTATATCTCACTCAAGTATCTCCTGTTACCTGTTACTGACCTATGAAGGAGTTTATATTTTCGTGACGAAGGCTCTGCATCGTGAGTAAAACGTCTATTGATTTGCGACGCAACTCGAGCGTCGCCGCAGGTAGATATTTCATATGAACCGGGTCGCCCTAAAAAAAGAGCGAGTGATATTTATAATCTTAAATCTTTAAATGAGCAATTCTTGTATATACCTATATACATATTTATTGGCATCTCGGAATCGGCTCCAACGATTTTCATCAAATTTAGTATGTAGGGGATTTTAGGGGCGAAAAATCGATCTAGCTAGGAATCATTTTTGAAAAAAGTTATAAGTGGAAGTCAATGTGTGTTTGTTTTGAGGTTACACTAAGGAATTAATTGTTGATTTATGGGTGATATACGCTATTTGAATTCCATTGGTCTATAGACAAATTTTGTATAGAACTTATTATATCATTAAAGAATTAACTTATTATAATGAATATGGCACTTTATCTGGCCCACGAAGACTATTCACGACAATTATTTAATTTATATTTTTAATAATACAATTTTAAAATGTATACTAGCCTTCCCATTTATGAATTAAAATGAACTTATGGCTGAATACTTTCAAAAAGCACACAATTATGTTTTTTATTTAATGTGGACATACGCTTTAATAAACATCGAAACATATTTTAACAAAATTAAGAGTAAAGATATTTATTAATATAAAATAATATAACGTATTTTACATGTCATATACGAGTCATGTTACAATTCTGTCACTTCATCTTGCGGAATTCAAAGACTTAAAAATCTATTAAAAATCACAACTTAAGGAACGGGCGAAAAACAGATTAAAATAAGAGGCAAGCTAAATAATTTGAGCAAAATTAAAAAGAAATTGGATCAGTTTTCGATAAACTTTCTGAAAGTAATTCAAACTCAAAAACAAATAACTTTATTCAATATAGAAGCATTACACTTTCTTAATGATGAATTTTGTGCCAGTCGTTGGAGTATTTAGTTTGGTAAGCATATACATATATATGTATGTATTTTATCGTTACCAAATTGTTAATTTCTATAATCAATGTTTATTGTCCATAGATGTCATATATCAACTTAAACTGATGAAAGAGGGGCGAGTGATGTTAATTTGAATACATTATGTTTTTGTTAAATAGACCTAACTAGACATTTTATTTAGTATTTGTCAACTTTCTTAGCTAATAATAATCAATGGTATGACAATACCCTGCTTTAATTTGTTTCTATTCTGGCAACAGTGTCATTCTCATGGTAACACATTTCCTTCTGGTGCTTATAAAAGTGAAAAAAAAAATAATTGTATAATCGTCTGGCCCCTCTGATAACTAATTTTAAAATAGTTTCAAATAAATAAATTGTAAATATTGAATGGAACCGATAACATTTTCTTCTGGGACACGAAAAAACCAAATAGCATATATTCACCCTTATATTGTTTTGAGTGTACTTAATGTGTTCACTTATAAATGCCTGAACGAATAAAAAAAAAACACAAAATAAATATTAATAATCCCTAAATACCGAGCAAAGCTCGGTAACCAGATAGTGTTTATACAAAATATTAAATGAGGGAAATGTGGTGTAAATGTTACCTTATATCTAGTACGGTTGTCGAGTGGTAAACGGGTGATGCTGCACGTAGAGGAGGGTGCGGACTGACCCAAGGGTTCGGGCCGCTTCAGTAAGTCGGGTTGCTCCGGTTCCGAGCTCCCGAACTCGTGCAGCTGTTGGAGCCACGTGAGCATCGTCTCCATGCCCTCGCCCACACGGCGACCCTCGTCGGAAGGAAACTGGAAGTCGGCGGAGGAGAGAATCGGAACCACCCGAGAACGTTTCGGCATTCGAGTGACGAACGCTCGCTTGAGGCACGTGACGACGAAGGCGAGGATGAGGATCAAGATGCAGCAGACGAACAACGTGAACACGGTCATGTGCAAGGCTGCGTCGGTCCCGCTGGAAACCTTGGCGTCGGCCGTCTCGTCGAATGTGCCCTCTAGTTTAAATTCCTCGAGTTCTGTGTCTTTCAGGGCGTCGATATTCACGAGCGTGGAGTGTGACGTGTAGTTGTCTAACAATCTCTCGGTTGTAATATTAAGTGTTGCTCTTTGCTTCCAGAACAAATCGTTGTCCTTAATTATGCTACTATATAAATGAAAAACATGATGGGATTTTTCCATTCTGGTAATTTCAGCCTCCATGAAGTTTAAGAGAGCCTTAATTATTTCATCATAATTATCCTTGGCCAGGTGCTGATGTTCAAACTGCCTATCACTGAGCAGCAGTATTGGCTTCTCTCTGATAACATTAAGGCTGTCTTTAGAAAGCTCGCCGAAATTAAACTTGTGATACATCGACCTGTCTTTGCCTGTAACATTAGCGGAGTGCTTGTCGACCGTTTTCGTCCCATTATCTTTCAAAGGGGTCTCTAGCTCGGGATCTATTACATTTAAGAAGAGTATCTGAATTTTATTCACATTCCTTGATAGTATGGCGGCCGTCATCGCTGAACCACAGATAATGAGAGCTGAAAAATATAAAGAAATTGGAACTTTAAATAACTGGAGACAGACTGTTGTGGTCCAAGATATCAGAGATGTTGTATTTAACTGGCTATGTGTGAGTGTGTGTGTGTGTGTGTTTAATCTGAACAAGATACAATGAACTGGATTATATTATTTTTACAACCAAATCCTTAATGTATTTGAAATATTAGGATACATACTTTGTAAACATTTTTATTCCACTTTATTTTATAATGTCATTAAAGTTAAAAGAGATTATATTTTTTCAGATAAAGAAATTGTAATAAAAGGTACTATTTATTACACGCTTTTATTTAACTTTCAACGTGTATTATTTGTTGGGGTGAAATCTTCCTACTGAATTTCGAGGTATATAATTTCAAGTGAGGGCACTGAAACATTATAAACGTGTTCAGTTTGTGAGACCGACATACATTTAGTTATATTTGTGACGTCATTCTTATTTAGTCCTGGCGACAAGTCCGTGACGGCGGACTAGTAAGTTTCAATGCACTTCTAGAGTAAATGATTCAATGGGATTATTTGATAAGAATAACATGAAAAACGATCGGGTGGCCTGGAGTGTCGAGAGATCATTAATATGTCAAAAATAAATAGAAAACAAAACAACATCTTTCGAAAAATATCATGTTTTATTTGAAGGTCGATAAAATATTATTCAGTATTTTTTTTGTTATAAAGTTATCTATTAAATAATCTTTACGATATAACACCTATCGCGAGCTTCTACTACTGTTACGAATATAAATATTACCTTAACTTTTTTATTTATCCACATAATATATAATTTATATCCATTGCTACTCTTGTTTACAATCAAAATCTGTATAAAACAAAATTTTAATATGGTTTCAAGAATAGAAAAATTTCGACGTCTGGTACATCACCTAAGTATATGTTTTGTTAAAAATGATAAGTCAATCATTCATTCTTTTATATTTTTATATTGAAGTCACAAAACTTAAAATTTAAATAAAATTCATTTATGTATGTTATTCATGTAATTGAAGGTCTTCTATTAAAGTGTTATGGATCGCATTAAAGAGGATAAGTAACGGATCAGCGACGCAGCGATCTCACTGAGATGTGAGAAAAATAGAATTAAAGACGACTTTAACTACGTATACTGAACTGGGCAGTGGGCACCTTCTATATCTGTTGTTTAATACATCTAAATATTAAGACATATTTAAAAGCTGTAATGTTCGCAGTGTATACCATTTGTTTGTAAATAAATGTTAGTTGTTTTACCGCTTATTTTAAAATATTTTACATCTAAAGGCAACGAATAAAATGTGGTTGCTTTATTTATAAAACATAATGATTCAACCTCGTGTCTTAAGTAAAGATGAAGTATGTAGGTACTCAAAATTACAGCTCTTGTAACGTACAGGCTATTTTCAAAGTGAGAGAACCAACTCATGTTTTAATAATGAAATATATAAATATTATGTATTGTAGACATTTATAATGAAATATCTCCAATCATTATTATCGGACTCGAGACCGGATTCAACGTGCAAATAAAGACGACAACATCTATGAGACTTTATAATTTCAGCGAGGTAGGAAAGTATGAAAAACCCTCGCACGAATACGAATGCTAGTATAGTATTTTGTTTTTGAGGGAGAAACATCGAGATGAGTTCAGTGAACTATATCAGTCAGATATCTCATATAAAATAGACATAAATTCGGGTATAGGTTTCAGTAACTCACCGTGGGGACGGATCGAGAAAGAGTCCTCGAGGTGTCGGGGCAGAGCGCGTTTGACGAGGACCCCGGACGAAACGAGAGACTCTTGGACTCGAAGAAGAGCGGCCGAGCATTCATCGAGGACTCCCGTCACGAGCACACAGACGCGCCGCCAGCCCAGCGAGCGAGCCAGGACAGAGACGGCCGCGGCACGAGCCGGGGCCTCGGAGCAGGACGCGGGGACAGGCCGGGAGAGAGACACCAGGGCCGGGGACACGCCACCACAGACCCGGCCGCCGACACGGCCCGAGCTCACCACGGACCCGCCCGCAGACACCGACCGCAACGAGTCCACCAGGACCGCCTCCGACCAGCGAGGGCCGCAAGTCTCTGAGAGAACACGGCGCTTTAGACTCTCAAATTATTCCTGAAATGAAAGGCTATTCTAAGTGTAAGTGTTCTATTACTCACCTTCGTAATTAAGAAGACGGAAAGGCCGAGTCCGGAGCTGAGACGGTGCATACTGTGTGAGATGTGCGGAGAACAGGTCCTGCGAGTACAGGGCAGGGTCGAGGGCGTGACACGCGTGTCGTGCTACTAGCAGGAGCCGCTCGGGGTCGTGAGTGTGGCTGGTGTCCAGAGGCTTAGCCGTGGCCAGCGCCAGCAGCAGCGGCTGCAGCATCAGTCGGAGCGCGCCCGGCCGCGTGTGTTCCCGGGCGCGCCACTCGTGACGTCACAAGCCCCCCCCCATGGACCGGGGGCCGCTCGCGCTCCGCCGCACTCGCTCGCCTGATCGCGTCCGATCAAACGACAGCCCTCTAGTGCGTTAATAACTTGATCACATACAGACTCGGTCACACGAGAGCTCTCTAAATATCCTCTATTTTAGTTAAACTTCTTCAAACATGGCTTTATATTCACCTACTGATCTACTTTAAAATCTTTCCCACGTGCGACATCTTTCAAGCAAAATATTTCTTTAACTTAGGTACAAAATAATCTGATTATGTTATACATATTGAAATAGCTAATGATGAGTAATATTTAAAACTACGGATCTGACGTTGATGTGTTCATATATAATTTATTTATTTGATAACGATAATTGACACACACATGAGTTATACTTACTGTTTGAAAATATAAACTTTTTCAATAACTTAATGATGCATTCAGTAACATAGTTTGTAAGTTACTGAAGGGCAAATGAAAACAAGAAATGTCTACATGCTACAATGATAAAGGGTTGACGGTCAAAAACAATGTCTCTAATCTTTTCATTTAATCTTAGTTTATTCGTGGGGTATATTTGATACTTTTTGGTTTCAAGATCGCTTTATCTAACATTTTTCTTTTATTCACATGTAAACTTTAACGTGCAACATGTTTCGTAGATACCAACTTAAAATGAAACAATGCGTACTCTCACAGAGTTAAATAAGACTGTCTCCGAGGCGCCGTCACGGGCCACCGACCACCAGGAACTGGGACGATCGATGGACAGGGTTGAAGGTCCGGAGAGGACGGAGACACAGTAGGATGACCCGCCGATACTGACGTGACACGACCGAGCTCGGGCCGGGCGCGAGGAGGACGTGTGGCGGCCTCCAGCACTGACGACATGGATCACACACTGACGGACTGAAACCAGAGGGATCTGTAGGGAGGGGAGACGGGGAGGGTCGCGTCTGCGCTGTCAGGGACAAGTCCGGGGCACATCGATGATGGAACACGTCGGTTCAACACCTGCTATAAGGTCTCATTCGCACTGTGGGCAGAGCACAACATAAAAAAAAACACAATAGAATGAGTCTTAAAACAGTCTACAGTTGCGTGTAAAAAAGTTTATAGTTGTTGATAGAAACCCTTTTAAGAATAATAGTTGAAGAAAGTCACTTCGAATCGACGTAGCGTGACCGTGACCCAATAAACGTCCCTAATACATGTACGTTATCGAGCTTTGTTCAGCTCTTAATGTATGGTCATGAGTTTGTATCTTTTGACCTCGTATGATGTATCTGGGTCACAGTCTGGAAGTTCATAGTTACTCAGTTTTATTACGTGGAAAATATAATGATTTAAATAAATGTTTCGGCAAATTTGACATAAGTAAATCTAATAACACTGTTACTTATGAGGTATTTATGCAGATAAGTAAAATGAAGTTTTACGTAATTTATTTTATTCATTTATCACATGTCGCATTACAGTCATACAAAGAGGAGAGGTTAAGTGAAAGGCGATCAGAGTGACCCTTTCGTGTTTTTGGCTACTTAGTTATTAAAATAAAAACTTCACTAAGTCACATGCCCCTGATATGTGGACCCACCGCTGCAGGTACCATTCCGTGAGATATGGCCCCTTATAATACTGAACTGTTATAACTTTGTAATGGTATCATAAAAGTATCAACTGGTATTTAAAAACTAAAACAAATACTAGCTTTAGCCATTTTGTAGGAAATTACTGAAAGTAACGCTGGACATGGAAAAACAAATCTGTAACTGTACTTCGAACAATATTTCAGTTATCATGTTAGTTATATTTGTTGTTGACAAAAAAATGGATCTTTATGTAACAATATTTTGAATAAAAAAAAAATATGAGACTACTTTAAATTTATTGTAAGTTTTTTACCAAAACTAGTAAGCAGTTTCTTTATACCCTACATACCTACATATGTAAATCCTAATTACTGACAGCCAAGACCGTCTCCATCACCGTCTTTATCCTCAAAAATCAGTATGCGAGCATTCAATATGAATTAGTCGTTCAATGATGTAGGTTGACACTAGGTATATTAAATTAAATTACCATAATAATAGATTAACAATATGTAGGTAAGGTAAGGTTTGTTGAATTCTTAATGACAAATTTATCAAGCAAGGCTAAGGCATCATTTATCTCTATTAAATTCTTTATTGAATTGTATCTTGAATCAATCAACAAGAATAAACATGCTCTCACCATCGACCTGCCAGTGCCTCGCCAGCATCGTAAGAGCCGCTTGAAGCCACCCACAGTTGAGCGAAAACTTGCGATACTACACACAATCTCAGACATCAAAAGTTGACGAGTGTCGAAGTGAACAGTGTGTGAACACACGATGGACAAACCAGGCCACAACATAGGTTTTAATAAAACACAGGTCCACATTTCTTTGACCACACTGCAGGATCCCAAGACCCAGTAAGAGTATTCTGCATGCACCAAAAGCGATACGCTAGCAAATTAAGAAATCTATGGCGGTAGATGAAAAATAAGAAGACGAATTGACAGACACTTTCATCTCGTCTGCTTTATGAATTTTCAGAAACCAAAGTCGAAACTTACAACATGAGGACTAAAATAATTGGACTACGTTTTCTCACAATCAGTAGTTTACAAATAAGAAAAAATCCATACTAATGAGAATGCCTTATTCCGTGTAGTAATCCACAATGAAGGAATAAGTTCAATAAAGATGAATGCCTCTGAAGACAACCAGGACAGTGTCTCAAAGGTTGAGGGCGGTTGTAACGACTTAACGGTTCACACTGATAGTGTCCCATCCAAACCTCTTGAATTAATTAATAAAACAATTAGTTTAAACTATTGTTAAACATGGTAAAGGACATTAATCCGTTACATAATCTTTCAAAACCGACACTTGTACAACTGTTAAATTTTCAGAAAATAGCCTCGAACTAGATGTCACTCAAGTTATTACTGGAAATGTTCATCCCAGAATTAAACTGGCCCACTTATAAATAATAAATTAGTAACGACCACGGTCATTCCAGTAATAGAACAAAAGTATTAAAATTCAGTTACGGACATAATGCTTGCTAAAAAGCAAGGAGATTCATAATTAAAAAATAACGTCTGTAAAACAAATTACCGAGGCATCTGAGTGATAATATGACTGTAAGTATGATTGAATGTTATGTGTACCAAGCCAAGTATGACCGTAATATCATCAGACGACTATACTGTGGTCTATCTCCACCGTGTAAGATTTCGAAATTGTTCAATTGACCATATACAGAGTTAAAAAAATGGACGATTGTGGATGCATTTTAGAAATACGCGCAAGTATACTATTTAAGAGAACAGCAGTAAGTATAGTTTTTAGTAAAATTGTGTAGGTACTAATCGTTATAGGTATCTTTATTTATACAGAGTGACTGGTGAATTACTATCAATATTTAAGGAGAATACTCAGTACATGATTCTCATTCGAATTATGTAAAAAAAATAGGTAAGTAGTTAATTTTTGACCAAATTTCCGTATAAATAAATAAAGTGTAGACACGTTCCAAGTGTGGACGCGTGGTGTTGTATCAGCACGCCGCCGCACGTGTGTGTGTGTGTGTATACCTAATCTGTAGGGTGTTCACACGATGCGTAATTAATTACATAACTTTTGGTTAACTTTACTTAGAAGTTTATTAATATTTATGTTATATTAATTTTTATTTTGTCATATGTATATGATCGTCAAATATCACGTCCTCAAGTATCGATAGTAATTCACCAGTCACCCTGTATAATTCTTCTGTGAGTGTGTATGTCACTGAACTTCTCTCAAACGACTGGACCGATTTTGATTAAATTTTTTGTGTGTGTTCAAGGGGATCTGGGAATGGTTTAGATTCACAATTTTGTACGCTGGACAATGTTTTTTTAATTAATTTTTAATTTATTAGTAGTTGTCGATACAAACGTTTTTTTTGTCATTAGATTTGACAACTAACTAATATGTCAATCATTCTGTCGCACTTCAAAACACGGAGATTTATGGCTTTAATAGGTAAACTCCAAAAATATAAATAAAAAACGTAACAGATATTTCTTCAACATAGGGCGATACGAAATTCGTCGGGTCTTCTAGTATCTTATATTTTAGTGTCAAATGGGAACATTCTCCTGAATTTACAAATCTACTTAATTTGCTGAATTTTTTGAATTAATATATAGCATAAATCATAATCATCAACATAATCAAGTAGCAGCTAACATAGTTTTACCAAATTCTGAAAAATTACTATATTACTCAACACTACCTAACTGACCAATTGTTTCAACAGTATAGGTACTGAAATATTTAAAGTACATGTCCATCTGTAATAATTCAAATATATGGAAAAAGAACACCCGAAGTGCCCTGATCCCACTTCATGTAGGGTCGGCACAACATGTTCTTCCTTTCCACAGAACATGTTGTAAATAGTTTTGGCTAACTATTTTTTACGACCGGCCGCTTGCCAGACATCAACCCTCTTTGGAAATGAATGCATTAATCAGTAATGTCTAAATATTCTTAGAAAGGACATATGACTCTTACTTTCATTGCTACCGTCTTCACGATTTTCTGTTTTGCCTAAAGGTTGACTGGTAGAGAATGCCTTCAGGCATTAAGTCATTAAGCCTCTTGTGTCTACGTTATTGTAGTTAGACAATAAGTTTTAAATAAATAAATAAAATGACTCGGAAAAATCACATTGGTACTACTTGTCCGGGACAGGATCGAACCCGCGCCCTCGGCAACGAGAGGTGGGCCCTTCAACCACTAGGCCACCACTAACTGCTGCAAGGAAACTATTTCACAGTGAAGACGTACGCCTGGCACTATCGGTGGGAATGAGAAATGTTTGGAGTCAACTTATAGACACGTATATATAGATGTAGTATGTTATATGTCTTAATTGTATCTTGAATATAGTTTTATAAGTAGGACCCGGATTAATATGAAAATACATATTTTTAATTTACGCGATTTTCGGTCTAGAATGTGTTTTTTACATGGATTGTCATATTTAGACTGTGAAAAACCAACTTTTATTTTCCATATTTCAAATTTAAGTCCATATTTTACAAGAAAATGTCACAATCATCATATATTCACAAAAATACATAAAATTTACATTCCCGCTACTAATGTTTTGGATAAAAATAAAGGATTTAATACGCTAAAAAAAAATTTACAAAATTCTGTGCGAAAGTTTCAGGGGCTGTAGACATGGCTTTACACTATTACTTGAATTAAGCATGTTTAAGTATGCACCCATCACGTCAGGTGACTTGAGATGAGACCAATCAGCAGATATAATGCTATATGTCGACCAAATGATCAGTTTTCATTTTGATAATTTAAAGAAGCACGTCATTGTGTATTGCATCCAATTTGACAAGGTTAGTGTAATGGAAGTTGAATTAAACTGTTATTTTTTGTTGAAATAAATGTTTCGCTACTTTTTTTCATTGTTTTTTAAATGTAACGTAATGATGTACGTCACGAGTGACCCTTTCCTTATAGTAAAACAATGTTTAATTATGAAAGTATTTAATTTTATACTTCATATTTTTGATTTTTTCGTCCATATTTTAGATTTTTTAATACATATTTATCCGGGCCCTATTTATAAGGTAATAAGATTTTTCTTTCATCCTACGCAGCCACCAAATATAATTGAGGTATGTCAAAACATTTTGCGTCAAGGAGGAACATCTGACACCAAAATATAAGATATATAACGATTACATAGTACACAATTAAAAAAAAAACTATAATAGTCATAGTGTAGGAGGTTAATAAAAAAACATTATATTTTAAACTTTAATAAATATTATTAAAAATTGGTTGTTTGTAAAGTAGGTTTACGATCGAGATGTTTACGTGATAACGTCTTATTGGTGATACAAGTTTTTGGGAAGTAAGGAATTAATGAAGATAACCATTTTGTTCAAATTTTAAATTACATCTATCGTTTTATTGACACTTTTGATGATAAATTTCGGGTGTAAAATGACAAGTTTATATATTCGACTATGGTATACATAGAAAGAGACGGACCGATCTCCCGTCTCATCTCGAGCGCTGCCAGTCATTCCGTGAAACTTGTCAAACGGAATCCTCACGAACGGAGGCAGGCATAGCGTTCGATTGAGTGAACCGATCTTCCGTCTCTCTCTCTCTCTCGTTATACCTGCGATCGCGCTCGTGAGGTTTTGGTGTGACACAAGTTTTGAACATGTCACCCGACTAAAACGATTTTAAGGACGTTATCACGTCAAAAACAACTATAAAAATATATTATAATAAATATATAACTTGTGTATTACGTATCTACAGTCCATTCTTTATTAAATTTAGTAGACAATATGAAGTAGCGTAGTCTTAGCTATATATTTAAAAAGGTAGAAAACTGTAATCAAGATCATATTTACAATTATTGTTACTGAAATGACATCGTTACTTAAATCAATTTTAATCAGTGAGAACAAAACAATTCCGAACAGATTGAGCTGTCTCCGAATGTACAATAATACTGAATACTCAGATATTTATTATATAAAGAACATAACACGTACGAGCGGAGACGGCTGCGGGCGATACTCATACTGAATGGTGTCTTTGATAATAATACAATACGAGTATTTGTTTAAATGAGTGAAGAGTAAAGCAGTGCTGATATAAAACTATTTTCTTCTTTGTGTGTGTGTCTACATCATCTCTCCCCGCGCCACGGCCTCTATCCTGTCTCTGTGCAGCCTGAGCGCCGCGCGTCCCTCGCTCCTCCTCATGTCCACAGCTCCCAACTTACCGTAGAACCTGAGCGCGGTCTCGTTGTCCTCCAGCACGTGCCAGTCCACGCGGTGGACGCCCTCCCTCACCGCCATCTGAACGACAAAACAAATCATTCAACTGAGTCTCGACCGACCGCCCGTGTTCGTTCCTCCTAACAGTGTCCAACCTGGCACAGTTCCTGTATCATGATGGTGGCGACTCCGCTCCCCCTCTCCTCCGGTAGCACGAACAGGTCCTCGAGGTAGAAGGCCCGCCGGGTCCAGGAGGAGTACGCGCGGTTACAGAGAGCGTAGCCCACCACGCGCTCCCCGCGACACGCGACCAGACCGAAGAACCACGGACACGAACACTCGAACCCGTCCTCTATAAGATCTAAGACAATCAATGACGAACACTCATTAATGTTCGGCTCGCTGCGGGACACTACGACTGGAAGAAAAGTGCAACAAGGGAGCCCATGTTATATGACATATAGAGAAAGTTAACACGTGGCACCGAGCTAATAGTTCTATAAAAATTTCTTGTAGATTAAAACTTTCATAATTACTTTTATATGAAATGAAGAGTTCACAGTATATTTTCAATCCCAGTGTCTTATAATTAGGAATTATAACATTGAATGCAGGTCCACAGTCTGTCTGTCACACTGAGAGAACAACAGCAAAACTCATTAATATAAATACATAGAGGATCATTCACATAGAAACAAAAAAAAATACATTATCAAAAAACATACTTATTACATAATAAATATTATGTTCTTTTAAATGAAGAAAAAAAAGATAAGAAAAAGAACATTGTTAAACTTAATTCTTAAAAATTAAACTGCTATCAACTATGAAAAACTCTGTCCAGTAGTTTAGTATATCATAATACATGTAGATATAATATATATATCATAAATACTTATTGAGTACCTTACAATAAGCTACTCTTTAAAAACTTCTACATTCATATGTATTATTGAAACACTTTAAGTTTCATTAGCTATGATGGACCAAGACTTTTTCATAAAAAACTAAATATATAACAACAAGAGAAACAAGTTCTTTATACAACAAACATAATGATGTGATGTGTCTCACCCTGAACACTGAGCCGGGGACCATCGGGAACACCCTCGAACTTGGCCAACTCCTAGACAATTAAAATAAACCAATGAATATACATTTTCAAAATATAACATTAATTATTATTCTTCTTCTTCTCCCTGGCAATTTCCCAGCTTTAGGCAGAGTCTGCCAATAACATTAATTATTATAACATAATAATGTTACAGTCCTAAAGACATTTTTATACACATGACACTTATTTACAGTTTTCTTACTACTTTTATCAATATTAATTTACTTGACATGAATCCCTTGAACAAATCATTAGTTCATTTGATTATTCTGATGATGTTAATATGTTACACATATATTTTATCACATTATATTATAATCTGTAAGATCTTTTTATCTTTTTCTATTTGACTTTGTAAGGGTTAGGAAAAATAGTAAAAATATGAAATGTCACAAGTTGTACATAAATCCCAGACAGATATAAAATAATGGCTTGAATCATATTATTAGTTATTATATGATATTTGAATAGAACTTCAAAACTCTTTATTTATTTAAAACTCAAACACAGTATGTGATATAACTATTCATATTATAAATTCTTTCAATACAATATAATAATATTACTCAAAGAATATGCAACTTATTCAAATGACATTTAAACTACATATGTAATAAAAATTGTACTTATAACTTATATTAAAACATGTTTTGAGTGTGTCAGGTATCTCAATGGGACAAGTGAAACAGTTATATCAAGACCAACTTGATTCAGAAATCGTCGCTTATGCAAAAAACGTTTGGTTTATGCCAACAGTCAAACTATAGTAACAACATTATATATTTTTTACTATAATAACTCAAAGCCCTGGAACAAACATCAAATTAAAAAGTCTAAGTGTCTAATCAGAGTGTCTTCTCATAAATACAGCTTGTACAACAGGAATTATTATGAATTACTGAAACTAGTTACACTATTTGATTATACAAAACGTATATAAGTTAAGAATTTCTGTAAAGATAATGATTTATGATAAATGTCAGAAATATTATTTATGTTACAACTATTATTAGTCCTTTCAAAATTACATAATATATTGAAAATGACAGAAAAATACTTTTTTTTGTTACTTCCAAAATACGTTCAGAAAACAGAAATAATTTTATTTTAAAATATAAAATTTGGTACTTGTGAATAAGACTTATCAATAATATAACCACAATCATTAATAACTATAAGAAGAATACTTTGAACTCTAGATTAGATTTTTTTGTCTATCTTTGAGGTCCCACAGTATTTACATTTTAAACATTAACGTTAGAACATGCGATTCGACATTGGCGTTGGTAATTGAGAGTAAATTGTAAGGACGTAACTGTAAACAAAACTCACATGTATGAGGCGGTGTACGGTAACCATATCATCACGTTTCATTGCTCGCACCTCCAGAGAAGGTTTACTAATATCTTGCGACATATTCACAGGTAACTTATGTAACGTCTACGTATCTCGTCCGTCTACAGCCACTCGAAAATACTGACTGATCTAAAATTGATTATTGGATTATATACTCAGCCAAGTATATAATAAACATTTGAAATGTGTTGTCAAAAATGAAGTCTCTAAGTTGTTTTGAATGTACTTCATTGAAAATAATGAGATAAGGATGAAACATATATATTATATTTCTAAAAATATTTCTTATAATATATTTGAAATATTTTATTTTTGTATTGTATTTCATCATTCACAAAATCGTTTGAAATTTTATAAAAAGCGCCATCTATAGATTGTAGGGCTAACTAATTACATCGAATGTTTAGTTCCAGGATGGAATGTGAGGTTAGACGTCTTTTTATTTTTAGCTTCGAAACAGAGATGGCTCTACAATGACATTGCTTGTACTATGGATTATAAAAATCCCATGAATTATTATGTAAATGCAAGTTTGCAAGTTTATTGTTTTTTTAAGGAAAAACTACTTAAAACATTGTGATTAAAAGTTGTATTGTTATAAGTCCACTGACATAGACCAGTGAGTAATTTAGATTCTACCGTTCTCTCCAGAGTAATGAAATTCCCATACATTAGGAAGAATCATAGAATGTGGTATAATTGGTCGTCTATAAACTGATTGTTCATTTGTATATAATGACCGATAGATGGCAGTATTCAAAATAAGCTACTCAACTTCTCCAGTTTTGAATTCCTTGTACATAGGAAAACGTTAATGTGGCACGTTCGTTTCTTGAGTTATTTTATTATTTAACTACGCCTTGGCATGTTTATGTATTTATTGATGTCTTGTGATCTGTGATGTGTGATGATTGGCCGGCTTGTTGCTGGACCCCAGACTGGTCACAAAACAAATTAATTATTTAAAACATCAAATCACGCACTCCGATTTTATATGCAGTTGTGAATTTAGAATTTGACACTTTGGGAATAATCTGAAAATAAATGGTATTTCAGTTGCAATATTGATTACTTTTATTAAAGGCATTTATATTATTATTATTATATTATAAAAAATATTGATACACAAAAGCTGAAATTAATAAAGTTAATAAATATTAAGTCCTTTAATTAATTTACGAGCGTTTTCAATGCTAACAATCGAATCTTTCAGTTATTGTGACGAAATTTGAAAAGAACCTACTAGAACTAGAGCTACCTTCCACGTACCTACATTGCAAGAATGAATTAATGTTAGTTCTGGACAGATCCTAGTCTTTTAGGAGGTAATAGAGAGATTTAGCTGGTATACCTCTCGCTTCCAATTATAGCGTGTATAAAAAAATATAGGTATTAAGTACAGATGTGAAAATAAATAAGATGAATAAAAATCTAAAAGTACTCATTAACTTTTTGAAAGTTCATATTTTATGAAATGTTGTTACTCATTTCAGTATGTATCTATTACAAGCTTGGTGATTATTTATTGTAACTATTCACAGATTTCTAAAATGGGAAAATTATCACACAGTAGGTACATTTTAGTTAGTGGAAGTCTGTAATCGACCAAAAGTCTCAAGAGAGGTTGGACGATTTGGTACGTTGTATTGCTTATAGGTACATACTACATAATTATAATCTTTCTCGTAAATTAATTGTACACAGATGGTGTTCGGTGTCAATAAAATAATAAATGTTAATTTAAATGTTTTAATAGACAATTAAAACTAAAGAAAACTTAATATTGTATTAAAATGTGACTCTAATTGAACATTTCATTAAAAAGAGTGTTTTCTTAATTCTTATAGCCGGAGTTCTGTTTTCAACTATTGTGTTTGTTGTATTCTTATGTTTAAATAACGAGATTATTAAATATGAATATTACTTTTATGACGACACATCACGTTAACATCTTAGTATTTTTTATTATTAACTACCCTTCCGATCGCAGCTTCGCCCGCGTGGAGTTCGGTTATATCGCGTTTACAAGAGAACCTTTCAAAAGTCTGGAATAAAAACTATCCTATGTTCTTTCTCAAGGTCAACTCTATGTCTGTAGCAAATTTCATTAAAATCAGTTCAGAGGTTTGGGCGTGAAAGCGTAACAGACAGACATACTGACAGAGTTACTTTCGCATTTATAATATTAAGTAGGGATTCATACGAAGAATATTGATACAACATAATATTACTATGAAGACAGTTGATAGTGTTTGCAACACACCGCCATCATCCGCCGTCTGTAATCAATGGATCTGTACTGCAGTTACTTTCGATATAAGAGCTAGTTCCTCTTCCCTACTCCCTATCCCTTATGAGTTGCATTCTGTGTATTTGTGGTCCGTTCTGAACCCAAGAAGTTCAACTGGCCGGAGTCGCGGGCTAAACCTAGTAACTTATAAAACCCTCTGATTCATATAACAATATTGAATAATAAAATTGATTTTTATTGATCCTGACATTGCATCCTCAGAGTTTTTTGAACCGTCATTAATTTTTCATAAACAAGTGAAGCTGTAGAACTTGAATTGTTTTAAAACTTAACCTTCCCGTCAGGTGTACTACATACTGTACCTAATTTCCTCTGCGCCCTGTTTGCTCACATGAATAATATTCTTAAAGTTCGTCCTGGGTCGGGTCGGTTCGGTTCAGCTGATCGTGTAGGTAAAGTTTATATTGGCACTCATCAGTGGGATCAGTGGCTCGGATAAATAACGTGCTCCATTTTTTATATCCCCTGAATAACTATATAAAAGAATTAAATAATATTATCACTTAAATATCTCTGTTCTACTGTTAATTTCCAAGAATCCTTAAAATTTTATTATTAAGACAGAAAACGCGAATTTATAATTTCTAGTTTATTTTAAATATATAATTTTTCTTTAGGATTAAGGAAATAAAAAAATATTGATGACATGTTCTAGTAACAGACGACCTTGATTGAGATACAATTGATGACCATTACAGTTTTTAGTTAGTACCTAGTTGTTCATCATCTCTGTCGAGTCGAATTTGTAGTTTAGATGTTCGGCATCAAGTACAGTTTAAGTTCGGACCATTTGCTGCGTTAATATTGATTATAAAAATAAAATTAGATCGCGGTTAGTTTACCAATTGTATTAAGTATGTAATTGCAAAACCATATTTCTTTTCTAATGTGCTTACTTTTACTTCAGCTTTGTGACAATTGTAAATTTCCACGAGGTCTGCCAACTAGGACCAAGGTAGAGGTAGAACCCTAAAGAGTTCTAGTTCTTGAGGTCGTCAAAATTTGTTATAGAATCGAACAAACGCCTCTTTGTTAAAAACCAAAAAAATTTCTTAAAATCTTTAGGGGTGAAAAACCTTAGTACCTTAGGGGTAACTAAGGTAATGTACCCTTAAGGTTATATATAATATTGAACTCAAAAGTTGTACTTCCACTTCCAAGCAACCGTAGAAAAATTCGACCCTGACAGAAGTTCATCCTGAAAATAAAAGGATCCAGAGAGAGGTCCGGGTGACGAGTGAAAAAACAAACACATTCAATATTTACATACTAAAATTAGTTTTTTTTTCACGTTTCAGCGTTCAGAGTATCCTAATAATAACGAAATTTTACTAACCGAATTTATTTAATAATAATCAGGTACAACAGGGACAGGTGTTGTTTATAAAATAAAAATATCAATTATTAGTTACAGTTGCACTAAAAATAATACTACAATATTACAAACAGCACACTAATATATCATGAAGATGCTATGTTTAGATATTTTATAATTACTATTTCTTGAGTGTTGTTCAAAAATTTATCGTTGGTTATATTTAAAGATGAATGCAATACAAGTCTGATAAGGAAACAGAATACTGTGAAGAATGTGGTGGAACATTTACTGTAGGGATGAGTTGTACTCAGGAAAAAAATATATGAAATATAAAATATGAAGATGACATTAAATGAGGTCAAAGGTTACGGCTGTTTACCGAATAAAAATTATAAATTTTAATATGTAGCTATGTAGTTAGTTATGAACGGGATTATTTTATTAAGCTACGTATATTATAATATTATAGGAGGAGTTGAGGAAGTTTATAGAGAGGCAAAGGAGGAGAGATGACCAGGCGAGGAGAGGGTGTGTGGACAGTGAGACAGACAGACTTAATATGGTGAAGACGGTGTAACATTATTAAAATCTTACGTAACTGAACATTTTTAAAATGTGGACATTTAAAATATAATCCCTAAGAATACATCCATCACCTCCAAGGAACGCCACTCAAAGAAAAGTTCCACCTTAGTACCATCATCATAACATACGGGAGCTGAACGAACTGACAATTATATTCATATGTACTGTGGACGGCCTGGCTCCTCCTGAAAACACTCGTGAACACTAAACTCTTGGCTAACTTTTTATATTGACACGCGAACTTTACAAACTAAAATTACAATAAAAAGGCTTGTAATGTGATGAAGATAAGTCAGTCGCTAAAACGATAGCGAAGTAATAAAGAATTTGAATCCCCAAGTTCAGGCACACGTGATCGTTCCCTCCAAGTAGACCGCTCGTCACATTGAGCCGTGGTCGTGGTGCCGCCCGGGTGGAGGTCCGGGAGGTGGTGGTGTGTGTGGCGGGTGAGGGTGAGGGCGAGGGCGCGGCGGCGCGGGTTGCGTCAGCGCTGGGCGGCGGGCGGCGGGCCTCGGGCCGCGTGAGGCCGAGTGAGGACTCGCGCGCCGTCCTCCGCCGCGCGCGCTCGCCGTCGCCGCTGTCCGCGACATGCGCGCCCCGCTCCTCCTCTCTCGCCTCCCTCGCCTCCAGCTCGCGCCGCCCTCGCCCTCGTGTCTCACCCTCTCAGCGCTGCTCCATCATGGCCGCCGTAAAGAACGACTACCAGTTCGGTGAGTGAACCTCCTTCTCCTCTCCTCCGACAGCTCCCGTCCGAGCCGGCGCCTGTAACACGTGAACATCGCTCCTCAAAGCTCGTCGTCCTGTGAGAACCGATCTCAGTGAAGAGGTAACGCGATCCTTGGATTTTGGAATCCGTGAAGGTTGTGAGTATAACACTGCATTTTCTTTGTTCGAGCGAGTGAGCGACGTTTATTACTAGCGAGTGGTTCAAGCTAGAGAGCGACACAATAGGTGCGGCCGGCTCCGTGAGGTGTACGAGCTCGTATAATGCGAGCGTCGCACACACGACTGTTACTTTTATTGCGTTTCGCTGATTCAGATTTCCCTCATGTGGAGCTGGTCGGCCGTGTGTCCTCTGCGTGTCTTCTTCTCCCGGAGGATGCGCTCCTCCTCACGGGCAGCTCCTCGCGGGGTGTGGGGCGCGAGCCTGTGTGTCTGTACACGCGGAGTCGCAGCGCTTTATCATCCGCCGATTAGATAAAGCGAAATCGCTCATAGTCAGCTCGCGGCAGTAGAGGGCCGTGCGTGGCGGGCGCGAGGCGCGAGGCGCGACCCGCGGCCCGCTGTAACGAGTTTCCTTGTTATTGTTAGCGTGTGTTGACCGGACCCAGCCGACCTCGTTCCTGCCAGCCACCTGCGCCTCAGCCTCCACACTACACCTCATAAACTTTTATGAACACTTCCGTCACATGGCCGTGCCTCTCTCTCCAGTAGGTACCTGGGTGAGTCGGTCCGTGTGCCGAGTCTTGTGTTTCGTTCTCTACTATAAGCCCCTCTCCTCGGACCCCGCCGACTGTTTCCGTCCGTCGTTGATAACGCCAGCAGTCCTCGTGTCGTGTTGTATGTATGTTTTATTTTCAACCGAAACCACATTCGACCTCCCGACATGATCTAGTTTTTCCATAAAAAGAATGATAATAATTTTGTAAGTGGGAATGCGCTGATGCTGAAGCGAGTCTATGTATAGTGTTATAATAGGTGTCTCAGACTAGTGAATTATTATTATGTATCAGTCGACATTTTCAACTCTGATAAAAACAAACAAAATAATTGAGAGAAGTTTACAAAAACACCATTTCGCTTCTCCTTCTGTCCACTCGTCATCGTGTTTTCTTCTACTTTAGACTCATATTATATAAATTGGTTCTACATGTTCTTTAAACAATAACAACTTATATAATGATACATGTTCTTGCACAATAGAAATTCACAGATTAATACTAAAAAGTAATGAATAATGTTTGTTTTTGCACTGTAAGCGGCAACTGATCGTGGTCACAATAAATGTTTCTCTTCCCCGTTTCTCTGGGTACATTCCGTGGCAGTCTATCCCTATACATGTACACAGTGTATAGTACTCGTGTGTTGTTTGGTCTATGTCACATATATTTCTCACAGCGGATCACTCCGTCGCGTTGATCATATTTCCCGGTACCCGCCGGGGTCACTCCTCTCCGGTTACACTTCATTCATGAGACTCGTTCGACACACATCTTATGTATTTGATTGAAGAAAAGGTAACTATGATGTGCTGTTTGAATACGTGTACGTGTCGCTCACAAATATTGGTTTTGACGAAACTGTACAGAGTATTTTATAAGAGGCGGAGACTATTATAGTCATCTCCGTATGTGAAGCGTTTCTGTCGGGGATATTTGTAGGTTTCCATAAAGAAAGTATAAAATGAAGCATTGGAATCTATAGACGAATAGTCATCAGTCGCTACCTTCTAATGTAATATAATTAACTATATGTAATGTTCGTCTAGTTGTAAGTTGAAAGATGTAAAGCCGTCGACCTGATTCACGTTACCGTTGTTACACGGAGCGGGCGAGCGCGGCCCGGGGGGGTGCGGTGGGGGGGGGGGGGCGCGGTGACAGCGATAACAACGCCCGCGCTGACCCCCACCTCCCCCCCCCAGACACCAGGCACAGCTACACCTAACGACGCGGTTACTGTACAATATATGTACATGAGTTCACAATAAAATACTGGGAGTCATAAAAAATAAAATAATAGTGGGTAGGTAGTTACTACAACAAGAATTTATTGTTACTCGAATATATCTACGAGCAGTATGTTGACTGTGTTTCCGACGTTTTAATGACCTTGTATTCACTACTTATTAATCGATACAACACGCTGTACATAAAGTGTGTTGAAACATTTCTCAATCGATGTGTATGTGAGACTCGGAGCATTCTACGTGACGCCGCGGCGGAGGCTCTCGCGATCACGAGGATTCCGGAGAAGAACGTGCGCATTACGAGTTTATGAGCAACGACGAACATCAACAGACACACACACACACACACACACACACACACACACACACACCTCGCGCCAGCTGGCTGAGCTATGATGATAGGGTCCTATGGAAACTATCTACATGTCGCTCTGCTGAAGATTCCTACGAGACAGGTCAGGGATGTTTCCAGGAGTTACAGGCGGTCGTTGTGTGTGTCTATTATATAAACGGTTTTGTATATAAACATAGGTGTATAGATGACGGAGCTGACGCGTCAATGAGACTGTATTCATTAATCGAGAGCGGATAAGTGAAGGAGCGGTGAAGGAAGAGTTAGACAAAATATAACGGTCTGAACGACGCTTGATAAGTTTAAAATTAGATTACTGAGTTATCAGAGAGACGTCTACCAACATACGAGTACATACACATAACACACACACACACACACATACAGACAGACAATACAATGACGGGAGTCCGTGTTAGCTGATGAGTTAGTTAAAGTTATATGCAGATGCTCCCTCACATTACTGACAGGCATGACCGGAGTAACTCCTAAGAGAAAATGTCTTACAATTACATGGTTACAGAAAGAGATTGAATACATATAGTTTACTTATTGTGTAGTATTCCAGAAAAGATGAGTATTTGTGATTGTAAACTGACTAATTGTTGTAACTATTTAGTGTCAATGAAAGTCACAGAACTGCGTCATTGTTTTTTTTGACACGTTTTTATTAATGTAATACCAATATTTTTTTCAGTATGTTTCTAGTATTATCAACTTTGGTTCACAAACTATTTAGTAATAGTTTTCTCGTTCCCAGTAGTTCGACTCGTCAGTGTGAGCGCTTCCCTTTGACCGCTTTCCTTTGACTTACTTTGAAAAGTTAGTACCGAGAACAATTCTGTTCCACCTTATAATAATATACAATATGGACTGTATTTATCGAGAAATATATATTAGAATTGAGTATAATTTAAAGTCAGTGTAATACATATATTACAAACAGAGTAATGATCAACTTGTATGTCCATCATCGTTTATTGAGAACATATCAGGTTGCTGCATTTTGAAATGAAAATCAACCTGACCTGTTTCACGAGCTGAGTTCATATTAAGAATCAATAATTGACAATTATAAACGAATATTAATGACATTACTGCGGTTAAATTACTAAATATCTGGAGTCTAATCGACGGTTTTTCTTATTATTATTTTAAAATACTAACTATTTCTTTTATAGTACAAAGCCAATTTCTTTTAGACGTTAACATGCGAATGAGATGTTATTTGAGATTTGTTTTCTAATTTTCCTTTAAAAATATTTTTCTTGGCCTCCGTTCTTCTCCCGATTCTCTTATTAATATGTAATCAACCACACAATTGCCACTCCCAATCCACATACTGTTTCCATAAGTAGTATTTCATGTACCTACAATATGTCTAATCATCTAATTTTAAAGTGTTTTTCCGAAGTTTACTTCATTTAGAGAGAATATTTTTATCTCATCATCTCATCGAACTCATTAGGTAAAATTATTTTTTTTACAATTTAATTAAATTTAACATATTGTTTTAAACATTGAGAACCAGCTAACAAAAGTTTCTAAAAACTTTCCATTGATAAACGACTGCTGAGACTTGGTTTGAATAAAAAAAAACATTTAATTAATCTTTTGTATATTATTATTTATTATAATAACTCGAGTCTTGGTTCTCTTCTGTAAGTTTTACATTTGTATTGACAAAATATTGAGTGTAGTAAACTATCTGGAACGTTCTATGAAACAATTGAAATAAGTAAAACAAAATGTTCTGAATGAACCTAAGTTATGTATGGATGTACATGTAGTAGGAGATTATAATATAACCGATGGTACAGTAAGGATCAGTATTGAGACACATCTGTCAGCATCACGTTATCTGAGACGAGTTCCGTCGAGGAGTCGTTAAAAAGTAGCGGCGAGATAAGGGACCGTTACCGCGAGGTCGGAGGTCGGCGCTTTACGTAACACGAACACTTTTGACATTTATATTATATTTTTAATGAATCGTTTAAAAACATTCCTCGGAACAAACAAAGTCACAGCCGTACGTCACCCGTGTCTCATACAGAGCCATGACTCGCACGACGTGTCCACACTCCACACCACTCACCTGCCTCTGTACGTTTACCTAATGTTCTATCTGTTGGAGCAACATGTATTAATACATCATGCAGTAGCATGGTACAGTACGGTACAGTGAACCACATATTACAGTACGTATGGTTGTGTAGGTACCTATAGTGTAAGTACATCTGCGAGGCCGAGTCCTACCACAGTATTATATACATTATAATATGGCGAATGGTTATTAGCTCCGGCGCTGCAGCTCGCCGCGGCCGGCAGGGAGGAGGGGCGGGGAGGAGGGGGGGGTACTTTACTGATAAACAGCGGGCGACCTCCGGCCCGAGCCTCTAAATATTAATATCTTATTTATTTGAACTGTCGACGTTCACATACACAAACACATACATACATACATTCACACACACACATACACACAGGGTTGTGTGTCCCTGTTCCTAGACCAGTGTCCCGTGTCCAGTGTCCTTCCAATACATGGATGTATGATGTAGGTATACATATAATTTAAGTAACAAGTATGACAGTACTTATAATGTAGGTATACCTATTAATAGTTTATTTAACCGGCCGGCTGATGATATTTAAAGTATACTTAGTTATTAATGAAATTGGCAAACACATTACATTAATCGATCATAAAACCGTTACATTCTTTGAGTTCGGTAATGATGTTGGTCATTTAGGAACCCGTCGCACCTCAGCGCCCCCCCGCGACACACACACACACCACACTAGCTACTAGAATAACATAGAAATCTTTTGTAGAACAATCTAAACGAAATGTATCAACTATAGCTACCAAAGTATAGGTATGCCTCTTGTCCTCGACAATAAGTTTTTATTGTGTCGTTCAAAATTATAATTACAAGTTGATAACAAATTAATTGGAACCAGAACTCTAATGTTTTGAACTTATTTATTTATTAAACTTGTAACATGAGTACTCGGCGAGAGATTCATTGTGAGTTCGGTCACTGACGGCGTTTGGGGTACCTAATAGAAAAAAGAGGATTGTTGTTGTCCTATTAGTTAGTGAGTTATCCGTAAACAAATACAACACAGACAAATAAACAAAAATACATATTGTTCCTGTTTAAAACCTAACATTATTATGTATTAAATGTATAATCTTTTTATTATACAGAAGTTTCATGTCTGACATTTAATTTTTTATAGGTAAATAATATAAGTTTCTTAACAACCAAGTCTGTTCATTTCAATTGTTTTTTTTATTATTTCATATATATAAGTATTTAACATCTGTTCAGACTTTCCACAATTATCGTGGACTCGTGTTTATAATAATATCACAGTTGACATTACATACATACAATACAACCATACAGACATACAACACAGATGAATATAAAACATTTTAGATGACAGACATGGTGGAAAATATATCGGTACGTGTGAGTGGAACGCGTCCCTCCTCGAAATATTAAAAGAAAATAGGCGGAATATAAAAATATATATAACATTTTTGGATGTCACGGAAGAATATTTACAGTCACAGTTGAAACCCATCGATAACGTTTAGTTTTGTTTCATAAACAACTCATCAAGTGGTTTTTTTAGGAAACCCCAAAAAATTGCAAAAGAATTAAAATAATAATAATAATATTTTTATTTTCAGACAAATTATATCCATATTAAAAATTCAGTTAAAGCTAAGAGTTAGTAACAAAATGTATATAAAAAAAATAGTTAATAATAAGAGAAATGCCCGTTCAGTCTCTTTATAAATAGGTACATATGTAGTTTACAATTGTTCAGTATCGAGTCTATGTGTTCTGAAGTGTTCCTTATTGAACATCATCACAACTGTAAGTGAGGGCCGTCTTTTTGTTTAAAGGTCAAACTGTTATCTAGGTGTATGTGAACGCGGGCGGAGGGTCCGGGCCCCTACCACGGTCTCTCACCAAGTATCGGAGACGGTCGACGGTGAATAATGTTCTAAATATTTGCGAGAAACTCGCCCTTTGTAGTATTGTTACAGTATGGAGTCATACCTGACAGGTTAGTCATCACCGACTAGTACATGTGGGGGTAGGGGATCAGACTGAACTAGTGAAATGGAAACATATGTTAGAGGGTCACTTATGATACAGGACGACGACACTTATATGTTACAATATATAATTAATTACTCAATTAATATAAATATTAATTACAATTTCAGTAGACCACAAGCTAAGGCTCTAAAAATCTTTTAATGATCAAGGGACTTATACGAAATATGAATATTGAATTATACAACACAACAAAAAGTAAATCAAATGATGTTTCATATTCTGTAGACTCCTCCAGTTCCTACCTATATTAATACATATTAAATACCTACTTGTATTCTTAGTTTTGTGTCGTGTTGTGTTAAGACAAACAACATTAAAGAATTATTAAACGAGCTCATTATCACTATTTGTTTTAAAAATACATCGTTTATTGTAATAATAACTTATTAATGTTCTGTTTCGTTCCTCACTTCCTGTGTGTTTGTGACCGCGGGCTAATTAACAATATATTCACATTTATGTTCGTGGTTCATAAAAACCGTTAAAGCTGAAACGTTAAACCCATTCACATATACATATAATATATATTGTACGTGAAAAAAAATCTATCATCCATCTGCTTTGTTATCAACATCCGACGGAAAGACAAACATGTTATAAGCAACCATTATTTGTCTTTCTAATGAAACACAAAATTTCCTAATTACTGCTTAATACCGAAGGGTCATTACGGTCGCAGAATTATATCACGCATTCTGAGGAATAAATATTTTATTATTTTATAATTATTAGTTGTACATAAATAGAAGTTAGGTATATATCTGTGTCAGTCGATCTCGTTACAATAAATAGTTTCCATGTCAACAGCATGTAGAAAGTAATACTACCACAACAATGTATTGAGTGTACTCCCGGTCGAAATTTTTGGTTGCCGAACCCTTTAATAACAATATTATGTATTATTGTAACGATTAAAGTATTAAGGTGTCGTTGTGTAGGAGTTAGTCACCGGCAGGTAATGTCCAAAGTCTGCCTGACGCCGGTTCCCACCGTCTTCCGCGAACAACTCATTAGGAGGTTAAACTAATCTGGAGGTTAGCTCTGTTCCATTGATACAATTCAATGTATTCCCGAGAAACTCTTGAATGGGTCGCCGTCTTTACTTTTACGTGTGTATCTATACATACTTATTGTTTATAAATACTTTAATAGGACACCAGGTTTCGAGAACATTACATAATCTACACGACGTGTACCTAGTCTATAAATGTTAAAATATGTTGTAGAAAATGTTCACACCGATGAAACTACGTCAGGAATTTTAATGAATGAAGTGGAATCTATGTATGAGTCGATTAGAGAATATTACGAGTATATTTATCAGCGCAGTATCGGCGAGTTCATTGTTGCTGCGGTGATATGAGCGGACCGCGTCGGAACACTTCCGCGGTCTATCTTATCGCCGCCGAGGCAAGGACGAACACAATCTCTGGAGCTCACCTTACACAGGTCACACATACCCACCTGCTCCAGGACCAGCGTCACATGGACCGCTCCCGACACTTCTCGTTCGCCCGCGACATGTGCGTCTCCACGCCGCGCCGCTTGGGGTGGTTGTCTTATTATTTAGTCATTGTTTTAAACGATTGTTATTTTATTTGACAGCTCGTTGTCGGGTGTATGTTTGTGTATAGTGTTGCGGTCGGTCCGTCGTAATCCGTGTCCTCAAACAAAGGCCGGTCTGTGTTGGGTGCTGGTCGTATGATACACTCCGGGTCGCTCGCCGCGGGGTGTCCGCGGCCTCGCAGTTCTCACACTCTTTTTTCTTCGCATGTTACTCGGAAATGAGAAAAACGCTCCGGGAGCAGATTTACAACATTCTCTGCCGCTAATGCGATAAAATTTATTGATTCCCGGGAGACCCGCGACTAACATGTTTATAGAGCACTCCTCGCTTCATGGAAATATTGTTCGACTCCAACAACACTGACGACAGATATTATGAATATCTCCTGCGGATTTATTACTCTTTTTGCTCGTTTTGGGACGGCGTTCGTATCTTATTTGTTTAGTTAACAAATCAACTGTCTCGGTAACCATATTAAATTTAAATAAATGGTTTAGTTTTTGTAAACGCCCTGAAAGATAATAAAGTATTTTTTTTTCATCATGTTGTTAACGTGTCTGTTAGTCGCTGTCTCTCCACAAGGCCTCTCTCCCTATCTCTTCACACCAGTACAGGTCCAGGTCTCTTTCTCCCCGCAGGTCCCCCCTCCCCCCTTCCCCCCTCGTGTTCGTCTTGTTCTGATAACGCATCACTACGCTCAGCTGCACGTGCTCTCTGATACCGCTTATCTATGCTCGTATGCGATCAGCTGTGAATGAGTTCTGCGTTTCTAAACGACGCATTGCTAACGAAGGACGCTTATTGGAAACATTGATATCTTTGAGTTTTATTTACCGCATACATTTATTATTGAAACAATATTGAAAGATTCGTTTTTGAAACAATATATTATGTATTTAGATTTGTCCTCCTGTAAAACCGGGAAACGTATGAGCCACACGTCTATTTTAATATTCTCCACCCTTCATCCCTATATAATATGATGTTCGTGAGGAGAGTGATCGTGACGTATGTTATGTATATACAGTATGTGGTTGGTGGTGGAGGTGGTAGGGGGAGTGTTCCCGGGCCCGAGTGAAGGGCTCCGAGGGAGGGTCGCGCTCGGGCGTGCTTCATCAGCGAGCAGTCAGTAGTCAGTCCCGAGGCAGGCGCCGACACGAGCGCACGCGCATCACTCGCTCACGGTCCGCTGCTCACGAGCCGCGGGTAGTGTAGTTTGTTAATGATAATGTTACACGACGCGTGGCCCTCCGCCTGGCCCAAGACCGAGAACTTCGAACTGGACGCTCTGTTCGGAGAGGTGAACAACAACTGTATCAAAGGTACGTACTGCTCGCTTCATAACCACATATCGTGTTGTATTAAATCGAAATAAACTAAAGTGCGTTCGTTACCGCTCCACACATGTGTTTCAAGCGGCACTTTCGATTATTTCGATGTCCCATTAGTAGTAAGAGCGACTCGGTCGTCGTCCGCACAGTATTGTATCGTCTGAGTGCGGGGGTCGTCCAATGGGAGCTCCTCGGCGAGGCTGGCGGCTGGTCGTGACTCGTGTGTGTGTTCAGAGGGCGAGGCGGAGTGCGGCGCGGCCGGCGCGGACAGTCCGCCCCCGCCGGCTCTCGGCTACGCCCCCGGCGAGGAGCTGTCTCCGTCCCACTCGCGCAGCTACCAGGAGCTGCGGCCGGCGCCCGCGCACGCTCACCCGCACGCGACACACGCACGCGACATGCAGGCCTACGCGCACCTCGAGGAGAGCCTGTTCAAGCCGGCGGGGGGCTCCACGGACGGAGCCTACCTCCGCGGCCGCAGCCCCCGGCCCACGCCGTCCCCGGAGCGCCGCGACGACTACCGCGCGCTGCACTACGAGTCGTACGCGGGCGCTCCGCCGCCGCCCCCGCCGCCCTACACGCACGAACACCATCATCACGTCGACGGGTGAGTAAAGACTACGGTGCCTGTTCATATTAAACGTAACACACTCGCCTCCATTACTTTGTGATACATTTTAAGAGTATGGTGTATGCCCCGACGTCACCCTTCAATAAATACAATGCTTGTCGACCTTATGTTTTATCTTCTTCTAACGTCTTCAGCTAATTTTGAATAGTTATTAAAATTATAAATTATAATGCCGTTTCTCGTCTAACATAATTCATATTATTCCTTTAAATTATGTATATAACTAAGACGTCTACTTGAAGATAGAAGTGAAGATTTTTTACTAATCAAAAGATGTTCATCAAATGAAACCGTCCCCTCTCACTGACAATAATAATTTAATGAATTTCAATAGTTTCTCGTGACTTCAATCACAAACGAAAGAGCAAAATATTAAAAGAAATCTAACAGTTATTTGTTGGAAGTAAAATAACAAAAGTTTTAATGAGTACTTGTAGTGAACATTGTCTGTTCCGAACGCCCGCGACCCGCGAGTCGACGGCCGTCATTATCTGTGTGTATTTACTTTGTACCTAATTATATTATAATATTAGAATGTCATTTATTAAAACAAACACGAGTCTCCAAGATCTGCGCCGCGGTCACTGTTTTCCTTCAAGTTTATTGTTGTTTTATTATTATACTATGTATTAGTGTCAGACTTTATCCTCAACGGCTCGCCCAGTTTAAACGCCGGAGAGAGGAGACTCTCAACAAGATGCATTGTTGTGAGCAATTAAGTATTACTTTTGGTGTATAACATAGATGGCCTTTAAGAAATTTGTGAACTATGAAAGATATAAACTTAAGGGTTGAGATGAGAGGGCATCTGAATATAACACGGAACTTGACAAAAACTATGAGACTTCATTATGTAATATTATATAGGTACTACAGTTATGGAAGATGGTAGAAGACAAAGAGGACGTCATCACGAGTGTCGGAACACACGGACACAGAACAGAACGTTAGGAGAGTGAGGTTAAGGAACGGTTAGGACGGGACGGAACGGAACGCCCGCGCCGCCTGAGAGTCAAATACAAAGAAACTACTCCTAATAATAATTTCTAATATCTCGTTTTGACTTCAAACTAAACGTCATTGATTCTCTCCTAGTGCTTGTCGTCCATAGTCTTTCTATGTTTCATCTCATCTTCATTCGCAGCTGGTCCCTGACCGTTTCCTTCCTTTCTGTCGTCTCCATTCTTTACCAGCTCCAGCTCCAAGTGTCGTTCTCCACGTATCGTGTGACGTGTGTGCTGTGTGTCGAGTGTATGTTATCAGCCAGTACGTGCCGCTCCGTGTGTGTCGCAAGCCGCATTCCTCGCGTCTTCATCCCCACGTGCCGTTTCACTGAACACCAGGCGGTAGTTTTCCGCGGGGACGATATCGATGGACGAGCTCCAGCGACACACACGAGGACACAACGCTCACACCTCACCTGACACACTGTCAATATCCATAATATGATATGTTAAATGACAGACAGTACGAGCTGGTGACGCCGCTGTCACCGGATCGCTGACTCCAATGTAACACCCCTCCGAACTACTTCACTGTTGTTAAATCAACCAATAGTATGTAACGAGATCTGTGTATGAGCGTATGTATGTGTGTGTGTGTGTGTGTGAATATGTGAGTGTGTATGTGTACTTATGTATGTTTGTGTATCGTAACTACTAAGTTACAACACAGTCGCTCACCGCATCACCGGCCCTAGCGATGACGGCTCACGACGATAATATAATGTGTCCGGAAACGAAGGGTAAAGTCAAAAGTCTGGCTTACTTTTACATGTGATTCATTTATTGTCACAGCTCATACTACACGCTTATTCTACACATATGTACATACACATGAGTCCAGTTCTAATGACTCGTAACACAAAACATATCGATTCTCATAGGTATTATAGATCAGTTCCGTTCTCGTAACTCCGTCCGAGATGTTTCCTTCTTCAATTAGTAATCTGTTCCGATGTGTCCGTCGTTTGTACATTTCGCTGCTCGTTTATTTAAAAATACTAATGTAGAGCACAATTTTGGTGTCGCGTTGTTATCGCGCAATTAGCGGAGTCACGCACACACGGACGCCGTCCCCTCTGTACACACAGCCCGCAACACGCACACACGCACACACGCACACACGTACACGACTCACTCGCTGTTTTGATGACTGCACGCACACAGAGACAGACCGCCCGTTAGTAATAATACGAGCATTGTTTACAGAGCGACATTTATTTTTGTAATTTTATTGTCATTGGTACGTTATCATGTAGAACTGTTTCCGAACGTTTCACGGACGGCGGTCCATCGGAACTCACAACAATACTCCGCCTATATCTGAGGGCAGATGCCTAGAGATCTATGTAATATTTCGTTTACAGATTTTCTTCACCGAATCCAATACGAATCTTTTGGTCAACGTTAATCAATGATTCACGATGCATGTTCTGTGAACACAATGATTCGTTTATTTCTTTATATCTGAAGTCCTCTATCGAAGGAGACATCAACGATAGTTTTCGTAACGACTCCGAGATATCTTTGTCTAGCGAGTGTGACAGGTGACGTACACAGTTTAAGAGTGGGTTTTTTTTTTGGATTTTCCATGAATATTATACACAGTATGTGTGATTATTTTCTTATAATTCGGTACATAGTGTCGATATATATTATATATAGTAGTTTGCAAGAAACATGTTACCATTCAATAACATCATCATAGCGGTGCTAGTGACGAGACGGATCCCTGTCACTGTTAAACCCTCCACTGCCCACAGTTATAAACATGTTGAATATGACTGTAGGAGTGACGGTAATACATCGCTTAAATGTGAAGATAATTATCATACATAAGGAGATACGTTTTGATCACTACAGAGCTATTTGCCACGTTTATAAAACACGTTCGTATCATTTATACAGGGTGACTGGTGAATTACTATCAATATTTAAGGAGAATACTCGGTACATGATTTTCATTCGAATTATGTAAAAAAAATAGGTACTTAATTTTTGACCAAATTTCCGTATAAATAAATAAAGCGTGGGCACGTTCCAAGTGTTCCAAGTGGCCGCGTGCGGCGTAGTGCTGATACAACACTACGCCGCCACACGCGTATGTGTGAGTGTGTGTGTATACCTAATCTGTAGGGTGTTCACACGATGCGTAATTAATTACATAACTTTTGGTTAACTTTACTTAGAAGTTTATTAATATTTATGTTATATTAATTTTTATCTTGTCATATATGATCGTCAAATATCACGTCCTAAAGTATTGATAGTAATTCACCAGTCACCCTGCATATCTATGTATACTGTACACTCAGATTAACACAGCTTATATTTTGTATCCAACAAGTATTATGAGGCGGCGAACATTTCCCTCCACTTTTTATTGACTAACCCTTGGTGACTGGTGAGAGGAACACACTTCAGTAGGTATATTCGATTCGATTCTTCACTCCTGGTTTACGAGAAATGGTCGTAAAAAACGTTAAGCTTTTAAATTGTAATATATAAAATATTCCACATTTAGATGCATTATGATAATTTATATAAAAAAAGTTTAGAGAATAAATTTATTATTATTTGCTTCTTACATACTTGTGTATTAAACAAAAATCCAAGTGTAGACCAAATAAAAAACATATTGTAATAAAGTGGCGAGAGGTCAGCAGAAATAAAAAGCTGCCTAGTAAGTATTCAATGAGACGGTTCAATGTTAGTAAAATGAGAACGAAATGAATGTGAATGACACACAGGGCGAGTGTAGTGTGCTGTATGTATGATATGAGACAGAGTCACACCAGCCAGCCAGCCAGGTACAGGTAACTTGTGAGGACCCTCTTTTTGTGGCTCGTTAAATACATTTGTTTGTCAATATGGGGATTAATTTATAGCTAATGCGCTAAGACGCTGAGCAAACGAGAGGGGAACAGCTTGTGCAAATAATGAGAACCGACTCGGAACAACGGAAGATTGAAAAAAGGCTGTGTTTGTTGACACTAAAACAATACTCGCCTCGATGATAATATGGAAAGGTGACAAACATTATATATACTCGTACCTATAGGTACCTACATATGTGTGTCCGCGAGTCGTGGCTGAATATTGTTTGTAATAGAATGTCATCTACAACCAGACTGTCACGTCCGAATTTATCATATTAATGAACAGGTGAACGTAGACACTGACAGTGTTGTAACATCTCAGCAGTTTGTAATAAAAATATAATCGAAACATCAAGAACCTAATGACAGTTAGTTATTTTTTCATGTTAAATAAAAAAAAAATGGTGACTTGACTGCTTACTATTAGTAACCACACGCGGGTCCATTCATCGCGGATGTAATTTATTAGATCTCGTTATAAATCAAAATTTTCCTCGATTTAATTAATTCTAAAACTCACACAGAGCCTGTTGTTATTTAACTTTAAATACAAGGAAAAACAAACATGGATACAATGTGTTAATTATGAAATTATTGCTTGTTTATTGTAGCGGTAACAGTCATATAATATGTATATGTAATAATCAACGTTTATGATCACTGATAGTCATCTCATATCAAGGTAAGGGAAGGAAGTGTCTCTGTTCTTTGAGTATCCTCGCCAGGTGAGGCGCTAGCGTCGTGTTTGCTTTTGAAGAGCTCAGTTTTTTGTGATCTCGAAGGCGCTATTTTACACGTTTTAAGAGCCGTTCGTTTCTAAATTTGTAGTTTTTATTTTCGGTCCGTGTCGAGTGACGACTTAAGTGTCTCAAATGAGTTATTTGTATAGGCTCTTAACGTCGGGTCCGGGGAAGAGCACGGCGAGTCTACTAAATATGGCGCGCGCAATAAAACACAAAGACTTGCAAGTGATAGGACGGTTTAGAACTAATTAATTACTGGCGACGAAAGTTTCTTTAACATTCTGTGTAAGATATGGGCGAGAGGGATGGAGGTGGTCGGGTCAGTGACACTGTTGGAGAAGATGTGTATTAGTGTGACCTATCGTGTGGGGTGTGGGCACGTGCTGGAGGATTCAAGGATGGCTTCAGACCACCGGAGCGTCTTGCTGCGGGTCCGTCTGCTCGCACGTGCCGCGTCACACACTGACTGACGGCCGGCTGCGGGTGATGTCCTCGCACTGCCGACATTACCTGCATGTATCGTTCTCACTTTTCCTGTAATACTAGCGACTAGGATGCGGGCTTGACTGACAGTACCCATCGAGTCATATAACTTCTCCAAGTGTATCTAATACTTACTAAGCTTCGTTTATCAATGTGGTGATAGGGAACCAAATGTCCGTCCGTTATCTTACAATTTCAGTTCATCGACAGAGTTATTTTCATTTGTAAGAGAATAAAGTTAAGGACCGACCATCTACTCGTACTAGTCCGTTGTGAAACAAAGTAACCGCTTAGCGATGTTTGATCATTGGAATGGGTGCGTTGTGAATAAAAATATCTGCTTTAATTTCAGTAACTTTAATATTAATCTGAACAGAAGTATTCTGATCTTCGGTAATGACTAATGAGTGTGGTACTATTATAATACACGTTAATGTATGCAAGCGGGACGAGGGCGCCGGAGGTGGAGGGAGGGGCTGCTGGTGGTACTGGGGGGGGGGGGTAGACATAGATAAGTCGCACTTCCGAAACTACGTGTTCCAGACCACTAGACGTGCGCTCCTTGTACTTAAACATCGCATTACAAATATAACTTGTAGATGACATTACTTAGTGTTAAATATGTAACATTAAATAATAATTATAAACACATTCATATATCTATGTACCTACTTATAACCATTTTAATATTTTGCTCTTTAGAATCTACTTACATCTGTTTTACGTGATAGCATTTCAAACACAACAATATGGACCATATTGTTATCTAATAATTTTGTCTGTGAGATTATTCCTTGGTTTCTTGTAGGTATATGTTTGACATATTTTTTTAATTTCGAAAACATGAAGGTATAATGATTTTTTTTTGCATGCGTTTTTGGATAATCGGTGTATAATCTTATGCATTTAATTTAGTATTATGCATGTAATTTAGTACCTTAAGTTAGTAATAGATGGCAGCAGTGATAGAAAGTAAAACACGCTAACAAAATTTTTATGGTATTAGATATAAGCCAAATTAATTTAAATATAAAATGGATCTGAGGGATCTGAGATCAAAACACAACAGAGTGTTTTCATTGTCAAAACCCTGGGGTACAGTTCCTTATTACAAGCGAGGCAGTGTCTTGTAAAATCGGTGTTTTACAATCTCTTGATAAAATACATTTCTTTATAAATAAATTGTCAACTACATATTTTGTTATTAATATAATTATGTGGCACTTTTAAGTCAGTTTACAACATTCAGTTAAGGTACCGCCGTCCACCAAACACTCGTACGTCCCTTTCTCTACAGATAACCTGATCTTTTATTAAAACAATATTTTTATCTCTCCTCCCCTTAACGTATAGTATGTCGTCTCACTAGTCCATAGTTCGTCAAAGCCTAATCATTAGTATTTATTTCCTAGTTACCAAATTCGTTGTTACCGACTAGGCTATGTTTGTGAGTCATTCCGTACACGCCGCCTCTAAACACGGCTCGGGTCGGATAGCCTCTTTTGCATGTCGAACTTTGTGTTTAGTCAAAGTGAATCATCTCCTCATATGAATGATGTGCGGAACTCGGAAGCTTTTATAACGGAGTTCTGTTGCTACATACAACCTAAAAACGTCGACTGGTATCATGTTTCATACGAGACGTGTGGTATATGGTCGTGAAACTCATCGTTGAATAGTGTTTCCTTCGTTTTAAGTTGTTGAGTTGACTCTAAAGTGTGTATGTTTCAGTGGGGGAGGAGGAGGTGGCAGTAACTCGGTGTACTCGCGGTGCTCCTACCCGACCTCCAGCTCGCCCTACTTCAACGGAGACAACATCGGACAGACGCAGCTGTGGAGCTCCAGCGCCGGTAAGCATCACAGATACAAGTTTTAGTTTACTGCCAAGCTATAGTCAGGAAGATGTAAGGTGTCTGTGTATGATACAGCGGGTTCCCCTAACTATGGCGGGGCCGGTGTGATGGAGGAGTACAGCGAGGCGGGCGAGGCGGAGTCCCCGGGCGCTCTGCCCGCCTTCAGTCGGTTCGCTCCAGCCTTCGCCGCCGTCACTTCGCGGCCGTCCATCGTGTATGGAGCCAACACGCTCGCCTCCAACGCCTATGGACAATCTGTAAGCACCGTATATATCTATACCTACATGTACGAGACATACCAAAGTATGTAACATCGCGCCACGCCTGAACGAACTCGACCCGAAGTTCGCTGTCGATGAAATCATTTCTGAAATTATTAAAAACGAGTTCGTTTTACATATTTTTAGTATAATTAAAGACATACTTAGTATTCGTCGCCGAGCAGTCGCTACACCGACGAGCCATATGTCACCGATAACGAGGCCGTGATCAGCCAAGCTTGACACTTGCCTAACTATTACAATAAAACATACTACACCTTCAGTTACTAGGAAACGGCTCCATGTAGGGTGCGCGATAATTAAGACACTGCTTTACCAGTTTCTTTTAAGAAAGAAAACTTAGGTCTATATTAGACGAAATTTACATATGTAAGCCACGAAATTATATGTAAAGTATTTAAACTCTCTTTAAATAAGAACTAAGGGTTTGAAACTTTGTTAAACTATCAAAGAATTCTAAGATATGTAGATCCGGTGACTCACGAAGGGATTCTCAAAAGACTTAACATAAATTGCACAAAAGTTGGATGCAACCAGATAAGTATTTGAAAGAATATAATAGCATTAAGGTAACAATAGATAACTTTTTTGTGTTCATAAATGATTAATGGGTACGTCATCAACTAGAGAAATAGTTAAGGAGTAATTAGTTAACGATCCCAATAAGGGAGTACGATGATGATGATGTGATGATGAAATGGTTCCAGGACATGTGGGGCCTCAACGGTGGACGACGGAACCACCTCTCAGCGGCCGCCAGCCTGTCAGCGAGTGAGTATACATGTGACCTTATATACGGAGGATATGTTGTTTAAATAATAAGTTAATATTGAAGAGTTGTACGAACTATTATATAACATATTAACTATTACATGTCGTGCGTTGTGTTGTGAAACATGTGACACATTTAGCACGTCAGTAGGTACTCAATACCGGCTCAGCGGCAGTACGAGAGCGAAAACTGCGAGCATGTCATAAACGGAGCTGTTAGTACTAAATATTTAGAAGCGTAACATTAGCTCGGTACACCGTTAACGGCACACCTACTGACTTTTGAGTTCAATATCGAGCCTCGAACATTCAGTACTCGCTCTTTGTAAATAAAACACTTTAAAAACTATGTTGGTACACAGAATAAGTAACAGAAGTAGTGTGATTACTGTAGTTAACATTAAAAATAGAAAAAAAGGGGAGATGTCTCCGATAATATAATACTATGAAACACAAAACGATCAATAGAGCGATATTCGAAATGTGCCGATAACAAGCGTACATAGTGTGTGTGTATGGGTGTGTGTGTGTGTGTTTGTATGTGTGCGTGTGTTTGTGTATGATATAACTTTTGGGAGAGGTCAGAGCGCGATAGCCCGCCCCGCCGCTGTCAGAACTCATTATTAATACGCTCCTAAAGCTCCTCCAGCCGCTGATAAGTGATCTCAGCTCTTCATTGTCTGCTACAGGCCGTGTAACGCGCCGTCGCTGAAACAGATTTTTTCACATTTACTTCACAGCCACTTGAACCTTCGTCAGTTCTCGCAGCGGCCGAATGGGTTTTATTACAGTTTTGTCACCCATTAAATAATGAATGGCTTTTCTTTGAAAGGTTTCTCTAGTGCTCGAGTGATTTAATAAACATTTAAAATCTTTTTTGCAACTTGAGCGTCGAATTTATAACCCCTAATAAAAACATTCACCAAATTTGTTTGTTTTGGTGACAGAGAGACTTCTCTTTTTATTACCACCTCGTATATCATTAGATTACGAACTCGACATTAGGCATGTTCACTTCATTAAACCGTCAGTCAGTAAGCGAACATATTCATAGCAAGTCTCCCGTCAACAGCCAGGCTCGGTCGGGTCATCTTCATTGTTCGTCCGTCTTTATTGACGTAGATCGCAGGTCGCAGGTCCCGACAAAAAACGATGTCATGTCACTAAACAAACTCGTTCCCTTTTAAGCGCATTAAAATCGCATTCCATATAAGGCATCGGATAAGGCACGTGCCGCGCGCAAACATCTCCGACAAACGTCCGGTGACCAGCTTACGAGACCCTCGACACAGACACACATACTGGCCTCACGCGGGACACTGTGTCGGCAAACATTGAGGCCATGTGGACATGGAGTTTAAACTAAAAAAATATACACTGATAGAAATAAAAGTAACGCTAGCGCGGTCCTTAGTTCCGTGGACATTATAACATTTTTATACTATCGATCTTTATTTAATACAATAGAAGATTTTAAATCATTTTATCTTCCTATGTGGGAGAACCCAATAATTATTTCGCACGTTGTACAATATTCATATGTCGGTTGCATTTTTGTCCGCAACTACGTCTTCTAAGTGATAAGTCAGCATAAGTTAGCCGTTCGTCAGCGGGTCGTTATCGTGGAGAGAGCCGGAGTGAGCAGTCCTCGTTAGGACACAATAAACACCATTAGGGCGAGCTTGGACCATGACGTCACTTCCTACCAACTATTCTAGATAACTGAGAAGGACACCACTAACACACAGACCATGGAGTAGAAAAAATAAATGGAATCATTAACTCTGCTAGTTCTATAAGCCGTCAGCTAATGAGAAATAAATACAATGACTACTTTATATAGATAACATCAAGTAACGTATTTTTGTTCCTCGTTCATACATTTCCTATAAGTCGCATAGTGTTTATATCTGTATAGTTATTAGCGTCATATGTAAACTTCCCACAGGTCATTTGATACAATCACGATCCGAGCGCACATGGCTCTGCTCTCGTCGTTACGAGCGAGCGATGATGTTCACAACACATTACACAGACGCGGCCGGGGAGTAACGTGACACGCGCCTCACCCGGAGACAGAACATGCTCGATACATATACGGCGTTACAAATTATTACTAATAAGTGAACCAACATAAAAATCAACTCTGTAACTTCCGGGTCTCTCAGCTTACAAAGGAAACTGTTACGAAGCCTTCCTCGACACACACACGCATACTCACATCCTAACATAATAATATTTACAAGTCGTACATAGGTATAGTCGTACAGCCGATACGAGGCTCGCAACAATAGCACATTATAATGGAACACGAAACTATGGCGCATTCTCGTAAGTAGTGTAGTTCTCAGTAGAGCGGCGAGTACGGTGAGTACGACTGACCCGGAGACACAATAGCATGGATTTAGTCACGAGCGGGGCGCGAGGCACGCGCGACGACCGGAGCCGACTCAGCGCTCTTTGACGGACCTGACTCACTGAACGACCGGCGTGGCCATTGTCAAGGTTCACGAGGTTCGACGATCGGTTGCGACTCTGCTGACCCGGCTTTATTGTTGTCTTTATTGAATCAATTAACAAAAACAATTCGTCACATTACGTATATCGCCTACAAGCGAAATTATTGTCTTATTCATAAAATTATATAATAACATCGAACTCTGATGACATGCTCGCTGAGTTTCGCGAGCTTGCTATAACTTGATGTGATTAATAAATCGGACGCTCGGTGCCAACGGATTAGCGCGGAGGGCCGCGGGCTAGTGAGCCGGGCTACAGGTGTGAGCTAATGGTGTGTTGCGCAGTCGACATGGCGGAGGTATTCACGGAGGGCAGAGAGTGCGTGAACTGCGGCGCCATCGACACGCCGCTGTGGCGACGGGACGGCACCGGCCACTACCTGTGCAACGCGTGCGGGCTCTACACCAAGATGAACGGCATGAACCGGCCGCTGAAGCCCCCGCGCGGCGGCTGGTACGTCAGCGGCACGCGGCGCAGGCGCCGGCGCCCGCTCCCGACGTACGCAGGCTCGCCCTCACGACCTCCGCTCGACCGCCCCTCCCCCCCACCAACCACCCTCGCCCTCCCCGCGCCCGCGAGGAATCCGCGCCCGAGCGTCCGCCTCGCGCGCTCCGTAGCGTGACGGTGACATGACGCTTGACTGTTGGTTGCAGTGGCCGCAGAGGGGGCCCCGCCGGGCGCGGATTTCTACAAGGGCTTCCAGTTTAACGGCGTCGCGATGCACGCCTTGCCCGCGCCCTCGCCCATCTGTGCGCCCGCGCTCGCCGTCTCCACTCCCCCTGACTACAAACAGAAGAAAGGGGTACGTCCACCCCTCCTGCAGCCCCGACTCCTAGACCCCTCGATGTATCCTCGTTTAAACCTCTCGTTCGTGCGAGTGTTATCTCTTAGTAACCCCTGTCTGTCTCTTTCTTGTGTCGAGTCTATGTATGTGACTCCTCCTTCCTCCTCGTCTCCCGCCGCAGTCCATCTGTTCATCCTCCCATCCATCCCAATGACCTGTTTTCATTAAATCCCATATCAATCATAATCACTTCATCATCAATTAACATAAAGTTTTTTCAAATGCTTGCACTTTGCTATTTCACTTTCAAAACTATACATTTTTATAGTACGAAATGTTTTAGTGACTGTTCCTGAGAGCTTATATGTACTTACTCATGACACAAAAACTAATATTTAGTAAAATAATAGTACAGTCATAAACATTATTACTATGAAAACCGTTTCATGCTTACCATTGCTGTATTCCACTTACAATTGTACACGAAACTAATTAGACGTGGTGTGTTCAGATGGGTACGAAGCGGCAGGGAGTGTGTTCTAACTGTGAGACCACCATCACTACACTATGGCGTCGGAACCCGCTGGGGGAGAACGTGTGTAACGCGTGCGGGTTGTACTTCAAGCTGCACGGCATTAACCGTCCCAAGAACATGAAGAAGGATTCGATACAGGTACGACTCAGGAGTCACCAACACCACCAACACTAAAACTAGACATATGTTAAGGCAAGTATTTTACATGTATAAATAATTTTCAGACGAGAAAGCGAAAATCCAAGAACAATACGAAAACAGAGCGCAATATAAATAAAACCACCGTCCGCTCGACTCTGAACGTGGGGACGACGGAGCTGGAGAACATATGTGAGTACAGACGGGAGACGGAGGACGTACAGACGAGCCGCTGATGTTCATACGGTATAGGGAGAGACTGACATGAGTGTATATCGTTTCAGTGGATATAGGCGCCTCATCCAGCAGCGCGCGCGGCCGGTCGCTGGGGTACTACGTGCAGCCGCACAGCGTGAAGCTGGAGGAGCCGTCGCCGGCACACGCGCACCAGCAGCAGCAGCAGCAGCACCAGCACCAGCACCAGCAGCAGCACCAACAGCAGCAGCAGGCCTACTACGACGACGAGTACCGCCGCGTGGAGCCGCAGGAGCGCCTCGAGCGGCCCACCGTGGTGTCGCTCGGCAGCTGAGCGCGCCGCACACCACGCAGCCTTGAGAATCTCAGTCGAATAAGATTAGTTAATGTAGTGTAGCGAGAGTGAGAGCCGAGGAGTTGCTAGTTGACCAAATATACGCCGCCCGCCGGGAGGCTGTTCCTGATGAAATATATGTAAAGAATAATTATATGAGTACAAGCATTTATAGAAAATTATTTAAAGAGAAATATTAAGAAGTTAGAACGGTACGCTCCGGAGCCTGCGTTCGGATTGTAGCAGTGAAGTTGAGTGAGTGAGTGAGGTCTCACACTGGGACGGGGCTGACCATTACTGTTACCAAATAATAATATATAGATCATACAACACGGTGCCTCGGCCTGACCGAGTTTACATTCCTATATATATATATAACGTTACTTAGTGTACGTCACACCGCGTCTTTTCGGAGCCAGATTGTACTCCATAATATATATGTATGTTATCACTTAAGCTCCATGACTTCTAAGTGCATTCCACGAATTTATAAGTTAAGATACTAATAAGATATATTAATGAATTGTTTGTTACACGTTGTGTTATATGTTTGTTGTGTGTCACGTGAGCCGGCGGGCTCGGTGCGGCCGAGGGAGGGGTGGCATCCAAATAATAATTGAATCTCATGAAAATATTGTCATTGTATAATAAGTGAACCCCTGTCTCGTCCGCGAGGCCCCGGGGTCGGACCGGCTCGCATCACGACTCCGTCTCTTGTATATGTATAATGATATGATGGACTTCTCATACTGAATGAACCAGTATCGTGTCCACGTGGTATCAGTCGATGCTGGTGCCGGGAGACGGGCGAGTCCTCTCGCTCGTCCCGACGGAGATCTGAGGCCTCTCTAATGTGCTACAAGCCGAATATATATTATATATATGATTATATTATAGAAATATGAAGAAATATTTTATCGTTATGTTAATTAGTTCGACATGTTAAAGATATAAAGTAATTTTATTGTGAATACTTTGCTCACGAGGATGTGTGTGTGGGTGAGCGTTCCTCTCATAATAATAAACATATAGTAGGGAGTCGCGACCAGCGCCGCGTCTCTTACAACTTGTAAATATTAAATAAAGTAAGAATACTATCAAAGTACACTTTTAATAAACCAAACTATTGATAATGTTGGTGGCATTTTTATTTATTCTGATCGTACCCAGCGGTGTGTCCCTACCGTAATACCTCGCACTATAAATACCTACGTATGTTTGTTTGTATATGTATGTTATAAGTGTCACAATGATCAGAAAGCGACCTCCATGTCTGAAGTGTTAGTTGAATGATCTTTGAGTTAAAAGAGAGAAAAATAACATTATATGTTTTCACAAGTGAAGTCAGATCTCTCATAGAACCAAACTATCAAATAATACATATGATAATAACATACTTTAAACGCAAGGCGGAGATGTGTACTCGTAGAAAAAGGACATATTCTACATGTCTATCTTCTATATATATAAAAATGGATTGCTGTTCCTTAGTCTCGCTAAAACTCGAGAACAGTTGAACCGATTTGGATAATTTTAGTCTTGAAATACTCCTGGAAGTCCAGGAAAAGTTTAAAAAGTGAGAAAAATTGGAATAATTGCCGAGAAAACCCTAAAAACAGCCCTTTTCTATTTCCCATACAAACGTGGTTTTTTTTTGACATTAGATTTGACAACTAACTACATAATATGTCAATCATTCTGTTTGATTGAAACAGGAAAAACCTGATTATTTATGGCCTCTAAAACGGAATAGAGTTCGTCTGGTCAGCTATACCTACATATATTACTCTTGACCAAACTAACGCGGACGAAGTCGCGGGCAAAAACTAGTCATTAAATAAAACTGCTAAGGGTAATATTTAAGGTAATGTTTCTGTATGTATCAAGCAGCAGTCCATCAAGGTAACCATTATCAAGAGTGAGGAGTCGCTGTCAGCGTTCCACACTACTCATCTTTATTCCATTTTCATAGAAGTTCTGTTTGTTATATTCAAACCAAAGATAATATTCATTTTCAAGTAGTATTTGACTGTGCAACTGTTTCAAGTAAAAACATCCACTGAACAATTAAGCCGCGAAGAATTTACTGCCTTCTCGTACATATCTCTCATAGAAATGGGCAAAAATGTTTTTTATTTATTAAGAACAATGAATAAGTGAGCTGACTGTAGATTTGCGAACACTAGGTTAGGTTTTAAGAAGTTTATTTCCAAAAAGAACAAAGTTCGCTTACAAAGGCAATTTTAAAATTATAACTACAATTAAGATTACAAATAATAAACAGTAGTGATATTAAACAAGATCAGTGAAATCATCTAATATATGGGTTCTTAATCGTTTTTTAAATATATTTAGAGATTTTGAATTTACAACACTTAAAGGCAAAGAGTTATATAGCTATGCTTCTTCAAATGAAATAGTTTTAATGCCGTACTTGGTTCGAGTTTTAGGTGTTTCTAGTTTATATCTGTTCCTTGTGTGGTAAGAATGGGTTTTGGTTTTAAATGCAATTTGAGAATGAGTATGGTTTGTTAATATTTTTCAAATAAGTATACCTACATAATTTATATTTATACATTTGTTTAATAGGTAAAATTTTAGTTGTTTTATATAAATCTTTAATCCATATTAAATAAGACCTTTATCAACACTAAGAACATGTTACCGTTACTTTCTTCATACACTGTTAGTTTCAACAAATTCTCTCTACCTGGAGAGGAGTGAGGACTGTGCGACCACTACTATATTCAGATACACTCATACATTAATAAACTCTCTTCAAGTTTTTAATTCATAAAGCTTCAAGTATTATGATATCAACTTAGTTACTCAATTGAGTGAGACACGTGAGACAGTATTCGTATGTTGCTTGTTTGTTTAGCAAATTGTACGTAATGTTTCAGGTACGGAAACGTTGGCACATGTTCTCTCATTGACCGTTATGGTTATCTTAATACCTATAGGAACGATAATTTTTACTTGTAATTTCGCCCTCGATAAAGTATATTTTTTACAGAATAAGTCATCTATTTGCCTTTCTATTTCTTTAACAAGGGTTAAGTAGAAACTGCGTGATTCGGTAACTAACTTAAACGAATAGTGTTAATTATAACAGACATAAAATACAAGAAGAATTATTCGTCAGGTTACACACCTTAATGAGAAGAAGCATCTTAGTGGGTACTTGATATACGTCATGACAATTAATAGCCAACACGAACAGTTTCTAATTCTGTGCATAATAATTTTATGATAGGATATGATGTCTTCAACAAAGGTGTAGGATGACAATTATGATGTGTCAGATGAACCACTTTAACTGATTGAAATAGAAAGATCCTAGTGAAAACTCTATGGAAAAAGTAAAGAAGAGAAAGATTGTATAACATATTATGACTTCTTAGGATACGAGACAAAAAAAAACGAGGTTAGATTACAAATAACACGAGTCCGTAACTGACATTCACGTATGAAGTCAAAGTTCAAAATTATACTTTAACAAAATATTGAAAAAGGAGGTAAAAAATATATATATAATACCTGAAAATCTAATTACACATCAAACTTATAAGAAATATATATATTATATAGTAAGGAATTAAAAAAGAAAATGAGGAGAGAAATATTGATGGTGAATGTGTTGTTAATTAAAAAAAACATGATTTTTGTTATAGTTTTGATGTTAACCAGTGCTTATAATAAGAGACGAAACCTCTTAGCATTTCACGGAGCGGGTGTCGGGTCCATCGTTACAGGGAGAGGAGCTTCAATAGTGACTGTGACTTGCGACCCAGGTGTAGGTTTAAGGGGTCCCTCTATAACGCGCGTTAAACGCTCACCTCCACTGTCCAAGCTCCCCTCCATACGTAATCAGTAGATATTATCACAAGAAAAATAAAGTAACAAACGCGGTACGTGCAGCAGGGCGGGGCTGGAGCGGGCGGTAGACAGGAGAATAACGATATTATATGAAATAATGGTAGCAGAAGGATACATCACATATGAAAGGTTTGTTAGACAGTAGCGGGTCCGAAATATAAAGAGGCAATAATTACGTTTCAGTGTATACTTATTGATACAAATCATTATCATCAACACAATCATCGGTATGGTAGTCACCACTAATAAGTCCATAGCGACAGTCTTACACATCATTGTTTAAATATTATATAGCTCTAAACGTATTTCTTTGACAAGTAAAAGATTATTCATTTTATTCACCCTATAGTAATATAGTTGTAACTATTGAAGTACATGCATTTTATATAGTTAGAAAAAAATAAACTCCAAAGAACATTCATATTAAAGCTAATCTTTTAGTAACATAATATGATAATAGTTATTTTTCTCAACGCTTTTCTAATAGTTTGTCTGAGCTCTTCTGTGCAAGTTGTTTATCAGAGGTTAACTCCAACAAATCAGTAAAAATTTAGAACAGTGACGCCGTTAATACTATTTATATTATTATTTTGTATATAGTAAACGTGGTGATAGTATTTCATCACTGTGGTCCGAGTGTTCATTACAGAACTTTGACGCTTACCTATATGTATTATATCAATATATTTTTTTTATGCAAAAAAATCACAAAGCAAAAAATCAAATTCCCTTTATAAAATATAAAACAATCAAAAGTTAAATATATTTTTCCTGTCTGTGTTTTATCTTTCACGATGTCAACTAAACTGAGGATTATGTCATAAGAAGAGCAAACAATTTACTCAAGAAGTTAGTTATTTTTATTGCAAACTCAATTACAAAGACAGGTTTTTCTCTATGTTTTAACATAAAAATGTATATCATAGTTCTTCAATGTGTTGTTTTATTATTAGTTTTTTTTTGTAAGAAAAATAATTCAAAATAATTTAATGAGTGGATATAATTATTTTCCTTAGTTATTGTATCTCGTCCACTCGTTGTTTATGATCACTTACCACGTCGTTTTTTTTTTATTATTTCAGAATGTGATCTTAAGGAATAACATGAAACTTGAGGAGTTTTGAATGTCTTTAATAATGATCACAACACAACGAGCATGTCGAATGTCTAAGCTTCTGTATACACTCTACTTAATATTTAATTACAGATTACTTTTAAACAATACTCATATACATAATATAAATGTTGAACATGAGGTGAGGCCGCCGTATTAGTTAATTCATCTCTACTGGCAGTTTAGACCAGTGCCGATTGCTTTTAAAACATAATTAAATTATAGTAGGATGAAACCTATTACATAAGGAGGGGATTATTATAAAATTAAAGGAAAAATAATTTACGGGCGATCTGAGGTCGGGAAGGGTATGGGGATGGGTATTTAAGGGTAAAAAATGGGTTTTCTCGATTTCCGACAAAACTAAAAGTCTTATGGAAAAAAGTTATACGGCAAAGTTATAGGTAATAAAAAGTCTAAAAGTTTTGTATTGACATTTTTTCATATAATCTCAAAATTTATGTGCAAATTCGAAAACCAAGATTTTGGTTTTTTATTTTTATCTCTTACAAAAAAACAATATTTTGTTACAAAATTTGGTGAAAACTTACTTTTTGATGTCCCAAATACACTCTAATTTATTTAATTAGAAATATTTATTTTTTCAGCTTATTTTGAATAAATATCAAAAAATCAGCCTCATTTTCAATCGAAAAATCACCCGTCAAAATATCATTTTTTTTCAAGGTATGTTTTCTGTTCATTAAAATCTCTGTTTTCCGATGGTGAAGAAAAAAATATAAGTTTCTTACTTGCAGTACCATTTTTGGATAAAATAATCATGTCCCTTTTAATGAAATGACACTCGATATCGTTTAGAAAATGCTCTTTCTAATTTACTTAATTTACTCTGAAAGTTCTCCAGATGGTCCCTCTTATGGAAACTTATATTTTTGTCTTCACCATCAGAAAATAGAGATTTTAATGAACAGAAAACATACCTTGAAAAAAAATGATATTTTGACGGGTGATTTTTCGATTGAAAATGAGGCTGATTTTTTGATATTTATTCAAAATAAGCGGAAAAAATAAATATTTCTAATTAAATAAATTAGATTGTATTTCGGACATCAAAAAGTAAGTTTTCACCAAATTTTGTGACAAAATATTGTTTTTTGTAAGAGATAAAAATAAAAAACCAGAATCTTGGTTTTTCGAATTTTTCACATAAATTTTGAGATTATGTGAAAAAATGACAAAACAAAACTTTTAGATCTTTTTATTACCTACAACTTTGCCATATAATTTTTTTCCATATGACTTTTAGTTTTGTCGGAAATCGAGAAAATCAATTTTTTACCCTTAAATACCCTACCCATTCCCATACCCTTCCCGGCCTCATTTTTCCTTTAATTTTTATAATAATCCCCTCCTTTTGTAATGGGTTTCTTCTTCTTCTACCTGGCAATTTCCCAGCTACAGCCAGGGTCTGCCTTACATGTTGTGAATAGTTTTTGGCTAATTGTTTTTACGACCGGCCGCCTGCCTGACATCAACCCTCTTTTGGGAATCAACATTAATCAGTGATGTCTAAATACTATTAGAAAGTACATATGATTCGGAAAAATCACATTGGTACTTGCCCGGGTCAGGATCGAACCCGCGCCCTCGGTGACGAGAGGCGGGCCCTTTAACCACTGAGCCACCACTGACTTAGGTTTCATCCTACTATAATTTATTTTCACTTTTCATTAATTTTAAAGGCTTCTGCACTGGCCTAGTTTGTTAGCGGAGTGGTCTTTAATAATAACTTGTGTCACTCTGTTCGAAGTAGTATGTCTTGTTGTAGGAATATTGAAATACACTTACATTTATTTATATATACTATACATAGTTACGTATAACTGCTTGTCATTTGGCCGGGCTTTTCAACAGTTCTGTTTAATTTTCGTTCTCTTTTCATTATATAATATGAAATAATAAATACGTTGCTTTCCACTATACCCAATATTTACCAAATATGTCTTAAGATTCACTTCTCACAGTCGTTACTTCTCTACAATTAGAATTCTCTTCCAGATATTCGGTTCACTAGTTATCATTAATAGAAAAACATACATACATACATACATAACAACATGAACACATACATAGTACGTATTTACAACAATAAATTTAAAATCCACGATAATTATAAATATATTTTAATTAATAATAATAACTTTTTCCACAAACAGAAAATTGTAAAAATAAGGCTTAATAAGACTGTCGAAAAGAAAAAAACATCATATCATCCCAAGATAGAAATGGTTGTGCATGAAAATTACATTATATACATACTTAAATTCTTTTCAAAATGAAAATCACTTTCGATGGAGAAACTTTCAATAAAGATTCATTATTTCTTTTTGTATTATTATATCCGTTATGTTATAGTTGTGTTTACCTCAATGCTTCTAATAAAGACATATCTAAAGGGTGTTTTTTTTAGAGATATACAACTTTAAGTGGCCAATACTTTTTTAACTGCCAGTTATTTTGATAGTTGTCCAGTGATTTGTGTTTAATTTGGTTTGGCAATTCATCATGAATAGACAAACGCCTGAGCAACGCCTCCAAATTGAGCAAATTAATTTTGAAAATCATGGCTCTGTTGTTGCGCAGTACGTCCATTTTAAGGTCCACATAATCGTCCATCAGAATAATTAATTTGATTAACAATGGAACGTTTTCACACTACATTTACTCTAAATGATAATACGCATCCACAGAGATGTCCTACAGTGCGTACAGAAGAAGTTATGTCTGGTGTGGAGCGTAGCGTAGAAGAAGACCCGAATCAGTCTATCCGCCGAATAATTGGTCCGTACTTCTTTAGAAACGATGCTGGCCAGAACGTTACAGTCAATGGTGACCGCTACAGAGCGATGATTAGTGACTATTTCGTTCATCAATTAAACAACCATAATGTTCAGGAGTTCTGGTTTCAACAAGACGGTGCAACATGTCATACAGCTCGTGGGACAATTGATTTATTAAGAGAAACATTTGGTAACCGCATAATTTCATGTTTCGGACCCGTGAATTGGCCCCCAAGATCATGCGATTTAACGCCGCTTGATTATTTTCTGTGGGGATATGTAAAGTCGTTAGTCTATGCTGATAAGCCCGAAGCTGTTGATCACTTGGAGGATAACATTCGTCGCGTTATTGCCGATATACAGTCACGAATGTTGGAAAAAGTCGTTGAAAATTGGACCTCCAGATTAAACTACGTACGAGCCAGTCGTGGAGGTCATATGCCTGAAATCTTATTTAAATTATAATGAAAGAATATTATCTTTTCAAAATATTATATTTCATATCAATAAAAGAAATCAATTTTGTTTTATTTTATTTCAAAGTTCTATACCTCTAAAAAAAACACCCGTTATTTTTAATTTTGTTCCGATCTAATTTTAAACAATTTAAATTAGTTCAAAAAAATGCTTATTCATTAAAAGGAAATAGTTTTTATATTGTAAATGTCTTAGAAACACACCCGTGAGGAGAGTGCGGCCGTCGGCTCACACAACAATAGTTAATATCTATATATATAAACATCTACAGGTATGATCAGATTGTAAATTATATATATATACATATATATTATAACTTTAAAAGTGAGTCTCCAGCGGCACTGGACGAGAAAAATTTGATCCGCAAACGATTAAAGTTTTTATTTTGTAATTTCTACCTATTGTATGTAAATCGACCTATTTTTATCAATTTGTACCAAATCTGACTTTCAGTGGGATGTTGACATTCACTGCTAAGTTACTAAATATTCGTACCTGTTGCTAAATTTGTTTGTAGGTACTATAAGGTAAACAGCTATTTGTGAGTAATTGTACACGAACGCTATTCGTGATTCAGCTTTGAAAAGGCCGAGGGGTAGCAGGGAGGGTGTGGGGGGAGGGGGAGGTGTTTTGAACGTACTGCTGAAACAATATGGCGTCTTATCGAGCTCATCGCGTCACGTGTCCACCCCCCCGCAGCCCGCGCCCCGCAGCCCGTAGCCCGCGGGGGCCGATCCCCTCGCACCTCACCTCTCGCGCTTTATTAGCTTTTTACGGAACATATTCGACGAAAAAAACAAGTGATAAGACGATGACGAGGTCGAACGACGTCCATCAATAATCCGTGGACGTGTCGAAGTTATCAGATGGCGAGGGGATTATGATCGGCGCCGCCTCGCTCTGGCACCTACTTATCGGATCACACGCGACCTGACCACTGACACCACTGACACCACACACAGCACCGACACCACACACACTGCACGTACAGGAGTCCAAACCCGAGAGAGAGAGAAGCGCCGCCAGCTCTCCGGTGATGGTCTATCTCCAAGCGGAGTGTCGCTGGTAATGAGTCAATGGCGAAGATACGCACTCTCGTAATCAAATCTGTGGGCCTTCTATCTGATAATTACTCCATATCGGGGATGGTATCGCGATATCTCAGCTACCGTAGATATGGCTTAATAGCTCGCCGAGGCTGGGGTGCGACACATCCAGCCGCGCCGAGACGAGCTCGAGGCCATGGAGGGTGTGAGGAGAGGTGGGGGGGAGGGTGTCTGGTGCACTCGACGCCGATGCCTACAAATATTTGCGTAGAGCCCGTCGGGCCTGTTTGTTTTCCTTATCGCGTCACTCGTAGCACACCCAGCGATGGGTCCACACCACGCCACACACACACGACCTCGCGCCACGTCAACCAGGATTCGTTCACTAACAGTCACTCACTAGAACATTAGTCACACTCGTTCGCCTCTCTTTATTCGGCGTTCGAGGACACCATATAGAGTCCAGTGAGTCAGGAGGTCGCTATCACGAGTCGGAGTAACTGATGACCGTACAGGTTCATCAGCTGTTCACAGAGATACTGTATCTGTTGTAGTTGGTATGATTATCAAACTCTAAGATAGGCAATCACACATTAACACCTAGTTAAGATAAAACAGATAACGTTTTGCATAACAGAGGAGTGTAACGGACGGCGAGGACACACGGAGAGGGGAGGTTGCACCCTGACGACTGAATAGAACGATTATGATGGGAGTCTCTTACAGAAATACTTCAACACTGTTTTTAATAAGCAGATATTACGCTTCGTAATGTTATGGTTGTTTGTGTTTGAACACAGTTTATTCTATCTCGTTTTGTATAACAGATGTATTTTAATAAAATTTATAGTTTTACTTACAGTAAACAAAAAACATAAAAATTTTCAGAAAGCAAAAAAAATTGTAACTAACAAAGTTTTTAAAATTGTTTTGCTTCATAACGCAGAGCATCATTACACTAAATATCTAATGTATAAGTCGTTGTTTGTAAACGCGATCACAAACTTTTCCACTCGTACTCGAGTGTTGGAGTTGACTTCGGCCGTAATGAGGGCGAGTGAGTGCTTCCTGAAACATTTGGTACAAACAAGTCATTGCTTTTAACCAAACGAATTTTAGTTAGGAGTGATGATGTATTTAGAGTATCGTTAGGTATCTATGTTAGGATATTTACTGTGTTCTACTGGTTCGATCTTATGAACTTGTACTGTAAGAATTATTTTTATGAATATATCATTGACAGATAGTCAGCAAATGTACTTGCAAAATAACTCGTCCGTCCGTTTATCACGTCCTATATTGACAAACGTCAAAATGTCAATCATGACACGCAGCACACGAAGATAACCCAAACACACCTGCTGGCTTCTCACACTCCTTCTAAGTGACGCAATATTAAATGTTTTAAGGCTGACATTAATACCGATGTATCTCAGTATTGAATACTTAGAAGAGATTTGGAGGTTATATGTCAGGTAACCGAATGTCACTATGATATAGTAAGTTTTCTGTATTATAAACATTTAAACTGTCTGTTCTGTCGCCGCCTGTTGTAACACTCACTAGCTCTCCCGTCCCTGTGGTCGAGAGACACTCGACACAACACGTTCACAAACGACGACTCACTTCAAGTTTAACGTTATTCATCGTTGAATATAACTATTTACAATAAACTGAAATAATAGACAAGCTATTGATTGATGGACATTAAGGCGAGGCAGGACATTATTGAAAATAGTTTTGAGTCATTTGATTTGTATACAAAAAGAAATGATAGGTACATTAAAGATACAATTCTGGTAGATGGAAACTTTTTCACAAACACAAGCTTTCAGACGTGTAATGTTTATTATAGAGGAAAATAGTATTCAAGAAAGTTGATCCTTCAAATTTAATATTTTTATATACAAGAGTTTATTGTTAATTTGTGTGTTATTGACTTTGTCATAACAGTTTGGAACAAAGTCTTAATTCAAATAATTTCGTGCAGAATAGTTTATTAGTTTTTACAGGTACACTATGAATGTAAGTGTTTGTTATATTTCCTGTTCATGTCGACCCGTAACGTAATCGAAGTGACTCTTAGTGTTTTGTAAATTATAATCAATATATATCAGTAACATGTAGAAAATGTAGTAGACCTTGGCGGCCTGGCGGGTAGCGTCAACTTAACCTAACCTTTGTGTGTGTAGTATGATCTATGTGTATTGTGAGAGCATTTTCTTTCTGATCTGGTCGGTGGTCGGTGGTCGGTGGTCGGTGCCATGCTTCCCTCACCTACATATATTTACAGCCGATACAGTAAATAGGACGATGATCGATGTCTCAAGTAATCTGTGATAAGATAAGGGAACGAACATTACACGACCATCGAGCGGGCCCATATCACCTCGTAAAAAATATTGTTTCACCAAATTGAACGATAAATATGTATTGTTACTTTTGTCTCTACAAAATACAATAAAAACTCAACTATCATTGTACCGAGGATTCACTTGACATGTTATAAATACCACATATAACTGTCTAAATATTATTTAATTGAGAAAGCCCTAAGATGATGACCGCAGACCAAAATGAGTATATTGAAAGAGTTTTGTTCACAATAATCTTATTCATATAATAAATGAAAAAAAAATGTGAGCGGGCATGGATGTTTGGTGCTTTTTCGAGCAAAAATTACTAAACTGATTTTGATGAAACTTGTTCATCATGTAGTTCAGACATCAGAATAAGGCATAGGAGGAAGAATAAAATTTTCCTGTAGTTCCTTCGGGCTTAGGCGAAGATCTGTTGAATGTTGGCAATCAGATGTCACGAGTAGCTAATATATACATACATGTATACTTATAGTGTGTAATATATAATAACACACTTTGTATATTTCAGTCCAAGTAAAATTACGAAGTCTGAAACGACGAGGTCGCAGGAAAAGACTAGTACATAAATATTAAAGGTTTAATTATAGATATGTACCTACAGTATATATATTGCCATCAATATATTTTTATAAGTATATTTCTTATCGATCAAAATATATCCTACTGATAATATCTAGGCATACGTACTGAAGTTTATAGATATGTATGTATATATAATATGTGCGCGTGTGTGTATGTGTGAGTGTGTGTGTGTGTAACTACTTTTTATATCTTTGTTATTATATATTCTTTAAACAAACATTCTAGCAAATATTTACATTAAAGAAAATAATACACAGATGAAATCTCATAGAAAAATAAATGTCATTGTTTGTATATATGTATTAGGTGTTGTGTGAGTGAGGCCTCGGAAGCTTCTGGCATTTTAACAAATTAAATTTCAATGTTTTATAAATACGAGGAAAAATCGATAAATACTTAAAATTTTGATGAACTGTGAACATCGAGTACTCGTACTTACTGATAAGCTTGTAGAGATCACGTCACGATGCTTGAATTACTTTCAAACTATAAATGTTATAAATACATTGTTACAGCTATATCAGACAGTGGTCGGCAGATGTGTAGCTGGTTAAAGAAACACTACATGAACAAGGTCCTACAGACCTCAGAGACCTCGTTAACGATAATTAAGAAGTAACTTCCTAAACAATACCAAATACAATTCAATGAGAATCGTTTACATCTGCTTTAGTTGCTACTTCAATATAATCGTACAACTATAAATACCTAATCTGCGTTTTAAATCTCAAAGTAATTATTTAAAATAAAATAAATTATTAATCTATCTACTCTCACTCTTTTATCCGGATCAACTTGAATATATTGTGTCATATTTGTTTATAAATATGTTCCTGAAAAAGTCTGTCTACGAGCGGTGACTAGGACGAGGGCTGTCAGACTGATACCTTTATAGAAGGAAATAAATCAGTAAATTCACTTAATACGACAAGGATTTCAAAATCTTTACTGATATTCGATTTTGAAAAACAAACACTAACAATAACCTTGTGTACATATGTATGTACGAGTGTGTGTACAAAAACCCCTCGGCTCATTTTGTTACATATAGATATATATTATACATTACGATGCAATGAAAATCACATATTTCACAGTGATCATTACGATCGAGTTGAGAAATGAGGAAGGTCTTGTGATTTTGGAAAAACCACCAGAGTAAAGTAGATATGAATGTTCATGTTCGTACGGTTGAGTCAGTCTCAGAAACATGGACAGGGTGACCCACTGTGATAACATACACGACTACGGATACATACTGGCCGGAGAAATTTGGCTTTGAAATTATTATTATAGATATAGGGAAAAGGAGTAGAGGAACATGTGCATTCTACAATATATTTTTTAATTCTGAATAAAACTCATAAATGATTTGACTTCAGCAAACGGAGTTACATATTTGCACAAGTTTTTTGTTTCACAAAAAATAATTATTAATGATACTTTTAAACTTCAGGACTTCTTGAAATACTAATTATGTTATTTAAACTATAGATTATAATATGGCTAGGAGAGAATGACTGGTGGGCCGAAGAGTACAAAGTTGTAAGGAACAGTGGATCAAGAACCAACCGACTTTATAATACATATAACTAGAGAGGATCTAAACTGTAAGAAAGAACAAAGTGTGTCAAGTATCAGGTACATTATACATTTTATATTGAACACTAAAAATAGTACAAGAATATTAGTACCTACTGATGAACTACAACAACGTCAAATATATAGGTTTTTTACATTACATACACAAATACAGATCAAATGATGGTTCAGATACTCGCCTAGACCGGGTTGTAAGAAAATTATTTGAATAAAGAGAGAAAAACAAATCATAATTGAGAAGCCTCACATCGGAAAAACTAAAATGACTATCAACAGATAATCTGAACTCAGACTACCGTAGAACTAGTAACAACTATCCTCTTATTTTAATATAGCTTACATGCTTCGGATTTATTCGTTTCATTAGTCGTGTCTTAAATCTCTAAGAGATTATTTTATTCTAGGTTGTTTCAGTATGTAGAGGTACAGAGAATTGGCGGACCGCGAGTAGCTGGAGGCTTCACTGATACATTTTATAGGATATTGTGAATGCTATAACACGGTTAGCGAGTACTATGCCACGAACAGAGAACACGTAACAGATGTTTACAGATACTGAACAAATATAAGAACAGATAACTGGAGACGCTGGCTGTGGCTGTGGGGCTGTTTGTACTCAATTATAACGTTTTACAAGTTATAAATGTTTAACAAATAGCGAGGAGATCCCATAGGACATATTGATAAGTGAAGGTAAAACGGTGACAACGATCGTAGGACTTATTGAGCCGTCATCAGCACGAGAGGGTCCGATACCTCGTTGCTATACAAGCGGATCCCTGAAAGAATAATTGAGTCAGTAGCGAGGGCATTGCGAGGGCAGCAAGCGAGAAGTCTGTCGACCAATGGGCCGGCGGCGCGGTCACGCACACACGCTCACCCCGGCGGGCCCTCCTCACTACCCCCCCCTGCCCCCCGCCCCCTGCCCCCACTCCCCGGGCCCCCGGTCCCCTCCCTCTCTCCTCCGCACTAGATAACACTCGATGTGAAGATACCGCGAGTGATAGTGACGGTCTAGCGGCAAGGCGATGTTCAGCGGCGAACCTCCGGCCAACCTTTTATTATTATTATTATTAGTAAATTAATCTGAACGATCAGAACCAGCTGTAAGTCAATATTAAGTTTATGTTTTCTATATTTATATTATTGTATGTTAAGTGTTCGTCTTCTCGTCGTGTGTGTGATCGGCCGCCACACGCCTCCTTCTGTTTTAAGTGGTGTGTCGTCGTGATTCATTTATTAATTTCATTAAACCCAACAATCATGAACTGCCATTATCCATGTCTCCATACGTGTGTCTCCTCCTGTCTCCTAACGCTCGTGATGGTCGTCGTCATCATTTTCATTCCTGTTCTCTCCGTTTCCATCTTTATATGATCGCTCGCGTTTCAGTTTCGGTATGAAAACTCAATTTTTTCTTTACATGTAGTAAGACTCCATAATCATTTGTGTAACTAAGACATTCCTCTTTACTACGATTCCCACTAAATGACTTTTTTATAATTTTTTTTATTTTACAAAGTTTTAGCTTAAATTGAACAGTGGTCGAAAGTAAAGCAGTCGTTGTGATTTAACTAACGGGATATCACTGTCGAAAATTGTTATATACCGAAAACAATTTTATTTTTTACCCTTGTCAGGGTTGACGGGTGGTTTAAACTTTGATCGAAACATTAAATTTAAATTCAAAGCAAACATTTTTTTTTCAACATTTTTTAAACCAACAGCGATATGAGTGTGTGAGGTTGTATTAGAAGAATCGGCTTCTTGTTATTATTTTACTTTAATTTAGCTACGTCACATCCTCTGGGTTCAATGACTGTGCGAGCACACAGCAGACGAGCTATGAGCTACAATAAATATTTTATTAATACGAACGTTATCAATGATGTAGGGCCCGGTGTGGTTATCACGGCCTCAGTGTGTCGAGTAAACAAGCTCGCCATAAAGTACCTCGAGCGCCGCCAGCGCCGGCTCCTCGCTCCTCGGCCTCATCATCACAATGTGTACTCTAGTCCTATACGAATTAGATCTCATTTCTTAGTGCCACGTTGTCTGTTAATGAGACAATAGTGCCAGTATACGACTGAACGTACAAATTTCTGTGGATGTTTGATCATGATGTCCTCATAGAAGACGTGAGTGTGTACTCGCGAGCACACACCCCGCAGCCTGTTAACTGGTCTGCTATATTTGTTGCTTTTAATATTTTGACAATTCGACTTAACCGAGGAAAAACCGTTTATACTAGGAAACGGTCGCGCCGGCGCCGCGTTGCCTCGTTCCCTATTTGTATTTCCGAAACGAGCCTTCCGGTTCAAAGCCTTTTTGTTTTATTTGCTCTGCGTCTGGTTAAGGCAATTGACACTTATTGATTTTAACCGACAAATCCGACACCAAATAGATGCCCTATTTGGTGTTTGTTAGAGCTCTAATTGTAGAATTATTTGAGTTAGGAGTTATATATGCTAGGTTGAATACAAATATATCGCTTCAACTAATACTTTGTTCTAGAACTAAAATGGAAAATGTATCTTCAATGATGCAAAGAAACGAAGAACAAAGAGGAGACAACGCGGAGGCCCTACAACTTGTTAAAAATGAGGAACGTCCGGAGATGAGCGTCAACGACACAAACACAAATGGCGAAGGAGTGTCGACAGTGGTGTCAGTGTCAGGAGCGGAGACGGGGGGCGAGCAACACTCAGTGATCACATCGAGACGAGCCCAGAGAACGATCACTACCGCGGGCCACATAACAGACTCGACGGACATGAGCGACGACGGAGTCAAAGACGAGCCTCCCGAACAACCGGCGCTCGACCACGACCACATGCAGTACCCGGCCAAGATGGAGGAGGTGGACCAGCGCGCGGGCGCCACGCACTACGACGAGGAGAGGTTAAGAATGGCCGAGGCTGAAACGGCGCGGTATCTCGCCTTCAAACAGGAGCCCTACAGGGGCCTACAGTCACCGTCTCCCGCCCCACAAGACAAGCGAGCCCCGCAGTACGCGCGACTACCTCCTCCACGACCGGCCTACGGGCGAGGGCTGTCCCTGAGGTACGGACCTCCTCATCATGTGATAGTATCACAGGACGGAGAGCAAGAGGAACATCCGCATGAGGTTTATCTACAAAAAGAAAAGGAACAATTACAGCAAGCATACGTATCAAACGAAGCGAACGCGCAGGAGAACAGACAGTACGCCGCCGTGCTCGGAGATCAGGTAGCCGTCTCGTCGGCGCTGGAAATGATTCAAACGACATCTTTGAGTAATCAGCAGTCGATCGGAGTCGCATACCAACAGGTTCGATATTCTAGTTACTATTCTACACTATATATCTTTGATCACTTAATCGAATCGAACTAACAAATGTTATCGACGATCAGGTGAAGTACGAGTCGCGAGGTGAGGCCGAGCCGCGGCCGACGACGTACGCCAGCCTCCAGCCGGTGACGTCGGTACATAGCTCGAGCGGGTACACGTACGCGGGGCAGAGTCCTCAGTACGCGGCGGCCGGCTACGGGGCTTACGGGGGCGGCAAGGAGCTGCTGACACTGTACGGAGCGGGGGCTGGTGGTGGCGGGGCGCCGCGGGGGGACGACTCGCCCCCTGGACAGCTGCTGTACCGCAGCGACCCCACGCTCTCCTCGTCCTCTCTGAACACGAGGGCGCACGTGGTCTACGGGTCCGTGGTCCCCCCGTCACAGACGGTCTACGAGACCCCGCCCAGTCCCAACTCACAGCAGGTAACGATACTCTTACTACTATCTTTACACGTTTGATAATAGTCGTGTCCCAGTTATAACTCCTGACAGATTTTTCTCGAGTCAAAGGAGATGTTATGTAATATACTTACTGATTTCCTTACCCATTTATTAATTATAGTTTGAAAACATTTTACATAAAAATAACACCGCCTGCGAATTATATTTCATGGAGGATATGAAGTTGTTGTTTTATGATCCCAGGTGACCTTGTACACTCACGGGAACACGGTCCAGTATAAGGTGGGCGGCGAGCACTACCTGGGTCAGGGCAGCGGAGTGGAGTACGTGCCGGTGTCAGGGTACGAGGGAGGGCTGCTGGTGGAGAGCTACCCCGCCGCGCCTCAACCCTGGCCCGCACACAACATACTTAATATAGATGATGGATTCGATCCCAGTCAGTAACTGTTCAACATATAACTATTTTACTATACTAGTTATATAGAGCAACAGGAGAGTACTGTCGCCTGAAATACAGGTGTATACCTAGCTCAGGGACAGTAGACTTCTTTTATATATAATACCTTTATGCATTGTGATTGAAAAGTTTTTCTTTTAAAAACAGAAATCGTTGTTATTATTTCCATAAGAGAAGTATTTTATGGATTAATCAATTAAACCAAGCTAAATATATCTATTTTGTGGTGTCTTAAACGTATATTATGTATTATTTCTTTAAGTTAACAATTTCATTGATTATTTATTTTTTTTATCTTCTAATGTTAGTTAAGCAATATTTCAAGTTTAATAAATGTGTCTAAAAAATATAAAAAATATATAAATATTGAAACATTACAACGACAGATTGAATATCTGAAACGTACGTTCTTTCATAAGGCATGGCTGGTATGGGGGAGGTGAAGGAGTGCGTGAACTGTGCGGCGGCCACCACTCCTCTGTGGAGGAGGGACGGCACCGGTCATTACTTGTGTAACGCGTGTGGTCTGTACACCAGAATAAACGGCGTCAACCGACCGCCGCTCAAAGGACAAAAGACGAAGCCACAACAGGCTCTCGTAAGACCACTTCATCGGATTATTACGTGTTTAGTGTAATTTTGGTATGATTGTAATATGTTAAAATCAACTGTAATATTTCCGTAAAGCCCACTAACGGTAACCGTCGTGTCGGAGTGACCTGCGCCAACTGCCGCACCTCCAACACGACCCTCTGGAGGAGAAACAACAACGGCGAGCCCGTGTGTAACGCGTGTGGACTGTACTACAAGCTGCATAATGTAAGGCTCTTTAACTATATTGAAGTATCATTCAGTAATCATTGACTATAGTTTCTTATTCAACAATTATTAATCTCAGCACATGTTCTGTCATTGAGGAACTCTCTCGTAAGTTAATGAATGAAATGATATGAACCACTATTTACAACTGTGTACATATTATAATAGATAGTTGATATCAATACAACACGCGGTCGCGCATCGATTACAGTAGTAGTAGTGGAGTCATTAGTAGACGAGGCGGAGGAAGCCAGGTATCTAATCGGAGCCGTGCAGCAGTTATCAGGGGACTCCTCGGCAAATATTGGGCCTGTATAAAAAATCAAAACACAGGGTCTCATCTAATCTCTCGAGATAAAACGCTCGGGGCTACCGACTGATAGAGAATTATCATCGCGACCACGCATATTCATAATGAGATAAATAATCTTTTATCAATTATCTCCCCGCGAGTAGATACGCTTGTTTAAAGGATGATAGGACCGCGTGACGTTCGATGACGAGGACTTCCCCGTCCCCGAGCACAGTGTATAGTGTACGGTGTCGCAGGTGAACCGGCCGCTGAGCATGAAGAAGGACGGCATCCAGACGAGGAAGCGCAAGCCGAAGAGCATGGGCGGCGGCGGGGCCTCGGGCGTGGCGCGCGGCGCTCTGACCGGTACGTTGACCCCTCTAGCCGGCGAGTGGGCCGCCTGCGCCTGGCCTGGTGAATGATAACCTATGTGCTTGTGCGCAGTGGAGGCACACTCACACAAGGTGCTGCCTCCTCTGTTCGCGGCGGTGGAGGGCGCGGCGCCGGTGCTGCTGTTGCCCGCGGGCCCTCGGCGGGACCTCCCGTGAGTACTCCTCACCCGCACTCGCCGCATGCCCTCTCGCACGACCGCTTCAGCCTCTAACCTAACGCCTCACTCTTATTGTTTATTATTAATGGTCTGTCTTTATGGGCTCCACCTCTACCCTCCAGTTACCAGCACTATTCCTTGGTATTCCTCTAACTGCGACGAGTATATGCAAGGACTCAGCCGTCAGCTTCTTTCCACTAACGACAGCTCCACCCCGAGGTCTCTCAATAATATCTGTCTTAATAAGTCTCTCCGTATTTCTTATTGTTTAACGATCCTTTTCTTCGTTCGCTAGTCATGTGTGTAATAATCGCACGGCGCCTATTTGCACGCGTCTTACGTTATCTGAGTTTGCTCTGGGCTCGAGACTGTTTAGTAAGAGCTCTTTACGGTCGGATCTCTTATAGTATGTTATGTTGCAGGCTACCAACGCTAGATCGCGCGGCCGGGTCGGGTCTGTACTCGAGCTCGTCTGTCGGTCGTCCTCCATAGTGGCCGTCCCTCATGGTCGGTGAAGGGTCACCGCGGTGGCTCGACCGTCACAAGGCTCGCTGATCTAGGTCACTCTATTGTTAGCTAAACCAAAAACCACAATAATATTTATAGTTAAGGAATTTAATACATTCCGGTGTATTAGGATGAATGAAAATATATTTAGTGTTCTGTATATTTGAAGCGTGTCACACACTTAGCTATAGAGCCAAAGATAATTTGTATGAATATATGTTTGCTACTTATGTATAGAAAAAAAGTTTGTGAGACAATTAATGTCACTCTAGTAATGATACAACTAAACTGTGGGATTGTTATATAATGCTGATTGGATGGGGGGAAATGATGTAATATGTACAAAGGTGCGTGTGCTGAACCAGCTCACCCCAGCTCATCGTAGCTCACCCCAGCTCATCGTAGCTCATCGTCATCCTCAAATGTAATAAAATGTAAATATGTGATTGTTGCAGTGACGACACAAAGTAAACTATTTTTTTAGTAAATAAGTAAATACTTTATTACGAATTTATTAATATATTTATACTAAGTTATAGACAACTATTTGTTGTGTCTGTGTTTATGTATGTGTGTGTGTGTGTGTGTGTGTGTGTGTGTGTGTGTGTGTGTGTGTGTGTGTTATGTGCGTGTGGATGTATGTGTGTGTATCTGTGTCTCTGTCAACACTTTAATTTATCCAACATAATGAGTACGAACGAAGTCTTTTCATAACAGTCTAAAGTGTATTTTATATTTTTCTTTTTACTTATAATAAACATCTTGCCAAGGGTTTCGATTTTTCTTTAACCTCTCCCTCCTACTCTCCCTCTCCCACTCCCTGGTAAAAAAGTTTGACTGATAGGTCTATGAAATGTTCATAGTTATTGGTATTTTTGATTTTTTTGAACAATTCCGCATATTAATAACCTTCATCAAAAGGTTATCTCCCAATTAAGTCAAAATCAACATATAAATCTTGTATCCTAAGTAAGTTATTCACTAACAATAAGTCATAGGATGCAGACACCACTGTATACCAGGGAACATTTCACTAAACAACATAGAATTGATTTTATATGCATTTTATTTAATATTATGAAGATTTAGTAAATACGTCGATATCAATTGATTGATAAAATAATAACATGTCTCAGTGTGTGATTACATTTATTAGGTAGATACATTTTTAAAGGAATTGAAGAAGTTACACACCTACCGCTTCTACTAACGTAGTCATATTTTTTGACTTAAATAACATAGTGCCATCTACAGATGTTAAGGAAACTAATACTCTCTTAGGTAACCAAGAGATGGCAGCACTAGTGATAGTAAAATTGTATTATGAATTATAGTTTCACTATTATTTGTATGGGAGGAACATAATTTAACAAACTGATTAAAATTCATTTCATTTTATCAAACTTCTTTTTAACTTTCATCTGGTTTTCAACAAAGCACCAACCCTGACAGCATATTATTCGATTCCTTTCTACTAAGCCCTTACTAGTTGCAGTGGTCGTCCACAGATGTCGCTTTTATTAAATTATACTAAAATTACTTAATCTATAATTTCTGTTATATTGTGAGGTCTTGCGGATGTTGTAAACAAGAACAAACAATTTCTTTATTATACATACTTCCGCGTGTGCTAGTGCTTTTACCAATCTAATTTGTTGTCATTTTTAAAAAGTTATGAAGTTCTTTTAGTTTTCAATTTATAGTTCGTAGTTTTGGATTATGTAAATTTTTAAATTATGTATTATGGAAAGTGAAGAAATTTAAAGTTTAAGTTATTTTTTATTTATTTTTATTTATTTTATTTATTAGATCTACCAACATTTGTACACATCATCACATACTTAAAATACACAATACACATATGACATAACTTAAAACTAGGTGTGACAAACATTTACAGGTAGATACATCATGCTTAATATTCCTCCCGGCGCGAGCCGCAGTAAAAACAAAACCAATAAATTTTAATAAAAATATAAAAAAGAAATAAAATAATAAAAGGTAAACTTACAAAATAAAAGTTATCGAATCTTAAATAGATCTAGCTGTACATATTTTCAATGTAAAATCATTTTGTTGTTTTACAAATATCTTCATCATGAACCTTTAGTTCTATTTAATCTGCTCGAAATTGGACGAAAAAAAAAACAAAATATAAAAATTACTACAACTTACTTTCCTACTATTTAATTGGTATTTACGTCGATGAAATTGTTGTAATATAATTTTTATTGCTCAAATCTAAACAGAATTTTCAGTTTGTTTTTGTTTTATTTGAGATATGTATGAGAATGGTTCTCAAATCTCAAAGATACTTTTCTTACTGTAGAAGCTAAGTTCTTGTAGGTAAGTGACGGAATATTTTTTTATCAGTCATATGTAGTAGTAGCTGTCACCAGTGTTTACCAACAATTTGCAACTGTATAATTAATTTTATTATATGATAGGGTCGGTAAGTTTCATTCTTCAATAAAAATCACATCTTTATAATTAAAACAATTCTATTATTAGTACTACGTGACACATTTATTATATTGATGTCGAGATCGACTCGCCGACGGAGTTGGTCCAGATACGGTAATAAGTTCAGTGAGACAAAGAGACTTGATATGATCTGAGAAACGTTTGATCTGAGAGGACTGTGAAGGAATATAAAGAGTGGCTTAATATTTAATATAAAATATCCAACAACAACAACAACAGTATCACACATACATAGATACATTTTTAAGGAGTTATCATTACAGTATAAAGAGTTACTTACCTATTGCTATTTAATTTAAATGCCTCATGCATTCCCTTAGAACTTTTCTCTGAGATTTTTTAGTTATAACGATATTTTGCTGGTTCATACATCAGGACATGAGACAGTGCTCATTCATTTATATAAGAAATAAATAAATACTATCTTTCAGTAATTTCAGTGACAGTAACTTCATGTTTAACTTGAATATTAATATTTTTATTACTTATATTAGTATATATTTTAACCCTTCGCCTCTGCTTTGTTACCAATGAAACTTATGTTATTTTGTTTCATGATCCTCATCGTATGTTTGGATTAAAATTTACTAAAAGAGGATCGTTAGGATTCTACTGATAATATATAAGAGAGTACTTATTATATAACTGGTTTTATTTACAACTTACCAATAACTAACACTTTTAAACTCAATTCGTATATATTATTGATTAAAAACCATTCAGGATTTATATAATTATGGAGTGATATTTATTTATAATAATAATCCGTGTTTTTTTATCAACTCACTAGTTTTTGCCCGCGACTTCGTCCGCGTTAGTTTGGTCAAGAGTAATATATGTAGGTATAGCTGACCAGGCAGTGGTGGCCTAGTGGTTAAAGGGCCCGCCTCTCGTTGCCGAGGCATTTCGATCGAGGCATTTTGTTCGATCCTGGCCCGGGCAAGTACCAATGTGATTTTTCCGAGTCATATGTAGTTTCTAAGAGTATTTAGACATCACTGATTTATGTTGATTCCCAAAGAGAGGGTTGATGTCAGGCAGGCGGCCGGTCGTAAAAACAAATAGCCAAAACTATTCACAAACATGTAAGGCAGACCCTGGCTATAGCTGGGAAATTGCCAGGTAGAAGAAGAAGCTGACCAGGCAAACTCTATTCCGCCTCAGAGGCCATAAATAATCAGATTTTTCATGTTTCAATCAAACAGAATGATTGACATATTAGTTAGTTGTCAAATCTAATGTCATAAAAAACGTTTGTATGGGAAATAGAAAAGGGCTGTTTTTAGGGTTTTCCCGGCAATTATTCCAATTTTTCTCACCTTTTAAACCTTTCCTGGACTTCCAGGAGTATTTCAAAACTAAAATTAGCCAAATCCGTTCAGCCGTTCTCGAGTTTTAGCGAGACTAAGGAACAGCAATCCATTTTTATATATATAGAAGATTTAAACACTCCTAAATAATAATTATATTAGAACATGTTTCCCACGTGTTATATTTCGTCTTTTTTATGTTTCTGTCAAACTTGAATCGTTATATTTCCATTTTTTTCTAAATCTCACATAAACTAAATAATATTATACTGTGTTATATTATATTAAATGTAAATTATTTTTTATTAATAGTATATTATTAACATACACATGTTCCTCTAGTTAATAATTTAATATTATTATAAACTAATGTCAATACAGAACACGGTCGAGACACGGACTGTGAGACACCGGGCATATGTTTTATAAACTCGAAAAATATACATAAGTAGGTATTGTTGATAGCCAATAGAAGAGATGGAATAAATGATCCTCGAATAACAAATATCAAATTATTTTATTTCAAATCTAAATGAAACTTATGTTTTCGGATTTACTACGCGATTTTTATTTTTGATTATAAACAACATACGACGTTTCGGTTACTTTACAGCGACCGTGATCAATGAGTACTCGCGAAAATCTTAGATCTCATTATTCAAATCTACTAAGATTGCCTCCATGCTTCGCTCGCGTTTTCTTTTGTTTAAACTTATTTAAAGAACATCAAATTGTTATTGTTGTTTCAGTCTCATTCTGCATTCAAATGCAAATCTTTGATATTTTTTATAGGTTTTTATTTTTTTGTTTGTGTAACTCTGTTTTTCTGTGAGAGATATCAGTGAGGATTCCTCTCACTCACTCCTTCAAGAGACGGGGACAAAATCGACTCTTGTTCAGTAAGTATCGCTGTATACAGTGTGTTATGTTAGCGGGTGACAGTTGTCGTTGTAATGGTCAGTGTGTGAGGCTGCAGCCAGTAGATACTCTCCGCGGCCTGTACTCTCCGTTAAGGCCCCTGTCACGTGTTATCTTGAGAAGCCTGAACGCTCGCTCGCCTCTCCTGGTCTGATAACAGACTTTAGGATTATCGATAACACATCGACACCGTCTCGAACCAGAGACAGTTGGAGACGGGCAGATGTCGAGGACTAGTGGCGTGGCGGCCCCTGGACCCGCGAACCGACGGACCGAAGGACCCGGGGGAGACGAGCGTTCAGTGGGACCGAGCGGTGTTTCATTAGACCAGACGGTTGATATATTATAAGTAAGAACGTATCGACGAAATTGTCTCCTCGATAAGTGGGCGTGCGGACGACACAGACATCGCTGATACCTTACACACACGGACATACGATGAAAAATATACTTTATTAGAATGGCCTTCGGTACACAATACGACGACGGTCGGAAGGAGTTGGGTCACTTGGAGCCGCGAGCGTTGATCTGCTGCTGTAGATAGGATGTTGTAAAATGTTCATCCCGTCCATTCAAGTTTGGACCGTAACCAGTGTGTATATAGAGTGTATATCTCATTGGCCCGCGGAGGTGTCATGTGTCAGAGCGTCCCCAGCAGTCCGTGGCGAAGGGCTAATGTGTATCCGTTGTCAGCGCGCGCCACTAATGCGGCCGGCGCCGGCGCCCGCCTCAAACAAAAATCTACAACATTCCTGCGTTTAGAACGCGAGTCTTTATTCCTTTTTTATCGGCTCATGAAATAATAGAATAAGTACAAAGCGGCCGCTGGGCCCGGACCTGACCCGACACCCGAGACTGACCCTTATCGAAATATACAATTTATTAAAGGGATCTATTACAGGCGACTCACGTCGATATGACGCGAGAGATGGCCGGGAGAGGGAAGAGACGAGACGCTAGTGTGGCGGGGGGAGGGTTGATGGAAGTAAAATAATATTCAGATCATTGGAACAAGAGTTAATAGACTAACTGGTTTTATTAGTTTTCAAGTATCATATAACGTTTTATTTTTATATAATTAACGGAAAACAGTTCCAGGTTCTGTCAAGACCACGCTTTCCGAGATCGTCCCCGAGGATTTCATTTTCTGAGTTCACAAAAATATACATTAAACGAAACTAGAGATTTTTCCAAAATAAACACGTCAGACAAGCCCACTCGACGCACATCTTGACTGATTAGTTGTTTCATGGAAATATTAACATCTATCCGCCGGTAATATTGAAAAACGGTAAGGAATAGAGTTATGTGAGGAACTACATACTATATATTATAATATCAGAACTCACTTCACTTTAATATGTAAACGTTAAACAACTATTTATGTACATCATAATAACATGAAATGAAAAAATAACAACTATATTTAAGTATATATCTGTGATTAAAAACAAACAACAGCCCCGTCCTCATCTTAAGATCATGAACTGTTCTGAATAATGCAGATAAATAAAGTGATTTGAGATTCATTAGTATTATATTCGCAATGACTGAGAACAATTAATGCATGTGCTGAGTACGAAAAATATTAAAATTTAACTCCAGAAATAGATTAATATCCTTTAAAGACAAACAATATTCGAGATCGCACTTTAATATACTTCTTATATCTTTGTTATAAAATGTATAATGTTATAGTATAATACCTACTGGTGGTGACGTGACGTCCCAGCCCCTTGACATCCATGAAGCACGTCGCCAGGACTAACGTTCAGGTTCTGTAATATAATTACTACGATAACTTTAACAGTGGCTCGTTAACTGTGAGGAGACCTTACTCGCTATATACAAAAAGATTGTTATCGGCTCAACGATAGAAACACACACACACACACACATACACGAACTTACAGAGACATACCTACATACAGGCATATTATATACATGATTTGTACGGGCTAGAAGTGGTGCGAAAGGTATAACTGCTAAATCTCACTACAACCTACTAAAAGACAAGGCCTGTCCAGAAGTTACATTAATTCATTCTTTGAACGCCCTTCGAAGGCAGGCCTAGTAGGTTCGATTCAAATTTGGTTAGCTGGAGAGAGGAGCTATGACAGTGGAGGTGATTGTTTTACGCGCCTTAGAAAGGGCGCCCCTTAAACCTACACCTGGGTCGCAGGTCCCAGACAATGTTGAAGCTCCTCTCACTACAATGATGGAATCGACACCCGCACGGTGAATACGTTGAATACTAATAGGTTGTCTCACTTAATACAACTCAGTACTATTGTGTTCACGACGAGCCCTCCGTACCTCCACTCTGACTATTCAGAGCCTATACAGTCCTGAAACCGGAAGAACCTCACATGAAATTTATTAAAGACACCATCAATAGAAATTTCAAATACGAGTTTTGAAACACCATTCAAGAGTTAAGGATATTGCTCACTATTAGTGTTGATGTATGACAGTTGTAAAATAATTTCGTTCACATTCAGTGAGTGAATGAATGAATGATAGTCGTATCAGTAAATGTTTATCAACATGCCACTTCACTCGTCCGACTAGACTAGAAAATTTATTACATACTAGTTTTTGCCCGCGACTTCGTCCGCTTTAGTTTGGTCAAGAGTAATATATGTAGGTATAGCTGACCAGGCGAACTCTATTCCGTCTTAGAGGCCATAAATAATCAGGTTTTTCCTGTTTCAATCAAACAGAATGATTGACATATTAGTTAGTTGTCAAATCTAATGTCAAAAAAAAACGTTTGTATGGGAAATAGAAAAGGGCTGTTTTAAGGGTTTTCCCGGCAATTATTCCAATTTTTCTCACCTTTTAAACTTTCCCTGGACTTCCAGGAGTATTTCAAGACTGAAATTAGCCAAATCGGTTCAGCCGTTCTCGGGTTTTAGCGAGACTAAGGAACAGCAATCCATTTTTATATATATAGAAGATAATGAATTCTTTCAATTCAATAAATATATACCTATACAATCTCTATTGACAAATTTCAACCAAAATGTTATAATAGTTTTCCATTTATGTGTCGTCGCTGGTCTCCTCGTCTCCTCTCCATCATCACAATACGAAAAGAATACGAAATTGTCAAGTCCATTAGAGGAACAGGGACCATACACTACAAAGGCCATGTGGGGGGAAGTTGCATCCTTTGTATTTTTTAAGACATTCTGAATAATGAGATGTAAAACTTTCGCGAATATTCATTTAAATAAAATTCATATTATTCGGATAACTACATACATTTCGTCTGCCTGTGTAATTACGGCAGCTGAAAAGTAACCGAAACGTCGGTAGTACATATATAGTTTTTTTAAAATAATAAAATAAGCCTACTAATCCGAAAAATATTAATTTTCATTGAAATCATTCTGAATAACTTTAACATTTGGCTTCCTTCTAGTGAAGCGTCTAACAGACTCTCATCTCCTGGATTGAACTTAGTAGGGGAGAGTCGGATATATCGTACCACTTTTCACTTTAACTCAAATATTTCGACTATAACACGTCTTACAATAATTAATACATATGTAAAATTAAGTTTCATATTTTAGCTTCCTAAGAAGAAGAGAACAGATCCTTGCGATTATTCTAACATTGTTAAAAATGCTTTTTTATAGAGGCTTGTCATCGGTACGATTTAGCCAACTAATCGTTTTAATCGTACCACTAAGTCTTTAAATCGTACCATGGGTGTTTAAGTTATACCACTGAATGAAAGGCATTAAAATTCTCCATCAAATTATTTATTTTTAACTATTAGGTAAGTAATAAAACAACATTATTTATATTTTTTAGGTAATAGAAACATAATTTTTAACTCTTGGTTATATAAAGGAACTATAAGCTTTCTCACTAAAATAACATGATTATACATACTATGATAATGAGATCAATCAACATAACTATTAAAAATGAGACAGAAAAAAACAGTAAACTATAATAATAAAGTAACAGTTAACAAGAATGTTATTTGTATTATAATTATTGTGCATATATGCATTATGTGCACATTAATGGGAACAATCATGACAAATGTCTGGATTCGAAGTACACGTCTCATGTAGCCACCGTTTACAGCGAACGCCTTGAATCCAATCAACTTTTGGACTCTTGTTATTGTAGTAAGAACAATTGCACTTTCGATATATATTTTCAAGATCATCGCTACTGGTGATGAAATGAGATCGTTTCCTCTTATAACTTTTGTTTTTGGCCTTGGGTAGTACTTACTATGCGTACTTGCGGTAGTACTATAGGTACTTACGGTTGGTAGTCGGGTAAATCGTACCAGTACAATTTAACCAACTGCAAGTGGTACGATTAAACCAACTAAGGCATTTCTAAAACAAAAGCAAATATCCGGCATAAACTCAAAACTTAGACACGCAACAAAAACCCCCAATAATCTAGTATACAATTGTAGAATAATAAAAAAAACTGTATAACTATAGCTTACCTTGATTACGAGTTATCTCCTTACGAATGTACGACAATATTTATATTAATTCCTACAAAAAATGTTTTTCTTTTATTACGTGCCCAGTTGTTAACTCACGTCGATTTAAACTAGTGGGTGAAGAGGGATGGTGCAGGGCCACGATTTGGCGTTGTCAGTGTAGAAAAAAATATTCATTAAATGGGAAATTTAGAAGTGGTACGATTTAAATGCTAGTACGATATAACCAACTCTCCCCTAATAACCTCACTTTCTTTTAAAGGCGTCTGCTAGAACAAAACACAAGTAGAAATTGGTTTGTATTTAATTCAACAATTAAAACATGGTACACGATTGTTATTGAATGATTCATTTGCGAGTTCTCAACGAGAACATTAAATACTAATTCAAAGACTATCCTCGTCTGTTCCTCGTCCCGACCCGCCGATAACAGACAACAGAACAAACAAAAAACAATACAATCACATCACAAATAAACTAAACCAAGCTGGATGTTCCACACACCGCTGTCTTCTAATTGGCACTCCGAGCTGAGCTTCGTCTGTCTGTCACATGTATGTATGTACGTCTCGTGCGACGCTAGCTCCCAAACTCCATGACGTGTGTTTTATTTTATTTATCGGTGTAGTCCGCGAGCGAGGACCTGTTTCATTACACCAATAAAGGCTCGCAGATATTATCGTGGTCCGTGTATTATTATATTATAAATAAAACATTTATTAACATTCATTTGTTGAACATTCATATTTAAGGTATTGTTAATTGATGTCAGTGATCGCGATCAGAGACGATCTTTTATCATTTATAACTTGTATTCATAAAATGGTTTTCTTTTTGTTCTCGCCTGTACATTATATATATTTACACAGGTACTCACGAGTCGGTAGGTTTAGGAAACGTGAACAAGCGCTAATGAACCGTCCGATTTAAACAAAACAAGTATTGTACATTAATGAATGTAATGGGTGGTGGTGGTGGTGGTGGTGGTAGTTTAATAGGTTTCATGACTGATAACATCACACGAACTGTTTCGTACATGAATTCTTTTGTTCTACTTATTGTTGTTATTATTTATTGCTTTAAAAATGTCCTTTCTGATGTACGGATACATCCAAATTATATGAGCTGAAAACACCAAACAATTAAACTTTATTTAATGAACACGGATTTATGTTAATAATAAAAGTAAAAAGAAAATTAAAAAAGGTAATGAAAACATCGCTTTGAGTGATTGTAAGTTCATTATTAGGTACTGTATGATGACAGAGAATGTTATATTAAGGTAAATACATAAATATGAACACTATCCAGACGTCATTAAAATTATTAAAATAATTCAAATAAATGAATAAATACGATCATGATTATTGATGTTCATCGATTATCTCTTAAGGTGATCATGCTCATACTTGTATATAATATGTCGTGATACATATATACTTAGTCTGAGTTGTCATCGTTACACTACACGTGAAGTGTCAATAGTTTTTCATCATTCAATCCTGTAGCACTATAGTTTTAAAGGTACCTATATAAACATACTAAATAAGGTTTTTCAATGAAAACAGAAACTCTTGATAAATAGCACAAGTAGTCATGTTCAACACTGGTCATTAATGTAGTCATATAATTATATTTTTAAAGACGAACACTACTTTTAGCAATAAGGATTCCTTTATCAGTTACCCATTACACAAATTATACTAACTAGAGCCTAGGAAACAGCCTCCCTTAACTCTCTACCTACCTCTATTACCTACTGTAAAAATAATGTAAATAAAATTTGTATAAGAATGAAATGACTTACTAGTTAATACGAATATAGGTTATACAGAATGTTCACACTGATGAGTTATATAAATGACGGACGTTGTTTTATTAGTGTTATTTAAATATATAATATAATTCATAGCTTTACAATTGAATATAGAACCTCCTCTAACTCTTCGTTCTTACTACTTCTAGGACTGTTAACTGTTTTTTTATTGGTTGTGAAAGACAATATTAGTTTCAACTGTCTCTTCTACTTTTCTGTGGAACCAATAATGTTTACTATCAACGTATATAAGTACAAAGATATCTTTATAAAATATTCCACAAGGACCTGAGACTCTCAATGAATCGCTGGTCGCTTGACTATTTATAAAAAGTTGGAAGCATAAATGTATACAATACCAATATAAGCGAGTTAGTACACAACAAGTGACATCCTCCGACTCGTTCTGTTTTAATACGTGTCCCTGAATGACAACATTCCGTGAAGTGGAACAAATAAACGACAGAACAGACGATCACAACTGATCTAGAACATTATAGAACACAAGTTGTTTTATATTTGTACTAACAGTTACAACTATAAGTACATACGAGTCGTAATATATACGACACAGGGAGAGTAGAAGGATAACATTATACTAAATACGTGCAGAGACTTACAACGTTACTTATACTAAAATATGTACTCGTACATGTCTTAAACGATGTCCACACAGACTCACTCACATTAAACGATCATGGAGACAAAGAAAACGCGGACTGAGGATGAAACAACAAAAAATACATGAACATGTTTCAAAGAAGTTGTCTTTTAAATGTTAGTTTAGTTAAAAGTCAACTCCGGACTACGCGTGGAGATGAACCAGGAACTTTCTTATTACTTTAAGATTTAAATATGTTTTCACCTTATTCTGAAAATTATACATATAAAGATTATGGTTTTATTCTATTTTTCTGTTGCGGATTCCTATTTCGATGTCTGGAGTACACTTGAAGTAGTATTGACAGCAAAGCCTTAAATAATAATAACTGAAGGTTAAAATTATAAATAATAATGTAATGTTCAAGTTAATACACTATATATAATATATGTTAAAGGACACTGTAAAAAACTAAGTGGTCTCGACGGACTTTACGAGACAAAAAGAAATTGAAAAATAAATAAAACACACACACAAGGATTCCTTAATAAATTAAGAAGATGTATCGGCTCCGCACAGAAACACTTAGAATGAATCATCAGCGGTACAGCGGGAGGAGCTCGCGGACTGGATTAAAACTTAATTTGGGAAATTATATATACATGCATGCATTTAACATGGAAACTATTGTTACAACATACACTACTGAATAAGATTAAAATACATATATTCAAATGTTATTTACCTCTTATTTATTAGTAAAACATTTTTTAAACGAGTAAAGGTTATTTCTAAGTTCAAACATTATTTTGTTTCCTAAAAAATTAAACAGATTAAGTAACGTAAAGAAAAATGTGAACAGTAGATAATGAGATTCGTGAGAATATAAAGTTGTAACGGTGTAGTAATTAACATCAGTTATTGTTGTATGTTTTAGTTGTAGGTACAGCGAGCGAGGCTGTTAGAGGCCGGGCGAGCGTCGTTACAACGAGCGACAACAGGCAGATAAGATGCTCACTGATAGCGGGCCGCTTACATCTCATAAACTACTTAACGTGGAGCTTTGAAACCTTTGTAATACGAACAACACGAGCTTCTTCATACATTCTTATGAATAATGTTTACAAATGATCTTATTGCTCTCTAGGATTAAAACAAACGGACTACAGAAAATAGAGATGGGGGAGAGATTGTAAAGACAGAAGATGTGGGAGGGTTAAAGGTTTGCAAACGTTTTAGATGCAAATAGTTAAAAAGATAAAAAAATATATATAAGTTAATATCATCTTTTGAAATTTACGAATATTTAATATTACGCATTGATTAGACCAATATAACTGTGGGTCTATCAAAAATAAATACTTTAATAGATATTTTATTTGGGTGAAATTTTTATTGGTAAAAAAAGAAAAAACAAGGGGAATAAACTTAATAAAACTATTTTAAACTTTTTATGCTGCATATTAATATTAAGAAAAAATTTAAAATAGAATTATATAGGTCACAAATTTGAAAATTTTCGGTAAAACAATTAACATGCTTAGACCTTAGAGCCACTCAAATATAAGAATTCTCTCAAGGACCAGACCCGATTGGCAAAAAGAAACGTTTGAAATATTCAAGTGCGTTTACAAACAACAAGTAAATAATGATCCGCTTAAAATATAATCACTTCGTTATGAAACGAGAAGCAAACTGGAACGAACATTAACATCACAGATAATATTATTACAAAAGGAACTTCGGCTCTGGAAGGCTCTTCTTCTCTGGAAATTTGACCATTTTGGACAAGTTGTTGGTTCCCTGTTAAGGGATTTCCCTCCCTGTAACGTAGGTATTGCTTCACGATGTTAGAAACTCTTACTTATACTGTATTTACAATAAAATGTATTTAATAATATCGGGTACATATTACATCTGTGTAATAACCTCATCAAGTAACAGAGGCTTTGTATTTTCTCATTTCTAACGAGTCTCAGTTATGATACAGTTGTATTTACTCCTCCAAGCTGTAATAGTCGTAATAAAAGTTCATTGAGTGCGGATCCGTCTCGCCCGCCGTCCGCGGTGTACGTCGAGTGCACCGATCATAAACACAAGATAACAACTGATAACAGCTCGTCCCTCACTCCGCTGTAATGAATTATTGTCATCATAAACGGAGCTCACGTTCACTTAACACTCCTTGTAATTTGTAAACCTTCGTTAATGCCCGTTATCGGTGATTAACTTTGATACGTTCTGTTAAACTTTATTTGCTGAATTCAGAAGCTGAATGCTGCAAGATCATAATTTAAAATGATCATGAAATATTCATTAGTCTTTTTGGAAGTCATTTTAACAAAAAATCCTTTCACTCATAATATAATTTGTATAAAATTATTATATTATTGTCAATGTTACAAATATTATCTAACACTTAGGTACAGGATTATTGCATGAATATTTTTTTTAACCAACTTCATACATCAACGTTTTTACAATGGACATTAAATCAGCCTAACGCCAGTAGTGTGCGTAAAACTTAGAAATATAGGTATAATAGTTACAACAATATTATTAATGCTTTTTTATAACATCATTTATAAATTACTGAGATCACGTCTTAATTATCTTTATATATACAGGGTGACTGGTGAATTACTATCGATACTTGAGGACGTGATATTTGACGATCATATATGACAAAATAAAAATTAATATAACATAAATATTAATAAACTTCTAAGTAAAGTTAACCAAAAGTTATGTAATTAATTACGCATCGTGTGAACACCCTACAGATTAGGTATACACACACACACACACGCGTGCGGCGCCGTGGTGTTGTATCAGCACGCCGCCGCACCACTACCTATTTTTTTTACATAATTCGAATGAGAATCATGTACCGAGTATTCTCCTTAAATATTGATAGTAATTCACCAGTAACCCTGTATAATTTTTCTGTGAGTGTGTATGTCACTGAACTTCTCTCAAACGACTGGACTGATTTTGATGATTTTTTTAAGTGTGTTCAAGGTGATCTGGGAATGGTTTAGATTCACAATTTTGTCCGCTGGACAATGTTTTTTTAATTAATTTTTAATTTATTAGTAGTTGTTGATACAAACTTTTTTTTTTTTACATTAGATTTGATAACTGACAACTAATATGTCAATCATTCTGTCGCACTTCCAAATACGGAAATTTATGGCTTTAATAGGTAAACTCCAAAAATATAAATAAAAAAAAAGTAACAGATATTTCTTGATTATAGAGCGATACGAAGTTAGCCGGGTCTTCTAGTATTACTATATAAAAGTAACAGACGCCTGTGTGTGTATCTGTCGAATGTAGATGGATGAATGTCGGAGGGTTGATAAGGACACGTATATATATTGTATCCCCTAAAATAAGTCGTTATACAACCTGGCCGTGGACTTTAATTATAATGAATCCATACCTCGGTTTCTCTCTACTAGCGGCGATGTTATAGGTACTAGTAGCTCCGGAGAGTGCAGTCTACATACACTTGTACAACAGGAGGGACTACACCTGAATGAAGCTCGAATATTACATATAAACGAATGTGTTCAAGGATGTATCAAGAAAGACAGCGGACTGCGTTTCTGAATATTCGTAATATTATAGTCTTATTTTCTTAAAGATGTTTCCAAACAAAATAAAGCGTTCAGTTTTAGAGGTGACAAAACTTTCATACATCAAAATTGTTAAGAGAATTAGTGAAATATACAATCTTAATTTACTGTATAATATTTTTTATTCCATTGAATATTAAAAATTATTGAAGATCTAAAGTGATGTCTCTCCTTGAGACTTGGAGTCATTTTAATGAGCACCACCGCGCATTTTCCATTTTATTATTTATAACTTTTTTATTTTTTCAAACGCTAAACAACAAAAAGCCTTAGTGAAAATGAATTTCCTTCCTGAGTGTCGGCAACACTCTCGCAAACCTCTAATGTTTCAAGTGCTTATAATTGGGGAATACAAAAAAATACAATAAAAAAATCTTTTTTTATTTAGTATTTCATCTACATTAAATTTGCCCGAATTTAGGTAAATATTAATAAAACAATATATTATTCAAATTTACCATCGTGAAGATATAATTTGAGAAACGACTCTCAATAATTTAAGTTTGAATGTAACAATATGTACGTCTAATATTAACGTACAGTTCAGTGACTTACTAGATGTGAACAGTTTGGTTACTTCAACATGGACTCGTGACTAGTATATGAGGTCTCGCGGTTAAATTGTGTGTGCCGTATGGGAAAATTATTCATAAGTACTTATTAAAATTATTATTATAAATAAAAAAGAAAAGAACCCACGGGCTTGAAGTATGAACAATAATAAATGAGAATTAAATATATAATTGAAAAGGCCGGTCTACCTTACATATGTAGTTTGAATGTTGAACTCAAGTTTGCAGCATTTTGTTTGGTCCTGTAAGTTATACTATAACTCGTAATAAAATCAACTGGCAGGAACACATAATCACCTACAATATTTTCGTCAACACCTTGTGTGATCATTTTGATGAAAGCTCTTCTTTTATTAAATTTACGAATTGATATCAAAGACTATAAAAGAACTTCGCTCCATTAATAAGGGTATTGCTAATGGTCCCAAGGACGTTTCGTGGCACCCTGGAACTGATAATAACAGGGATTAAAAACAACGATGTTTTATAAAGAACTGTCTTAGTGTTTTGTTTTTCAAAATTTTTCTATAGTTTTAGACCTACTATACTTGGCTATTTTTATTTTTGAGATCTATATGTTAACACGTATCTATAATCAGATCTTTAGGTTATTTAGAATTAAGCAAGTCTATAATCCGGCTCCATAATCAAGTTGCTCTTTAAAAGGTAACAAAATAACAATATTTCTAAGTAATAATACTAAAGTTTTTGTCATTTTTGTTTCTTGACAAAGTCTTGAGATTATTAATATTCCATTGGTTCCATGTTGGTATGGTTTTAATCACAATAACAAATAATTTGAGAACTGTTTAATAAATAGTAGACATCAAGTGAAGATCAAACAATCTAGTGAGGAATATAAAACACAGAAACACGGGAATATCTTATTCGACAATAGTGTCCCACAGGGTTTTACTCATGTCTATACATTATAGGTATATAGTTAATGTCATTAGTCTTTTAAAGATCATTTCTATTTCAAACGTATGAAGCAGTTACTTTTATAAACAGACGACCTTGCCCGTATAGTGTTTTCTAATCGTACGAGTATACAGTTCATTACTAACTTAGTTAAGTCGAACTGTTGAGTTATTCTTCATGATAAAAATAACATAATTCAAAATTTCTTAAATCAATAATGATGGTAGAGACGAGAAGATATGTGTGTATGATCTGAGATCAAAAGGTGACGAAACTAATTGGGTTCTGTATAACTTCTCTCTGCCGAAAATTATATAAAAGTTATGAATGTTCTGTCTCTCTGTTCAATGATCTATTCAAATCTGTTATTTTTCTTCATTTTATTTGAATAGTTTTTATTATTATTCGGGATGTTTCCTTCCTTGATGAAGTTCTTCATTTATTTTAGCTGCAAGTGTTTTATATTTAGAGCAGTGAGGTAGCTTGTGTCACCTGTCTTTCGTTGTTATTTCTCTAAACGCCATAGAATGCAAGGAACAAAGGTAGAGTTATTGTTTGCAATCTTTTGCTAATTTACCAATTTAGTTTAATACAATCAACCCAAGTCGTAAATTCTTTGAACTTAAAAGACTTGGGTTTTAAGGTCTCTATTGTCTATAGATCGGGTATCTTTTTAACCAACACTGATAACACTCTGTAGGTATATCTGTTTAAAAGGGTCCGAGTGACTGTTGGATGATCCTTATCACTCGTACATGTGACGTGAGCCTTCAATAATATATTATGTAAAATTGGGTCTTTAGTTTCAAAACACTATATTATGATATCTGTCTCGTGAAATAATATTCATGATTTACTTCGATAACAAGTTCCTTCAACTGACTATGAATGAGATGATTATGATTTATTAACGTCGTAATAATTTTAAATCCATAGAATTCATTCGAATTTATTATTTAAGATACAACTGAAAAAGAAATAGATATAAGTCACGACACTTGAACTAAAGTAATGAAAGGCACTACTTAGGTAGGTATAGATACTTCAGGAGGCTCGTGTATGAGAGACGGTACCGTCTCAAACAGTCTACCTAATCGTCACACGACCTCTGACCCACTGAAAGTCGAAAAAAACACGATTTTGATAAAGATCATCAATAAACATTTTTTTGTATAATTTAACTTCATATGCTAATTTCTCGCAACAAAAAATGTAGAGCGATTTTTTTAAAACCTGTCCTATTTAAGAACGTTCCCACGGACATAGGTACCTATTGTTAATCCTATTAATCTGTTACCGAGAATGTGTTCCGAAGGTATCCTTTGTAGTCGACTTATAAACAATAGCTTCCTACATACTGAGCCCTCGTACATACAATGAGGCTCGAGTGAGAGGTGACGTCACGCGGACTACAACTGACGCGTTCCTAGAACATGAACAGGCTTCACTAGCAATATAATAACATGTTGAAGAATAATCTGAACTTGTATTTGGAGCGATTTTTATTCAAACAGACGTCATTATGCAAAATAATAGCTAAAAAATTCATCCGCCCGGCGACCGCGGAGATAACAGTGTTTATATTTTTTATTATGAAATAATTAATATTGAGGAGGTATTTATAGTTTAGATGATACAATACTCATCGGAGTCTTGAACCACAGCTCCTTACACGAACAACCCTCACACCTGAGTCTCTCGTATTGTTTCCAAGTGGTTCATCATCACCGTATCTCTGGTGGTCACAGTCACCTCTCCTCGTTGTCTCTAGCCCTGTCTCGTCTCGGCTCCCGGTCCCGGGTGCTGCAGGTCCAGCGGGTGTGAGCCTCAATTAACATTCCCATTGATTTAGAACGAGTCTTACCAATTAATTAGAGAAGGAGCGAGCGTCCATAAACAAGCCGCCGCTAATTCCATTAGGGCCAGCCTGACCCCGATCGTAAATCTCCGCCCACCGCCCCGTCGCGGCTTATTTATGGAAAAGCGTGTTTCCCGGCCCCGCCCCGGCACAATGGCGGCCCCTTCCCCGGCCCCGGCCCGGCCCCGGCCCAGGCCCGCAGCCGGCCCGAGCCCGCGCCAGTAGCCTCCCGCGCCTCGCCCCTGACGCACGCGCGTGCCTCCAGTGTGTCCACGTGCAGTGTTCGTGTTCTCGTCTTACATTCAAACAAACAAACATCCACCAACACAACCGACACAGTGTCTGTTACGTGTCACCTGTCACAACCAGGATCTGACCCTGCTCCTGGCTCCACGGATTCAGTAAGTGAAGCTTTATAACGTTACTAATCGTCACTTTGATATTTGCAAAATTCTGTCGTACGTGGATGTAAGGAGTCAGTTATGACTATCATAATCAAAACTATCAATTAAAGTAAATTAATATTATAATAAATTAGAAAAATGTAACATAATAACGCGCGTTCGACGGATCAGGAAGCAAAAGTGGTCTCGACCGAATATAAAACCAGTTATGTTTCATGAATGATACGGAGGTGTTTTGTTTGATTTAGAAAATTAATATTGAAATGGCTGACCTGATGTGTGTGAGGTTAATACGAATAATATTGATTAATACTATAATACAGTAACGGACCGTGTTCCACAGTAATCTCTTTTACTCGTCTTTAAAGTCGGTCGTAATCTCTGTTGTAATAATTTTCTCTATTCCTTCCGTCCACTGTGTGTCCACTAAATATGTTTACTATTCAACGATATTCCTTGATTGAGAAAACTAAAAACAAACAATAGTTAACGCTATTAACAGAAAATGTCTATAAAACACGTTGTCTCTCACTCTTTATAATTATGATTTATGTCAAAGTTAATTCAAAATGTTCATTATTTCACTTCTGTATGTAATCATTTTCTATATATTTTTAATACAGGTTTACATAATGTACATATGTATATGCGAGCGATGTGTTTGTAATGTGGCCCATCTCATTACAACTGTTCTAATAATTACTTTATGAACTTTCTAATAGCGAGTGAACTTTAATAATAATTACACACTTAATAATAATTAAACTTTAATAATTTTACATTAAAATAAAAAATCTCCTTTTATTATTTTCTCAAATAAACAACAGTCAGTAACAAGACCCAAAATTTGTTGTTTAAACTAAAAATAATTTGTTCCGTACTCAAACAAGTCTACTGTGGGTAAATTTAATTGTTATTATTTCAGTTTAATAATTCTAATAAATGTATAAAGTCATATTAAGAAAATAAAATCAATGTTTAAGACGTTTACTAAACATATCAATTTTAATTTTTTAATAAAAATAAATGAAATACCCTAAAAAAATAGATATAATGTATGAAATAATATTTAATCATCCGTCATCAATACAGTTACAGCCTACAGTTTTGTTATAAAAACCTCTTCATGAAACTGAATACGTATACTCAAAGAAATACACGGTGAGCCTGGAACTGAAACAGACTTGACCATGTTACATTTATAACCTCTATGTTAGGAACAAAAACATGTCTGAAACACATTCCTTCAATTATTATTAATTAATTAATTAATAATAACAATATTACATATATTTTTGATATTCCTTGAATTATTAGCGTTCATGAAGAAGTTGGCAATTGTGTTCCTATAAATGAACAATTACAGTCTTCAGATACATAATATATACATAGAGATTTGTATCAATATATACTAAAAGATGTTTTATATAGATACCTATATGTTTTAAATATTATAGAATAGTAGGTTGTTGTTGTTACTAATGATAATAGTGCATTCTTCTCATCTTTACTACGCGTACTGGAAGAAACTTATATTCGAGTATAATGTATTAAGTATTTAATTTTTAAATGTAAATTATAAGTTTCATAATTCTTACGAGAGATTTTGAAAATATTTTTTGACATTCGATAATATTTGTAGTTGTTATAATCTCATGTTTATTTTATATAAATGAGCAACAATAATTTTAATATACTCGTACAATATATAGATAAATCACTATGTATATTTCTCTCGGTCCGCCTGTCCGTCTGTCCGTTTAGTACGGCGGTATGTTTAACAGATATACGAATAACATCTTTATTTCCCTAATAAAAGAAAAGGAAGGTTCAAGGTATACAAAGTACCGTCGCACGGCGCGAGGCGGCCGCAAACTAATTCACCGAAAACTACGAGCGAGACCACCGGACAATTAACATGAAGACACACAAAAATATATTCTATCACCAGCTATCAGAGATCGATATCGTATGAACCGATGACATGACAAGTATTACATAGAGTCCTCAGTCGTGTTCCTTTCATCTCTCACTCTCTCTGTGCTAAGTATAATATCTCCTTACTTTCTGTCAGTAACTGTAGGAGAGTCATCTCCTCCTCTAATTCATTTCATTAAGACAGTACGCGTGTTATATCTATCCAGGCGGAGGCCGCTCGTCATCTCAACATATTCGTGTTCTGTAAGCGGTCCCGCCGAGTCTATATGTTAATTTTAATTCGCGCTCTTCCCATACACTATTCGAATCAATTATAAAGTTTTAATGATCTCATTAAATCGGAACGTTCCATGTGTTATTTGATGATGCCGTGAAATAGTTTGAACGGCCTCTTTAATAAGTCCGTGCGGTGCTCGTGTGACGTCTGTCAACAGATCTCAATACATCCTACACACTGTAACCTCAGCATCCATTACCCGGTCAGTATAATCTCACGCGCTGCTAACAGAACCGATCGATCAATGAATCACGTTCCGATATTAATTGTTCATTCCAATGTACGATAAGATCAAAGTTTGCAAATCGCTGGACACATTCCATTCTTGAGTAGTTAATGTCCGAGGTTATATTCTAATTCGTACGAGGCGGCCTGTCAGCGACCAGGTCAGCGGGACCTCTCGGAAACACATCCGGCTCACCTTCGCTCCGTTTATAACTCATTATGTATTTTAATCGATTTATATAATTTAATTCCGACCTGTCTCTTCACAGTCAGCGATGTCTTCTATTCTCGCTCCCAATATTTATATATATAAGTGTTTCCTTCCCTGTGTAATGTTGTGTACTGTTCGTTGTCTGTCTGTATGACTAACGTCCTCTCCGTAGTGAGTCCTACCACCCGAGCCCTACCTGCTGCCAACAGCGGCGCCACATTCCTCGCATATCACACCCCTTACTCATCACCAGTCGACCATACACCCGGCGACACTTCCATCACCGTCTCCTCTTAATGAGCGTCGCGGTAGTTCCCTACCTAAAGAGTAATGTATTCGTCATTTAACAGTTTCTTTTTAATATAATAAATGTCGTTAAAAGTCGTATAATTTATCGTTGGGTCGTAACTCGCCTCGTGAATATAAATTGCATAATGCATATCGATAATGTGTCAAGGATCGCTCTTTATAGACTCTCTGTCGCTCCTGACATGTACACATTACAATATAAAGTGCTTTCATACTTATTATATAAAATACACAGACAAAACTAATTATTCGGAGACACATTAATTGTTTATTGTGCCTGAGTTCAGGGTAGGAGTTTATTAGTTCACAATAGATCATTAATCTATTATAATAACAGTATCATGACGGGGCTGTCACCACTCTCCGCCCATCATTAGAGAGTAACCCGCGAGGCTCCCCGGGGCCCACATACCTGCCCGGCGGGACACCGACACTCGACACGGATCTTCATCTCACACTAACAGATTACGGCGATTAATATTTTTTGTATGTTTGTTGTAGACGGTTGTAATATATACTTAATAATACAATTAGTATTTAGTCTACACCTATACTTGATGTATCGGCTATGAGACGGGACTAAGTTGGAGCTTTCAAATAAGTTACATGAAAATGATAATATTCTTGAAATATTAAAACATGCTAACCGCGACCTTTTCAGACGGTTTTGAGAACTTCTCGTTTAAATTCATCAATATCTGTTTATTACAGTTGCAGCTAATATTAATGTCACTGGTCATACAATTGGCTTTGTTCTTCCATCAACAATACGTAATACCGACATGACTCAACGTTCTTTCTATGAGACACATTTTAAAAGGGAGCTGTCAATAATTAGGGATAAATCTTTGGAAAGCGCCATTAATATATTACAGCATGTTACGTCAAGCAATAAATCCATCAGTCGGAGCAGCCGAGGGGTCCGGAGTCAGCTATTAGCGCGCGTGACGCTCCTCCGCTCCACAGTTTTTACCTCAAAACGAATAAAAAGTTTTACGAGGGTCGATTCGCACTTATGAGACTTAACCGACTAGCTATTAAAGCACAGAAAGTATCACATGAAACGTTTTCACGTGTGTCATATATTAGACAGTATATGTGGGGAGCGTTAGGTTGGAAACAAAAATAAAAAATGTGCTCACTTAGACACAACATCAGTTCAAGATCTCGTATGAATTTTTTGATTCTGAATCACTAGCTAATGCGGCCCGCGCCAGTGTCCATTTCGTTTTTTTTTTTATTGTTATTTTAACTGTTTTGCGCAACACAAACTTAACAGATCTTATTATTGCCGAATGTCCACAAAAGGCTTTATTTTTTTGTCGCGTCTGTCTTTAAAAGGGTCAGTCTCTCAGTAAGGGCTGACCTGGCGCCTGCGCATTAGGAGCCGGATTATTTATAGAGGGTGGTTCTCCGTCCCTGTCCGTCCCGTGTAGATCTATATCTCCGTCTCTGTCCGTCAAACAATTAGCCGTCACCACGGGACAGCTCAATAACTCTGTTTTGGGGACATTAGTTTTTTTCTTCTCATTGTCGTGATGGTATCGTTCGCGTGGCTCGTGCTGCGGCGCCGTCCTCACTCCACCAGCTCGCCCGCCGCTGCTGGTCGACACATTCCTTCAGACCCTCGCCTTATTATTTGCGTGTCCATGATTAATGTCTCGGTGGTGTGTGTACCACTCATCGTCGGCCGACACTAGCGACATACTTTCACATTCGACCGCCGTTAAGTTAGGGCTCGCCGGCGATCAGAAACGATATTACAATAACTGATTTTATTAATATTTAACACCAAAAAAATAAGATTATATTTAAAGAGCTCGTCTTATCCCATATGATAACAAGGCAAGGTGTTTTTATTAAAGAAGCCGTTTCTTCACGCTAATGACCAATTAAAATCAATCGACCAAATCTTTCAATGATCACATTAATATTGTTACTAAATCACAAAAAATATAAACTCATATTGATGTTTTCATTATTCGTTATATATAAGTATCGTCATAGTCAACGTTTCCTACGTGTTCTCTATATTTCCGCGTCGCTTCACTAATCGACAGGCTACACTCACTCACTCACTCAGTCCGCGTCAACTGTTCCAACACCGAAACCTGATTGTTATTATTAGAAATATCATAAATAAAACACACGAGTCTATTATAAAATCAGACGTAATATACGACGACCTTACACTACTAGTGTGTCACATGCAAATATATAAGTATGTACACGTGAGCGGACGGAGCCTTCAATAAACTATGATTTGTCACAATATGAGAGAATTACTAGTATAGAAAACAAAATATTTCATAAAGTAATTATAGTACGGCTAAGATCCTCAAGCCCACGATAATATAGAATACATTGAGGTCGTGTGTCATACACTGGTACATGATCCAACACTATCTGTAGACGAGCCTGTCTGTCTCCACAGACAGTGACAGGTGACACTTACACGAGAGACGCTTACATTTCACAATATACAATATGTAGTACACGTGACGTGTACGACACGCGGCCCGATGGATGGAAGAGAAGTTTGAGTACGGCTGATTCATTAAAGTGAATTATTTTGTTTAACAAACTAAATTAACGTCGTTAACGATCACGAGTAAGGAACATGGCTTTTTACTTAGATTTCTTTACGATCGATTCGTTACTCGGAGATAATGTAAGCTTTATAGACATTAGATTTGTCTGTATGTCACACGGTGCTAAGAAAAAAAAAGGACGTTTTACGCTTCTCAAGGTTTCTGTACTAGAAATTGTAATGTATGTCATTGAATGTAATTATATAGCCTGTCCGCAGCAACCCTTTTAGGACACAATAACTGTATAAATCAATGCTATAACAGGATAAAATTTTGTAGTTTTTGTCATATGTCAAATATTGTCATAAATATCATCATTATCAGCCTAGCAGAGCTCACAGCTGAGGAAAGGCCTCTTCTCACATAGAAAAGATTTGGGCATTAATCACCACGCTTGCTCAAGACGGATTGGTGATTTCGAACTTATAATTTGAAATTATAAGTCCTAGTTTCCTCACGATGTTTTCCTTCACCGTCTGTCAGTATTGTCTAAATACTCTCAGAAAGTACATGTGACTCGGAAAAAACACATTGGTACTTGCAAGATTTCGAACCCGCGGCCTCGTGCACGAGAAGCGGGCCTTTACCCACTAGGCCACCAGGACTTTTTATAATAACAGCTACGTAACATTTATAAGGAATATATTAATGCTCTCAATGGACATTTCTGTGACTATATGATACCTTCATATTATATAAAACGCCGCGTCGCTCGGACACACGGGTCATACTGGAAGTATTAAAATGTCGGTCAAGTTTGGTTCACAACCAGCGCGTTTAAAATATATGTTGTTTCTGTGGAAAAAATATGAAATATATAACAAAAAAAAACTTAAAAATAGATTAATATTAAATATATTATATTCGGTATTATTTATATTATAGTTTTATATTCAACATTTGTATTCATATCTTTCAACTATTCTAATAAATCCGACGTGTTACGTCACATGTTTTGTACGAGTGAGCGGGTAGAGATAATTGTTCAACCTTAATATTCATATTTATCTGATATGTTCCAACTCTGACCTCTTCCCGGGATACAAACGTTTCTTCACGTATGTAGAGTGTAATCTGTATCGGCATCCTGGCCCGGGCAAGTACCAATGTGACTTTTCCGAGTCATATGTACTTTCTAAGAGTATTTAGACATCACTGATTAATGTTGATTCCCAAAAGAGGGTTGATGTCAGGCAGGCGGCCGGTCGTAAAAACAAAAAGCCAAAACTATTCACTCCCAACATGTAAGGCAGACCCTGGCCATAGCTGGGAAATTGCCAGGTAGAATAAAATCTGTATCGGCATCTGTATTGTAATTATAATAATAAACAATGTAATAATTCATCAAAACAAACGTCAATAGTAAAAAGACAAACACTTAGTACCAGATTCATACTATTATAATAATAACTAAAATTATTATAATACATACAATATTTTGTAACATGTTATTCAATTTATGATTACCTAATAGAATACTTCTAACTTCTTAGTTTGTGACTGACAGTGTTCAATATACAATATACATTAAGATTCATTTAAAGGAATCTTTTCATTATGTTCTCCTCGGTACATCCGTGAGTCTGTCACAACACTATATATGTACGTGTAGTAATATTGGAGCTCTAGAGACGTTTTTTCGATAACTTAAAAGGTAACTATCAATATTACCTTTTAAGTAAATTAGATGTTAGTTCGTGTGATACTCGTACATGGTCAGGGATGTCGACCGAAATAATAAAAGTCGAGGATAAAGTTTTAAATAACTTTCATAAAAGTAATATAAATTTAGTGGTAAAAGTTCCTACAGTCAAAACCCAACACACCGTCAAACGTAATTTAGTGCTCGACTGAGTCCGGGGCGCCGGCGCTAGTGTCGGGTTCGGGACACACAGGGCTTAACGCGCCCTGTTCATTAGGAAGTCGATAACTATCAGCCGTATTGATGATTGTACTGGCCGTATTACTTTTTGTTCCGTCTCACACAGCTACACTGCAGCGTGCACACAGACTTGGTTCTTATGCACCTGTGCTATAGCTCCGTCCAAGCTGCCCTCGCCCCGGTCGTCCGTGTGTACGTTGTCACCTCGTGCCGTAACAGTAGCGCGGTGTGTCTCACTGTTCTCGTCGGCGCGGTCTCTCTGAAGGGCCGCCTCAAAAGCCTTTCCGTGTTCCGCGGGACTCGGACCGCTCCCTCCCCTCCCCCCCCAGCCCCCTCACCACCGGCTCCGCGCGACGCCGACACAATTAAACCGATGAATTTCAATCCTTCCTACTTATAAATAATTTGGTTTTGAAATCATGTGAATGTAACGTCGCGACTCGCGATGCTGCCAGAGTATCAAACTACTCGGTAACTTCGTACGGTGACCACTACAAGATTTCAGACTCATGTAAACCGACTTAGTGATAGTAAGATCCCTAAGTCCGCCTGTCTCCCACGAGTCACCCTGCTAGTCTCCTGACTCCTCTCCCCCCCTTCCATCGTCTCTCACTCCTCACCTCGTATCTGAAGGCCCTACCTCCAGCCGGCGTCGAGTGTCGATCGTTACAAGTCCTACTAATTGCGGCTCGCTCCTAAGAGCCGTGTCACCAAATTTTTTTCCTCTCCGCCGGTGACATTCCCCCGGAATGCTTTTATTCCGTCCACAGCCGACTCGTTAATGTGTTAATCCACTCCGATCGCCTTGTTTTTCTGTTATTAATAGCCAAACAACGGATCGGACCCGTCCCCCTCGCTCGCGTCACCTGTGAGACGCGTGGGAGCGGGACGGACGACTCGCAATTATAATATGTAAATGATTAATTCCCATGTCGAGAAGTAGAATAGATTAGTAGCGGACAGTAATTGCTCGCTCGGCTCATATCTCGTTATCGAGATCTGGTAGTGAAGGACTCGGAGTGGAAGGAGTCTCCGGCGGGATGTTACCACATACCTACTTGACTCTCAGAGGACTTTATACAAACACGAACTACTTCTTGTAAAGCTTTCACATACTGATTTTGGTATTGGTTGGAAAGTACTTCAACGTTGATACAACCTCGTTCATAAGTGTGGGTACAGATATGATGTATATATGAATTTGTCTTTTGTACTAACTCTCAATATCTGTCTCATTGAAAATCATCTGTTAAATAGTTGTGACTAACTCTCCTCTAGTAGTGTTAGTCTGTAAAGTATTATATTCCGTCTAATCGTTTGATGATGGTAAGTCGTTGATCCAGTAACCTGGACCACTTTAAGTCCACGGCCGTCTCCGGTAGAACTCCTTCGACCGCAAATGTTCATTAAAAGTCCTCGAATTGTTCGTCCTAATTAATTACCTACTACACATCAAGGGCTCACAAAAAAATGTCTTGTCGAAGCTAAGAGCCCCGGCGCCACCTCGGCCTACCGGCTGGCGGGGGGCGGGGGGAGGGGGGGGGTCACGTCATGGACCTCCGGTGTGGTGAGGCGAGGGGCAGGGAGGGGTCGCTAATGCAGGCGCCGCGAGATAAGAACGGGCGCATGGGAAACAGTCCTGAGAGATATAACACACGGACCCGAGGACCGGCGACGGCGAGGATCACCTGAAATATAACACGAGAGACAGCATCAGGTCTATAGTGAAGATGATCTGAATGTATTGTAGGATAATACATTTGGTTTGATTGTAATTCGCTAACAGATCGTAAACATTTTTATGATGCACTCATCTGCATGTGTCCGACTTAATTTACATCATGTACGAGTGTGTGAGTGTGTGTGTGTGTGTGTGTGTGTGGGAACTGAGAGCTGGCCGGGTCATAAATTATAGTATTATTTTATTGGAAGTAAATGACGCCGGAGACTGAAACGAAAAGCTCATGATCGATCTAATACACCCAAGGACTCTGACTATTCAACAATTTTCAGATGGCCGCGTACTGAACGATAAAAAAAACTAATATAAAATATTCTTACTAATGAAATATATAACAACTCTATAAGCCGGTCGTTTAAAGTATATTTAATGAACTAAGTAGGTATTGTTTAGATCACATTCCTAAATCCTATTTTTTTTATATAAATCTTCTTTTACATTTTGCACTATTAAGTATCTGAGGCTAAGTACATATATTTTGTTACATTATTTGTAGTAGTCAATAGTTCAGTCCAGTTTATTATAGTAAAATTACATTTGAATCGTGACACTTAATAAATATTAAAAAAGTAAGTTTTGCAGATTTATTGAATATCATCACCTAATGAAATATTTGGATTTCCTGAATTTTTCTTCGATGATCCTCTTCAGTATGATTCTGCGTAAACAAAAAATAAAATAAAATGAGATGTCATCCAAATTTGATTATTCTATACAATATTTTTTTTAGGAAGCTCCTCTTTATTTTCGTTTCTTCTATAAAATAGCAACATAACAACAATTATTCATTATAATGAGATCTAAGACTTTCGCGAGTTCCGAGTATCCAAAAAATATTTACTTCATTAAAATTTACGCTTTTTTCATTATTTTTGAAAACTACATACTCCAGACGAGATTTGAATGTGTGCCCGTAATCACGGCTGCTGCAAAGTAACCGAAACGTCGGGAGTAGGTATGTAGTTTTTAAATATAATACTCGTAGAATACGCGAAGTAATCCGAAAGATATTATTTTCATTTAAATGTTTAATATGTTATATTATATAATAAACCGGTATCCAAAGTTTTATACAAAATGTTAATTTTTATAAATTTTCAAGGAAACTAATCTCAACGTTAAGTATTCCGTAAACATTTAGTATTAGGCAGGAGAATAAAGAGATGTTTCAACATGTATACGATGATATTGAAGTCGTCGGTTGAAAAAGAATATTAAAATAAAAATCAGTAGTTCTTCATTTAATAACGTTAACATGATAGTAACTTCGGGATTTAGCCTAAAAGTATACGTAAAAAACCTGGTCCCTAAAATATTAATAGAAGTTCTCTAAAGTACGTTTCAAAATACATAACTGAATATTACATATGTATTACCTACTTTTTGATAGAACAGAAAGACACAATAGATACATATATGTCTCCGGTCACTAAAACAGACCACTTGCAAGACTTTTTCTGTTTGATTTAAATATAAAAACCTCCAAGTATAATAAACAAATACATAATAAGGCACCTTCATTATGACATGAGTAGCTTGCGAGAAAGAGTCTCGACATATTATGAGAGAGAGAATGGACTTATTTATTTATTTTATAGGATCACCAACAGAAATGACAATAGTATTACAAATGTTATATAGTTACATTAGTATATACATTACATTAGTATAGTTACATTAGTAATTATCACAAGATTGTTTTCTTCGGATCGATTATATAATTAAAAAGAAATTGAATTATTTAACAGTTTTATAACAATATCGATTAATTTGTATTCAAATGAACATATTAAATGCAAAATAAATTAAACAATAAGTAAGCATTTTTTTAATTAATTTTGAGTTAATAACTATGACTTCGGAGACAGGGTCTTTTTTTAAGGGGAAAATCATCAAATGAGCCCTCTTGGCCTGGGTGGGGCAAGAGGGAGTGTCAGACTCTTACCGACTAAAAACCCCCCGTACCTACTCCTGCTCCGAGCCTGGCTGCGGTACGTCATTTGGCTTACATTCGTGGGAAACAAGGTCTTAGTCTAGTATTGTTCATTGTTGTATCGCGGAAGCGTGGTTTTCCGCGGGTCAGCACATGTTAATCGTCTTTTCCTCTCTATTACTAAATTCTTACAAACAGAGGTGTGGCATTAGTGTGTGAGGTGCCCTTACATGTAGTATAAGTCCAGGTAAAACCAAATCACGAGAAATTGACTGAAGTATTATTTGAAACTCCTGACGTATACGAAGAACTTTGATTATTCAAAACAAGAAGATAATAAGTCCAAGCACTTCATTTCTCATGTACCTGCATACATATATGTATTGTTTTAGTTAAATTAATATCTTTCTTTAACGATACAACATGTTTAGTGAGTCATATAATATGAACATGTTTCTAGCGGCGCGGGCGTGTTGGTTGAAGGCGGGTGACGCGGACGTTCAGTGTCATTATTAATATTCATGAAACATACGAAAAGTAAGACACCGGCCGCTAATGAGCCGTCCACAGAGAACCATCATTAACAGACACTGGAAGGAAACGAAACCTACAGTGATATGGAAGAAATTAATAACATAGGAATAGTCTCTCATAGTGTGCTCGTTACATACACTGGCCGGTGATGAACTGGAACTAGCGATTTCCATTGACCAGAGTTAATAAATGTTCAGATGCAGTACATAGTACTGATGTGAATGTAAACTATCTTGACATGTGTGACGTCATCTCGAGAGCTAAGTTCAGTCATAGAAATCCGTTCAGCTAGTTGTGTATGAACCGATAAGAAAATTAGTTGTACATTTTTAGTCGGCAGTGATTTAAAGATAAACACAATGCCGACTGCCGCTATTAAATAGCAATGAGACGGGTCCGCCGTTAAACTATTGTATATCAAATGTTTTCGACATTCGGCAGTTTAATAGACTCCGGCCGTATTATTAGCGATACATATATTACATTAGAAAGCGGCTAGACATCAACCTCTATATAAATATGCACTCATTAACTACTGCTCAAAAACGACTAACCGGTTACCCACAAACACACACACGCACGCACACACACACTAGCTCGCTCGCTACATATTTCGGTAATTTAAACAGCGAGGGTGACTATGATCACGTAATTAAAAGGAGATTATTATCAGAAATCATTATTTAATGAAGAGCTCACGGTCTTTATTATTAGCTATGTGTACTGTGTCTGTGTCTGTGTAAATCAACATCTCGACGATTGTTCGGAGGCGGTGTCGGTGAGTCGGCGACTTCAAACGGCTCTTTTATTCGACGTTTAACGTAAAAACTTTTATTCGTTATTCATTAAGTCGGCCGCGACTCCGACAGTACATCATACGATGTATACACGGACCAATTATATTTAATGGTTCTGTCAAACATAGAATTTACATTCGCTAAAAAACGTAATATAATGATTGTAGGAGCGAGAGCGAGCGATACCTTAATAGTTCTCTTTACGACTGACTTACAAATCGATGTCATGATGTAGCCGTTAGCGATACTTACTATATAATACAAGTTGTGTTATCATAATAATATAAGAAGACTTCAAGTATTAAGATAAGGTCGCTATGTTAAATATGTACGCGGACGGTCTGTGAGTCGATCACAAGTATACCTACAACCGAGCGGGGCTTCACTGTGATGATGTCTCTTATAACAGAGGACGCTCCTCTGAACATACATTCAATATAATAACACATCACCTCACGAACCTATTGAAGTCCATACACAAATACTTTCAGTTGGACTTTAATGTATGTGCTAGTAATAGAGTCACCCCCGACAACATGTTATATGTATAATAATATGTGAGAGAGGTTCAGTGAGCTAGTGTGGTGGTGGTCGTAGTGATGGCGGGCCGAGTGTCGGGGGTCGCGTGGTCCCCCTCGCCGTCGATACAATAACTTATGACAATAGCGGCCTCGTATCACCATTAATCGGGCCGGGGTAGGCCTGAGGGGCCGGGGCGCCCGTGGGCGGGGCGGGGCGGGGCCTGGCGGGCCCGGCGGAGGCTCCACCGGCGCCCCACGTATATTTTCTCCCGTCATTATTTATTCGCCTCCCGTGTGTGCGCGGGACACATCTCGTGTCAACATCGTCTTATATGTTCTCCTCGTGAGCTACGACTATGAGCGACAGCCGACCTCTCTCCGCTAATGAGACTTGTATGAAACATGATTCTAAGTATCGACTTGTTTTTCTTCATGTGGTTAGAATAATAAAAATATTAAATTCAACACAAAATATTTCTCTTTGAAAATACATATTACTATAAGTATACATATATTCTCCTACTCTATACGTAATAAATGCGTTCCTAATATTACAAGTAATCGTATTAAACATCGTCATTCGTAATCTCATCTACACACTAATATGAGTTATTAAGCCGAGCTTCTTTATCTCTCACATTATTTGTTAATTACTCATATTTTCGCCGTTTGATGGAAGAATGATAGACTGAAGCTCAGTTAATAGAGACTACGATTAATGAGTGTACAGACGGCGAACAGATTATTATAACAATTACAATGACTCCGTTAAAATATTTTTAGAAAAATAATTGCTCGAATTAATTCAGTTCAAAGATAATTCAACTGGATTATCATATTAGATCATAAAATGAACTCATTAATCTTTAACTTCAAAGTAACGCAAACAAAACGTCCAATGTAAGTTGGATGTGGTTTGAATTGATATCATTTTTAAATATTTCTATAAACTCAGTGGTCACGCTGTTGGTAGCGAGACTCGGCTTGTAACATTCAAGTTAGTTATTATTAAACTGTATAGTTTAATCGTTATTAATGTAACAACCTGACACGAGTATACAGGCTTGTAACAGTCAGTTTGTGACTAACATCAAATATTATAATTACTATAAATTATAATTATTATTATTACTATAAATGAAAAACGAACACCACTCAGAGCGTACCTACATGTAGGAGATTGAGTAATACATACAGTCACATAGAACGGCTTACAATTTAACGATGTTATGTGGACTGAGGCTTTTCAAACCGCGAAACAAAAAGAGGGTTGGCCTTACATGAGGGTGGCTGTGTGTGTGTGTTTCTGTGTGTGTTTGTGGCATCGTACCTCTCAAACTAATCCACCGATTACAATTTTTTTTGTTTATTTATAAACGAGTTTTCCTGCAGTTAATCCTAGCTATGTTTGGTTAATATCTGTCCTTGTATGATATAAGCGCTTTTCCAAATTGATGTAAATCATTGTTGTTGTGTGAAAACTCAATCAAATGACTCACGTATTAATAATCTAAGTAATAATATAATCATAAGTTAATAATCTTTAAATGACGATAAACATGTCGGGAGTCTTTTATAATATAATAATATTTAGTAATGTAGTTTTACTTTAAATTAAAGCTTTGAAGTTATAATTAAACCCGTTCTAGATGATTTAAATTAGAATGTTATAACATTTCAAATAATTTGTATTATATTTTTTTTCACTATTAAGTGCTTGTATACATAAATAGAGGTCTACTACATTGATCTACATTGATCTGTAAAGTTAGTATTGCTACAGAAAGTTTTCTTAAAACTACAAAGTATACTAACATGTTTAAATTTTTCATTAATAGTTTAAAGTTTTGTAAATATAACTCAGCCGTGACTCTTTAAATATATTTAAATACAAAATGTATCATCAATGTTTTGTACGTAAATAATAATGAAATTAAAACTAATATTTTCGGATTACTACGCGTATTTTATTATCGTCTGCCCGTGATCACGGTTGTTGAAAAGTAACCAAAATGTCGGGAATATCTAGTTTTAAAATAATAATAATCCGAAAACGTTAGTTTCATGTAAATGAATACTCGCAGAAGTCTTAATTTCATTAATAATAAATTTATTAAATTATATTTTAGTTATACATATATGTTCGTTGTACGAGTTCCGTTTAGTTTCTTAAAATCTTACAACAGCCTTATCTTTGACGTGAAGTGCAACAGAAGTCTATTCAATAAAATTCAATAAATTTGTGAAGAAAATGGCATAGTGATATCTAAGATTTTCCCAAGTACCTATTCATTTAAATAAAACTAAGATATTTGTATGTACCTACTATGCGTTTGTATTATTTTAAACCTACATCATCCCGACGTTTCGGTTCCTTTCCAGCACCTGTGATTACAATTGCTCTAAAAGAACGTCTGAAGTATATTGTTTTGTATAATAATAAAACGCTTAGTATTTCCACAAAAAAAAATCGCGTTGATTTGTACTATAGTTGAGTCGGGAAAAACGAAAATAGTTTTAAATTTTCAGTTATTTTTTCAGACAAAAAAAAGGTAAATTTAGTTGTGTAGTTACGTTGTTTACAAATAAAACAACAATTATCCAGTTTTGGTTCATGAAGTTGAATTAAATTTCTTTACACTAAATATAAGAAAAATATTAATAGAGACTGTTATTAGGAACGAGGGAAGAATAATGAATGTGGACGGACGGACGGACTGACGGACTGCTTATAATATATGTATATAACATTAATTGATAAGATAAAGCAATCAGATTGATAAAAACATAGAAGACTTGACCGAATACATGCTCATTGAGGAAACATATACAACTATTTTTTATTATTATATAAGTACAATAACTGATAACTTTAAGTACATCACAATATTGTCATAAAGGGATCAATTTCAACATCAATTTTACAACCCTTAGTCTAAGTCTTACAACCCTGACCTCGCACTGCACACATTTACGTTACTTTTGTAACACTCTAACCAACGACCCAGTGATTGCAACTTAAAGGAAGTAGTTGTGAATTTTTTGTTTTATTACTTTGTTATTTTAGTGATATTTGTCGTATAGTAACTACAGATTATATATACCATCCACAACAAATGTTTTCATCAAGCGGGCAATTTTTGAGATTGTCTCATTCAACTAAATATACAAATTATTTTGCTTCACATAATATTAGTATCAAGTATTTGTTGAACGTTAGTATGTTGTTGTTCAATTAATTATTATTAATGATGTTTTAACCTCACACACATATAAATTAAACTCAAAGCTCACTTCTATAATATTAAAATTAGTATGAAACTGATAAATGTTCAAAATCCCGCCATACCCAACCGGCCAAAATTATCACCTAAGATTATTTAGATATACGTGAAGCATCTTATCTGGTAAACATAAGAATAAAAATTATTAATGTTACATAATTTTGGAAAAAATTGAGCTTCTTACACCTCTTGATCTATATTAACCATACACACCTAAATCATCGCAAAGAAAATGTCTTTGAAATAAAAAACCAGCAATTGGTCCATCCGTTTGAGAGTTACTACGTCACATACACAAACACACACACACACACAGACGGACCTCAATTCTGTAACTTACCCCTATTAACGTCGGGGACTAATTAATGAAATACTTAATATGTTTTTAAAATTTATTTAATAACTTACCAATAAAATACATATTTCGTATACAGTTTCGTTTAGTCTTGAAGGTCTCAGAGATCACTATACATATAGGTAATTATTATTATAAACTAGGTACCCGCTCCAGGTACTATCTATACAAAAAATATAAAATAGCCTATGTTGCATAGGTATAACGCGTTGAGTACTTTTGTAGTTTTTGAGTTAAATTTATACAAAAACAAAAATTTTATCATCTTTCTTCGTTAAACATATTTTTAGTTTGAACTTAGAAAAACGGTATATTTTTATGTAAATAATAGTTTTTTAATATAATAAAATTACAAAAATGTTATATCATCATTAATGACGTGATCATGTGAAAAATTAAACTTGTGATAACTTTCAAATGGTGCGTCCGAATTAAATACTTCAAAAAGTAGTTTATAAATACTGATGTAAGCTTGAACACGAAGTTATTTATTTCGATAATACTTAATATCGTAATTATATAAATAGTTTTCTTATAAACGCTTCATGAAAGCCAATTTTTGAAAGTTATAAAATGGATAAGGTATGTTATTCCTAAGAGGTAGACATATTACATCGAGGACTTTTCTGTAGACCTATATAAAATACATAATTCCACTATACATTTTTTTGTTACATTTCAAAGGGTTTTGTTAGAGTTTTCGTTGAAATCAGACAGACCGCTCATTTTTTCCCGACATCTTCAACAAATATCGTTTATGTACACACAAATCAATACAAAAGCTTAACAAATTATATATTACTTCAAGAATCACGTTATCGAATGGTGAAAACCGCTTGATAATTGGTTTAGTAGTTTTTCTGTTTATTTCGAACAGACAGACGTGGCGGGGGACTTTATAATAGTGAATCTTTTCATTTTATATAAGAATTAGTTCTTCATTATTTAAAAATTACTGTACTCGTAAATGCTTGTAATCCACATCACACATTCACATCTCGCCCGCCGTGATTACGGTTGCTGAAAAGCAACCGAAACGCTTAGTAATCCGAATAATATTAGTTTCATTTAAATGAATACTCTAGAAAGTCGTAAATATCATTATAGGAAAAGTGATGCAGGTTAATACTGATGTATTACAATATTAATAGTTACTATTAGAGTTGTATGTTAATGAACAACTTTCATTATTTAGCTAATAATAAATTCTCATAATGATTGAGACAATAACGTAAATATATTTTTCAGCTTTTTATTCATAATGTTAATATTTCACTGTTACCAAAATAAATAAAGAATAACTTCAAAGTCTCCAAACCAATATTTTTTATAAGAATGTCACTAAAAATGCCTTAAATGTCCTCCTATATTTGAATATCTGTGTTTGGTGATAAACATTTGAAGAATTCAATTAAAATTCGTAAATGTTATGTAGTTGAAAGTGTTGTAAAACTTGTCGTTTAATGTCCAGCGTTAGGTACTTCCAGTTATGTCCAATAAAATGGCTGAAGCCAGTATTTATAGTTTTCAAATACAAGTTTATATTAAATTTTGCCATTATAAAATTACAATGGGTCATTATTAACATTAATTATAATAATTTTAAGGATTATATTATATTATAATTAGTAGGGCACTAATGGCACCACTTGTAGCAGGTCTTATACTATGTAAGACACAAATTATGTGTTAACAAAAGATAACTTAATCAAATTTATGTGAAGCTCCACAAATAAACTATTACTGTAAAGTTAAATATTGTTTCTCCCGTGTGCTTTGATGAAGTATACATCCACCTTACAGACAACATCTTGTACACAGCTTCTCATGCGTGTCTCTTTACAAACATCTAAATACTCCTATGAACAGAAGTGGTTTTACTTAAAACAGTAATAGTATTGTTTTTTTAATGTATGTATCTACACACCGTTTTGAGGTGATTAGTTTAAACCGATAATAATACTTTATAGTCGGTATGTTCATTTAACAGTTACAGTGTGAGCTCGTATCTTTTGCCCCCATACCATATTTCATGGTCTAATCGCAAACGTACTTATAGCAGATGGCACCTCCGTTACGCTCCCCCCCACACTTCCCCCCCCCCAGCCTTCTCTGATCACATTCATCACCTCATCACCCTCACATTAACCAACCATCCCTTCATCTCTCGTGTCACATCTGATTCCGACCAGACTCACGACTCACTAAATCACTTTGTCGTCATTAGTTCATCCAATTTTTTCCGTCACTAATTTTTATTTTTTTCCCTTCCTCCTTTTTTACATCAAAGCTACAAAGTAAAGTAATTAATATAATTCTCCTGTATTTATTCTCGTATAAATAACGTTTTATAACCCGCCGCGACACTCTCTTAAAGTAGCCAGCCAGCCTGTGACTGTTATGATGTCTATTTATGGAATGCTTTTAAAACCTCCAACAACATTGTAGTGAATCTCCGCTGCTCTGTACACTGTTAAGTGTAATACCGATGTCTGTGTCTGTGTCCGTGTCTGTGTCTGCGAGATCCTTTGTGCGGGTCCGCTCTTAAAAGCGTCTCCGTTTTACGACTGCGACGAACGCTAATGTATTTTGAGTGTGTACCGAGACCCGGGGCCGGCCGGCGAGCTCGGTGCGGTGTGACTGCAGTTTGAGAGTTCGTTTGAAGCAAAAACTTCTCAGTTCTGAAGAGGCTGCACCTGTGACGCCACTTGACACCACATGCAACTCACGAGGACAGCCACGGGATAATGGACCTTAACACCAGTACTTAGGACCTAATCAATACCGCTGATCTGTTTTTCTGATGGGAATCCAATACAACATACCGCTACAAGTTTAACATTATTACCGAATGTCTCCGATAACGTGTTGTCTCAGTTCTTACAAAGTTTTCGCACCGTCCTCGTCAGAGCAATGATCCAAGCTACTGAGAACGATTACACACAGAGAGAACATTCTGTTAAGTATATTTGTTACACATTCAAAATTTAAAAAGTAATATCTCCCCTAACGATTTCTTCTACGATACTTATATTATGTCTAATTGACCTTTTCAAGATGTTTATAACGGCTGTACAATGTTCTTTGATCCTTCACCGTTTTTAATATGAGAAATCTTAATTTTTCATAAATTAATGTAAATAGCCTGTCGTGGTTATATTGGCACGCGACTGTAACACTCCTCATATATGTACATATGTGTAGTATATAGACGAGATATTAAGATGTATGTGTGTGTGTGTGTGTGTGTGTGTGTGTGTGTGTGTGTGTGTGTGTGTGTGTGTGTGTGTGTGTGTAAGTGTGTGTGAGTTTGGCACATTGATTGATTATCGAGAGCGATCTCTGCACCAGATACAGCATCACGTCATGTGCCGCCGGGCGCCGCGGACCAGGGCTGCCCGCTCATGGACATGTAACGATATTAAAGACTGATATCACATATATCACAATGACAGACAGACATTCTGTTATGTTCAGTATAGTAGCCATGTGGTTGTGATGACTCTTGATATAACAACGATTACAGTCTTTAGTGAAGTTATTTGTTACATATTATACGAATTTCATGATTAGAACAAGTTGTTTTACGACGAGGCAGTGATAAAAAGCTTCTTGTGAACATATTAAAACGTTGTTATAGTACTACAACCCTCCTCCTGTGTGTATGTCTGTTTGTTCTGGTCGCCCGTCCTCGCGTGAGACAGCCCTGTAGTGTTACTCCGGCGCCGCTCCCGACGCTCTCAAGTGGTCTGAAAGCCGCCGCCGCTTGCCCTAGGTCAGACGCTCTCCATCTAGTGCACTTATCGTATCAATTATACCTTGGACACTTGCCGGGGATGTGCTTCTCATCAAAGGGAACTATTAGTGAACCGCCGCAAGGTCGATGCGGTATAAACGAAAAGTTAATTCGGGATCCACTGATCTTATTACACACATACAACGGACGAGATGCAACGCGGACTCAGTTATTATTGAGGGCGAGCGAGACGGTTCCGGAGAGACACGTTCATGTTTGAAATTAAAATTATGACTATATAGAAATCGTTTACAGATAATTGTTCATCCGTGTCCGTAATAGATGTACATACTAGGTACATATACATACGAGTGTACACTGTAGAGAGCACGCAGCACGAGGATCGTGTAAACGAAGCCTTAAATTATCATAACCGTTATGGAAAATTTACGAGTAAATGGCGATGGCGGCGTAATGTAAATTCAATGCATAATAATTTTTGGGCGGCGCACATAAATCCCGGGCGGGCGCTCGCGGCGCTAATGCAGCGCATAAATATCGCCGGCGACGGACTAAGGTCTCGTACACATTACAGACACCACCACCGGCCGGCTGGAGCCTTAGAGTACAAACAAATTGAAACAGAAACGACCTCACATACATACTACACGACCTGACTCACACCGGCTCATAGAATCAAACGTCAACAGTTATGTAAGAAATGTAACGCATTTCCATATATAGACGCGCTAGGAACGTAATGTGGTCATAAATAATGCAAGGAGATCCCAGGAACATCCCGGGCCGTCCCGGGGCCGTCGTTAGCGCGTGTGTCAGGTGACATCATTTACAACACACAAATATTTGTTAACAAGTCACAAGTCGCTCGTTACAACTCTATTTGATTTACTGCACCACACTCACACCGGGATCGTGTTGTACGAATTTATTATTCGAAGATATTCTTTGGAATCTCATCTATCTCCTTATAATCCTATTTCAATTTTATTTTACAATCGATCTATTTTCTCTTTATATAATTCTAATATCAATATTAGTTGCAGCAAGTGATACATATTTATCAAATGAATCCTCCTACTACTTTCCTGTTCACGTCTCATTCAAACTTCATGAACACACGTACCTATAACATATAAGATGTTTTTAATATACTTTTAAGATATCTTTAACCACATACATATATAAAAATATTTTCAAAGGTTTTCAATTTCAAAAAAAAAAATGCTGAAAAAAAGAACTTTAATTACAAAACAAACAAAAAACGTAATTCATTAAAAAAAGTATATATAATTTAAACTTAGAGGGTATCGTTGTAGCGGTCTGCGTTAGTCAATGATGATCACATCGAAGTTAATAATATGGAGATAATATGTATTAAATACAATACAATATAAATGTACGCTCCAACAGTACGTGACGCGGACGACACACGCTTTACTCAATAATAACAAATATGTTTTGTTTTGATAACGAACAAAAATACAACGACACGTGACGTTAGCACTTAGCAATACTTTGAGACACTAAGAATAGACCATTAAATAAATTTAAACTACAGATTTAACTTCAATATTAAACAGTATAAAAATGAAATGTTACACGCGTGATGTCGAACAAAACGCCAGACTAGTATTCAACTAGAACCTGGCACGTCCCTTAGTGAAGCGGCTTATCAGAAACATGACAACAATATGATAGAGATACAGATACAGACCGAGATGAATCACACGCGTACCTACAGACACTACAACTGACGGGTGAGGCTGTTACAGCTTGGAGTAAGGAGAGGACTTGACGACACACACGAGAATATAGAAGAATACGTAATAATGTTCAAATAGTCATAAAGAGGTTGTAATAATTATTATAAAAACAGTCCATTGCTATCAAATATTATGATAAAACTTAAACTTTATAAAGGTTTTCAAAATGTTGAGTAAGAGTATCTGGCCCGCTACATATGAACAACACGAGTGTCAGGTCGAGATGACGAAACAATGAATTAAAACTAGATATGTAATGTAAGTTGATTTATCGCAATCATTGCAAAAATATTAAATTAGTTAACTGAGTCACTGTGGCAAGTTCTCGGACAACGTGCGGGTGTATCTGATGAACGACAACAACGCCCTTAACGCTGTGTAATAGAGATCATTATCGAACGACCCGTCGGCAAGGCGACGTGTGGACGTCCGTGCTCTATCTGCTGTGCGCACGCGCAACCATCAGCGTGCGTTTGATACATTGTATGAAATCATATCAGTATTTACTAATAACACGATACGGTAACATAACACAGAATACTTACATTTTAATGTAGTTATAAGTTCATATTTTATATTTTAACAACATTCAATGAGGAGAATAAATTAAAAAATAAGCAACAATAAGAATGACACGGTGTGATTTATTATCAAAGTTCTTATCATTTTAACTTCTACTTATAAATTATATTGTAAATAAAGAAAGGGCTTGTCATGTTGATTATACACTCTAAACAATAATGAAAAGTTTCAAACCCTTGATAAAATCATCCTAGACGAAAGATGTCGCTTACGGTCGTTTCACACAACCATTATATTAATTAAATATCATTCATTTCTCTCACGACATAATACCGAAACAATGCAGACAAAGTCATGGCCAAGAACTAGTTATACAAACAATAACATAGAGTATTATTTATTACTTATCCCATGCTCATCATAGAACAAACACCGTATCGAGTTACCTTATCCTGTCAGCTCCGTAAAATATTAGTCAGCGAACTGGAAATAAATATAAATTAAATTAATATTAAAATAATAATAATTTAATTCAATAGTTTTCCTCTTTACTACGAGTGTTTTCAGTTTATATTAATCAAAGCATGTTATCTTAGTATCGATAGTGGCCCCAATACACAGACGAGCTCTCGTTGCAGGTGAAGGATGCTAGTTTGAGACTGCAGCATCATGTTCGGCAGCAGCGGCAGCGGCGGCTACGGGGATGGGGAGGGCTATGGACTGGGCTACGTGGGGGGAGGGAGGCTGCAGCAGTACGCGCACTTCGCTCCTCACCAGACATGGCATCACCACCCCGCCCACCACGACACATATGGTACTATCATCAATAATAAACATCGCTTTACTCTCAACTACCTCTCATATACATATGTTACCCGCGACTTTCCTTTCGATGTCTTCCAATAAGAGTGAAGTATTAATAAGTAAAGATCCTGAAAATGATAAATACATGAAGCTTCTTTTTATTGGCCACTTTTCAATGAACTAGGTTTATACGAATACGTAATATATTACCATCAAAATGTTATAATCGGTTAAATGAGGGCGCCTTTAGATCATAGTGTGTAGTGACGGTGATGTGAGACCGCAAACGTTGAATCAATGGGCTCACAGGCCTTCCCAGAACGATATGATTCCCCGACACAGGATAAACTTGTTTGGTCAAATCTGTTTTGAGGCGCGCTTTGTTTATACAACAACCACATGAGATACGAGCTGACGGAGATCTGGAAATAAATTAATAAGAAAAATAACTGAAACTATGACTTAACGAAGTTAACCAATTGAAGATCGCGTGTATTGTGTTTCATACAACTTTCTCAGAAAATATAAGCTCCTAACCTGAGGATTCGTTGCCCAACACTCGTATATCGACACCTCTGCTTCGTCCATCGCTACCGTATATAAATATAAAGTGGCTCGCACCAGCCGCGTCCCTCGGAGGTCAGTCCTACGTAAGTCCGTAGTGCGAGTAACGTAACAATAGGCCTCATGAATCAGAGCCGATAACGAGCTAGAGACTCACAGCGCGCTCCTCCGGTCAGTCCGCCGCGACCTCTGACCGCGACGGTCGCTGTCACCTGACACCTCCTGACACCTCCTGACACCTCTCACCAGTCATCACTCGACATGGACCTCCAGTTAACTCAGTCCTGGTTACAGAACATAGCTCTCATCGCAGGTTGGTCAGCTTGCCTCAGCATCAACTTCACTTTATATTCATCTACCTGTTCCTCCAAACATATCAGACAGGTCGCTTGTGATTCTTTTGTTCTCGTGGTCGCCTCTCAGTCGATATCTTTGTTATCTCCGTGTTTGCTTCTCCTGCGAGCTCATTATAATATTGTTGATAATCTCCGCTACTTAGAAACTTCAACAAACGAGTTTACCGATGTGATAACACAACATTTGTATGTTAAATTATTTTCTTACTTGTTTTTATGTGTTTCTGTGCATATTATTGTTCAATGTTATGTAATTCACGTGGTTTTTTTAATTTTTAATTATATTTTTTTAATTGTTAGAAACTTAATAAATAGTGTACATATCAAAAATTTTGTAGGAATATCTTCCTATTATAATGACCATTATTGTTAGCAGGAGGTAGCGGTGTGGGCAGTGTGGGCACCGTGGGCGGCGTCGGCAGCGTGGGTGGTGTGGGCGGCGTGGGCGGTGTGGGCGGTCTTTACCCCCAGAACATGGTGATGGGATCTTGGTGCGGGCCCTATGATGCCCTACAGAGACCTCCAGCTTACGGTAAATACTCTCTTCTGATTGTAGTCACACCACTGATGTAAACTGACCTCGGGTCTTTTACTTACATTGTTCAATTCTAAAATTTATATTAAAAATTCTATTTAAAGCATACCTCAATATTATAACATATTTTAACTCCTTTAGGTTCAGTTTCAACAAAAGAAGTATTGAATTTTTCTAATGTTTTGTGAATAAAGTCACCTAATACCTATATTAACTTTTGTCTTAATCTTTGAATATAAGTAATCGTTAGAATAAATAAAATTTAATAATGATAATACAAGACAAATATCAACAGATATAATAAGGAACAGTGATTTAATGAGTCAGTTATTATTGATGAGTGTGACGTCACCTCGGGACCCGCTACCGAGCGATCAGACTCCCTGAAAATAAATAAATGTCCTCATCAGTCAACCAACACTCACACATATTCAATATATGACAAAATTACATTAAAATCTTGTATATTACATATTCTTTATCGTCCCAAAACATCTTTTCCAAACACTCCGCCCATTCCATGATATCTTCCTTTGTAATATTGACGTCGAGGAAAACTGTATCTAAAACTGTTGTATGATATGTCAACTGAAAATCCCAACCGCACGATCACCCGACGACCGTCACGCAGATGTGACCGATACTGTACAAAAATAATTACATGTATTATTAAATTAACACAATTATATATTATTACTACTAACTCTAAAACAGATCATATACATACACTAACTAACTATTACGGACATGTGAAGAGATCCATATTAAGATAATCTTTAAGTCTCATTCTCCGGGTCACATTGTAAATATTTCCGATCACCCAATCCTCATAGTATGTAGCTATCATTCTTACTTAAACCCACGTCGAGACTATGAAACACATTCAAATACTTTATATCTTATTGTTATAGTTTCTCTGGTCCCTCCTCATTCACGTGTATTTTATTAGTAGTTTTTGTAACAACATCTCATCCTAAACTCACGTTGTCACGAGATTAATAATTATTTATTTGATAAAAATTTCAATTTTATAGTTTCACCATGAAGAGATATCAGTAATTAAATTTTTGGGAACGTAACTTTTTTCAATAATAAATAAATTAAAACGGTTAATTAGAGCAAGATAAGTAATAGGTGCAGTTAGTATAATTACAAGGTTGGTTGGTTGGTTGGTGTTCTGAGCACCGGTGATAAGACATGCTAATGTGTTATCAGGAGTACTACATGCGACCAATATCGGAAACGTTACGAGTAGCTTGTAGCATTATATACACACACACACACACACACACATGCTCACTTGCACACATACAGACATGTTCACATGCACACACAGACATAAACCGATTAATGACTAGTGCATGTAGAGTTGTTAGAATTAATGGCTTCCAGTTAACTGATGCGATATGGCACAAGTTGCTGTCGCGCGTATTGTTGTGAGGAACGTTCTGCGAACTGATAACACTGATCTACTTTGTAACCGCAAACACCGCTGGGACTCGGAGGATTACAATATTATATTGTATATGCATTTATATATAAAGCCATCATCGATATTAATAACAAAAATTACACGAACACTAGGGACCATTTACACATAAACTGATGTGAGTGACTCATGGGTCATGGGACTTCATGAAGTGTGATGATGTATGTATGGTGTGGTGACTCGTGGTCGGCCACAGATGGAGTGCTGGAGGCCTACGAGGAGGGTCGTGAGTGTGTGAACTGCGGCGCCAACAACACGCCGCTGTGGCGCCGGGACTCCACCGGCCACTACCTGTGCAACGCGTGCGGCCTCTACCACAAGATCAACGGAGTGAACCGGCCGCTCGTGAAGCCGAGCAAGCGGCTGGTGAGTTCCTCTTCGTCTCCATGTAACCGTCTCTCTGCGAACAGGTGCCGACGCCGAGCTGCTCACCCGCTTCTATAAGGACGGCTCCGTGCAGAGATGGATGAGTGTGGAGGGCATGGCCAGGGGCATGAAGAAGGTGAGTCGGTGGCGTGTAGACTAGTGCATGTTACCCTCCCCCCACCCCTCCCCACACAACCCGCACCCCCTCCCGGTGGACCCCCGGCTCCAGCACGTCATTCCTCTAATTCGTTCTGCTCCGTTTCGATCGCTTCCGTGCTAGGGAACTACACGCTACCGCTCCCCACCTTTGATCGGCAAAGAACGCCTCACTCGAGCACTCAAAATTAATTGCCTCTATTTACTCTTGGCTATGATCCCAATACCGAATTAGAATAAGTCGCTCCTCGCTGGTCTACCGAGATAACTCATCGTGGATCGATCACACGCTCCGTCCAAACCATACTCAGACGAAGAACTCTCATTAATACTTCTCTAATTACTTAACCGCATCGCGCTCTCTCTAGCTTTGAGATGATCCGAGTATAGTTCCCGTCCAATAGTTATACTGGTATATAAGGAGACAGAGAGGACAGAAGGCCGGCCAGTTGTATCGTATCGTAACAATGCGATGATCGCGGATGAGTTATGTCGGAGCCGGCGCGTGCATGTAGTATGTATAGGTCCGTAGAGAGCAGGTAGCGCCGTCCAATGAGACTCGCCGCTCCGCCCGGCCGAGGCCGCGCGCGCGCGACACACACTTCATTGGACGACGCTACCGGCGAGAACGTTGAACCGCATGCAACGATAACTACTACACTACCTTGTATCAGCTTGGCGGGTCACTACTGGCGTCTGGTGAGGGTGGCAGCTTATACGATATGGTCCAAATAGACTTAGTAGTAGTATAGAAGTCAACTAAACTGATATAGTCATGAGGATGTTAACACGAGTGTGTGTTACAGTCGGCGGCTCGACGCCACGGTCAGAGCTGCACCAACTGTGGCTCCAGGAACACGACCCTCTGGAGGAGGAACAACGAGGGCGAGCCCGTATGTAACGCGTGTGGACTGTACTACAAGCTGCATGGCATTAATAGGTACGAACTTGGTGGTTGGTACAGGATCGGTACTTGTGTACTGAGAATACTTACGCTATGTAAGACAAAACCACTAAAAATGAACACTTCACTCCTTCATAACATATAAGTATAACTTAATTTTTACTAAAAGTTATGTTTTCTTAATATTTCCAGACCTCTGGCCATGAGGAAAGATGGAATACAAACCAGGAAACGTAAGCCGAAGAAATCAGCGAACGGCGTGAAGCCTTCACCGGAGACGGCCAAGAAGGACGAACAGACGTCACCGGGAGTCGACGGTATGTATAATGGACACACGCTCAAAATAATACAATAGAAAATAATTAGAAATAATTAAAAAGAAACCCATTGTTATCATTACAAGACTAACACTATAAAATTCTAAATTCTTAATTATTAAATCCACAGTACCAATTTAAAGTATATTCTTTAAAAAACAAAAATTAAACTAACTTCATCACCATCCCGAATTCATTTAGTTGTAAAGGTTATAAAATCCAAGACACACGTGGATTATAATAATGTTTTAGACATTGGCGCAATATTAAGAGAATTCTTTAAATTAAATTCAACCACATTAGGTAGGTATATAAAATCAAAATTTCATAAACACAAGCGATTATACTCCATATTACAGGAGTTTAATGTAGGTAATGACATCTTTACAATGTTACTTTCCATAGTACAAATAAAAGATGTGTCGGCTTATAAATGATTTATTCACCAAATTGAAGCGGGCGCGATAACTTAGTTGGAAAAACGAGTGAAGCGATGGATTCCATAAGCCTTCTATTAAATCCCTGTTTTGTGAAGGAATGCTTTCGTTCTGAAATTAAACATGCAACATTTAACAAAATGTTGTATATGAATGAAAAACCGTTTAATAACTTTTCATTCCTGTGAGCTCTCACCAGTTCTAATACAAAAAGAATTTTTCACATACAAAGACTTTATATTAAATCACTTTTATTATCTTAGTTATATTGTCAATCCGTAAAGATATATTATTTTCTCAGGTTTTACTTTTCAATATTTTAGAGAAATTAAGAGAAAAGAAAGCTTAGTGCAAAAACATATTATAGATTAAATACAACGCGGTCACAGACAAAAATAGTTTTCGACCATCACATACGTTAAACAGCTTTTGGACATAATATGATTTTTTTTAAAGTCGCTAGAATAAAATTATTAATGCTTAAATCTTTATAGGTATATATAATTCTTCTGTGAGTGTGTATGTCACTGAACTTCTCTACAACGACTGGACCGATTTTGACGAAATTTTTTGTGTGTGTTCAAGGGGATCTGGGAATGGTTGAGATTCACAATTTTGTCCGCTGGACAATGTTTTTTTTATTAATTTTTAATTTATTAGTAGCTGTTGATACAAACGTTTTTTTTTTTGACATTAGATTTGACAACTAACTATGTAATATGTCAATCATTCAGAGATTTATCGCTTTTATAGGTAAACTCCAAAAATATAAATAAAAAAACGTAACCGATATTTCTTGATTATAGGGCGATACGAAGTTCGCCGGGACTTCTAGTATTAAACATAAAAGACGCCAAGAGTTATGTTCGATGTTGTAATGTATAGCTCAGCCTCTCTCTCGTCTGTTCCCACCACACACTCGCCGGCGCGTCTCAATCATTTCCTCGTGTTTTTGATGTACCGATATTCCACATGACTATATTAATATTTAATTTTTTTAATTAATTACATTGATTTAACGAACGTTTATAATTTACGTATTTTTGTGTAATTTTTAATGAGCCAACCGGTTCCTAATCGATGATTGCCTATCTTATCGTTAATTAAATAGATTTTGATTGATTCTCATGTTTCTCCGAACATCTTCATTCAGACTTAATTAAAGTTTTGATCTTGACATTAAGGCCGTCCTCATAAATTATATTCGCGGCCTGTACAGTTACAATGAATATTACAACTTCCCACTTACGAACAAACCATCCTTACTGACAATTGGATATTTATATTTAGGTATATGTATGTAAATGTACATATATTGATGCATCTCTCTGTTCGTCTGAGGAATGTTAAATAGGCAAACTATTAGAATGCTTTTTGGATTTTTTATCTCTTCATATTATCAGGCATATTTTACGATAATAAAATTGTTGATTAGAAGTCCCATGATAATGTAAGAAAATAATCTATCGCTAATATACTGATATGTTATAGAAAATGTTGATTAATTATTATCAACAGTGACTAATAATATGTTTGTTGTTTGTTTCCAGAGAGCAAGCCCAGTATATCAGAGGTCCCTCTGCCGCTGACGGCCAGCCTGTCCGGACACTCCTCGAGCAAGTCCCGCGAGCCACTCGGCGCTACTCCCTCGCCGCACGCACACACACACCCGCACTCTCACGCACACTCTCACACACACTCGCACACACACTCACAGAACTCTCAGTACCCCCTGGGGCTGCCGTCCGCCCCCGCCTTCCTCTCCAACCCGTCGCTGTTCAACATCAAGAGTGAACCGAACGCCGCCTCCGGCTACGAGGGGTACGGCTCACACGCCGCCTCTAACGGACCCTACCACTCGCAGCAACACTACCTGCACGCCCTACAGGTACCCCGGAATTGATCTTATATTATGTATCTCAACTAATGTGTATGTCGGACCGTTCTCTTAATATTGTCATTGTTCAGTACGGCCTCGGAGGTGGGGAGGAGGAGGAGGGCAGCGGGTTCCTTCACCAGCGGAACGTGACCGCACACGCCAAGCTCATGGCCTCCACGTAGCGAGCTCAGCAGTGAGGAGGACACATGGACGACGAGCGAGTGAGACGGACAGATGTACCTGGTCACTCTATATGTTTTGTCCAAGTAATAAGGAAGATTCCACATGTAGTTGACTTAAATACTAGACTTCTTAGTTGAGACTAGTCATTTGAAGATGCATTTCCGACATCGGAGCACAGCACTAAGGTTTTGAGTCTAAAAATATTTGTTGTGTTCCAATTATCAGAATTAATAATAAGTAGTGGGAAGACGTCAGAGAGAGTTTAACTTGTACATATTATATTAGTTTTAAGTATTGACTGAATTTTAGTCACTGATGTATTTATGGAGGCATAGTTAAAGTTACTTCTAGTTCTATGGTTTCCTTGTCGATGAAGCTCGTGGATCTCGAGACTACACTGACTGGACTGACTTCAGAACTCTGTGTGGAAACATTTCATGAATGGAATGTATTGAGTCTGTAGTCGCTGCTAGGTCAGATAACCGAATCTTTTTAGTTGTCATGTGTATAGTATTTTACCTTAATAATAACGAGTAATGTATAAAGTACGACGAACACAGAACACGCTGCACTTATTGTTTAAGACTAGCATCAGAAGAATGGCATTTATTGTTAGTGTAAATATCTGTAGATAAAAATTTAACAAAGTAGTGAGTTATGAATGTTTCGATCGATATCTGTTTCTCTTTTATAAATGTAATCTAATGTCAGAGCTGTTTGTAAATTTATTCAACATGTACAATATAATATTAAACATTGGAGCACACCACTGTGTTTTATTACTTGTGTCTGTTGGAAGGGAAGAGTTGTGGGATCAGGATATTACATTCTCCTTTACCTAATTTGAAAGTGTCATTGAATTTTTTAAACATGAACTTTCTGATTGATACCTATTAAAATTCCTCACAAAGAACCCTTTAAAACTAAACTAATTAATGCATTTGTACCAGAAATGTAACGGAGCTTCGATTCCGGTTCCGTTAAGTCGGAACTTCCGTTAATTATTACACTTTCGGTTCCGACTTCGGTTCCGATACTTTTTTATCGGATGTTAATCGGAGGTCGAACGAAACCTGTGCCGAACAGGTTCATACATGTCGCGCGGGGGATCCTTCGAACCCCACTACGTGCTCTCTATCATCAATTAATTTTTCACTTGTTATTATTTGTTACGCCCACAACACGTTTATGAGTACAACAAAGAAAAACGTATAAGTATTAGTGATGATCGGTTATTGTGGTGGAAAGTAAATGGAAATACAAAATTCCAGCCCCTACAATCAATTGCCCGGCAATATTTGTCATGTCCACCGGGCTCGGTAGCTAGCGAACAACTTTTTAGTGGTGGTGGCCTAATTAACGACTCTTTAAGAAATAGATTGGATGGGGACAAAGCATCAATGCTTTTGTTCATAAAGTATACATTACTATAATACATTACTTTTGGAGTCCATTTTCATTTAATTTGTTTTAGCTTTTGTTCATTTATTGTAATGTAACACACTATTTTGGGTTTTAATTATAATTAAACTTTAAATTCATTAATTTTATCTTTTGTTTACTTGGAAATATGCCATTTTTTTTTCAAAGTTGTTCTTTATTTTATAATAAAAAATAAAAATGAAAAGAAGTGACTATAAATCATGTTTTATTTGTCCTTAAACAAACTGACTCTGCCTCCGATTTCGATTCCGATTCCGATTCCGATAAACCAAATTTGAAAACTCCGATTCCGATTTCTGTTCCGATAAAACTACCTCCGTTACATCCCAGATTTGTACACAAGATTGGATTGTCAACGTTGTCACACAACACAACAACCCTATATCTGAAGATGTTGTTCATGTTACAATTACACATATTAAGTACTATGTGTTACACTCTATCTTATTGTTATTCTTAATCTGTAATATGTTTTGAATCCAACGTATTTCTGTTTACATATACTATATTATTTACTTAATATTTTCTTCTAACATAAGTCTTATAATTATTCCTTGTGTTGCTTCCCCGCTCAAGGTCCGTCTCTCCGTTATCACACACACACACAGTGTAAGAACACTAAACGTTATCTACTTCATTATTAAATATTTCTAATCATAGTAACGTTCAGGCTGCTTCATCTCATTATATAATTATCTCATTACATACTTGTACATGTATCTACATCAAATTAAAATATTTTCAACTACGAGAACTAGCTTAGTGACAGTTTTGAATCCCCAAATTACAGGAATGAAAACTGGCAATATTAAAAAATTATGGAGATCATATTCAATACTAACGGACAAAAAACATTGACACAAAGAAAAACTATAAATAAATGGATTATAAAGAAAAACGTAGATAATGTAGATTATATTAAAATCACAATCATAGATTTATATCACGATAAACAAGGATAGGATGACTCATACTTCAATTAATCCTATTAATAAATAATTAGATGATTAATTACAGTTCTGTCATTAATCATTACAAGGAGGGTAGCCATGTTGTCCGATAATTAAGAAACTTGTGAGGATAAGGTCATTGTAGGGATACGTTATTTAATGTGAGTGCTCAATGTCAGGAGCTTGTCCCGCGGCCGCGAGGAGCGCTTTGTCTTTGAGTCTCCAGTAGTGGTTTCCTTGTGTGCTCGTGAGGTTGACGGCTCCGAAGCGTTCATAGAACGACCTGGCTCGGTTCCACTCAGCCACGTGGAAGTCGAGGACGCTGCAGCCGCTCGACCAGCAGTCCTGGAACAATTATGATATAACTTGTAATAAACGCTTCACATAACTGTGTTGAGATGATATATGTCAATCCATACTTTCGCAACGGCCTCAAATAATAATTTGCCAACTCCTCGATGACGGACGTGTTCCTTGACATACAGGTCCTGTAACAGCATGCCCCGACCTCTACGAAACGAGTACGTCGGGAAGTACAGAGCAAACCCCACCGTCGAGACGACACCGTCTGTCTCCACCTCCGCCACTATACACCGAAAGGCCGGCGCCTCTCTTTCAAATCCATCACTCTGCAATGCTAAGGGAATACATATTTGTTGTTACATTTTTCGAGTAGTTTCGATGTTATAATTTATATCAATAATAAAACTCACTTTGTGCCACATTCACTGTTGTTATAGTGATGTTGTGGTAGGCGGTCAGTTCCTGTGAACATTACAAACACTATTAAACTACTTCGTTACACATCCACCAGTACTCAGTAGTTTTCTTCAATAAACTCATGAGTCTCACTCTGGACAGTTGCTCCACGGCCTGCATGTCTTGTTTGTTAGCTCGTCTTATTATAATATCCTTTTCTTTAACAAACATTTCTCTATTCTTGTTTTATTCTCGTGTATCGTCAGGGACGTGTGTTGTCTGCACTCGGGTCACACTATACTGTCTCATTATCTCAGACGACTTTTCGTCCACACTCTAGACGCCCGTCTTTATCACTCGCTTTATCTGCATTTGTAGACACACTCACTGTACTTCTTTCAATTAAATCGTATCAAATGTTCGTCTATCTAATATGATTCAAGGCCCATATGTCTGCATAGTCATGTAGTCGTTTAAATTATTACAATATATGTAACGAGCACTGTAACTGTTAACACGGCAGCCTTTTGTAATTCATGTCAATACATTACATCGCCACCTGTACACACGTATGACGTTCTGTCTCTGAACACATCTACCCACGTATTCACTCTGTACCGAACTATCGTTATACTACAATCTGTTAATTTATCTTCCTCTCAGTTTGTTTATCAGTCTCCAAGATAAATATGTTTCTTAAAACTTTAATACGTCTTACATAATATAACCGTTCCTACTTCTTGTATTCTGTGTCTATTTTCTGATCCTTGACTGAACTCAATTAAAACCATATTTGTAGGTACAAATACAGGTGTCAAGGGGAATACCTCTCTTAGTTAAAATTATAATGTTTATAAACACTACTCTTATATCAAAAATTCTTTCAAAATACTCAATGAGAAACCAGCGTCTTTACCTGATATCATTTTTGTTGTCTGCATATGAAATGAATATCATTTGATTTGGAAATATATGAGATATATAAGTTTATGACAATTAGATATCTATCACGTAGGGTACATCGGATTTGAAATTCATGTGCTTTTTCAAGAAATTCTTATTCAATTCATTCAATTAAAACCAAAAAAAAAAATTAACAATAAATCAAATTATAATTTTACTTTAGCTGTTATGTTATATATTTTTCATATCTTTCATTATTATTTCCTATCTCAATCAGATTACATATAGGTATATAAGAGTGTATGTCTTTTATTCTGTTTCGTCGTCATCAACTCATTTCCTGACAGTTGATGATAAGTCAGTAAAGCTGTTCAGCGATCGTTCAGAGGCTCGTAGGGGGAAGTCGTAACTATATGTATTATATATATTGTTGTTTGGAGTCATGTAAACTATAATAAACTATATGGCAGTAGTTGAGGTGGTTTAACTAGCGAGTATATTGTTATGAACATAAAACGGTCCTTATCTTTTTAACATCATCCACACAAACTCGAGATTGTTAAAGTTTCACCTGTTTAAAAAATTCAAGAGGAATGGATATTCATATGTCCGAGGTGACGGAACAAACTGGAATAGGATCCTCTATAAAAAACATTCAATGACGATAGATTACCTACTTATAATTCCTAATATTTTTCTTAACAATGTTGTTTCGTATGTCCATAGAATTTCGTTATTTGCTAAGTAATATTTAATTTCCTTACACTCGCAAAAAAGTTGTACACAAAGAAGGACAAAATTTGGGTGGATGTTGAAACTTAAGAAATACATGATGAAATCAACAATAACAATACTACAGTAAGTTACATGTCTCTTTAAGAGAAGTTAATTTGAAGACATGTGTTGACGGAGCCTCGCCTCTAGCTGATAAAACAAACGACTCAAGGAGAGTTCTAAACAATGAATTTACAAGTTGCTGTCCTAGTTGAGTGTCCTGACAAACGACAAACAAAAAAATATCAATGACATTTTACAAGGATTGAATGGAGTATGTTATAGAAAGGTAAATATTCACGCAGGTCACGCATTGGCAGCGAAATAAAGTTCTGAAGATGCTACAAATGGTACTATGGCGTGACAAATTTTTCTTAAACACCTTTATTCATTCTAACTAGACACTCCAGTTGAAAGGAGTGTAATGTAATGAATATATTTGAATCTTTTTCTATCAACGTTGTATGTCAATTTGTATAATATTGATATATTTCAACATATTATTCAAAACTTACTACTTTTACAAAACTAATTCTCTGTGGATAGAAATTCTATTTAACTTTATCATCTTTAATTCACGTCTGATGAAATAATGATTCAGTATATTTTAATAATGTTATTTATTTACTTTTATTTTTTACAAAAAATATCTTATTGTTTCTTTGGTATAATCTTGTAAGGATTTTTAATGACGGACACAAAAGGGAGGTGATGATGGATGATACGAATCCATCATCCTTTGCTAATGTGATGACCCCACCCGGGAACCCTAACTAGTCCCTAGTGTTCCGTACACTCATAGTATAACATGTTCTTGTTCAGCCGCGGCGGCCGCAGCAGTCAGCGGCGCCCCAGTCAGTCTGTAGTAACACACGCCCATACTCTGCGTCAAGTTCTCAGCTCCTTTTCTTTCGTAAAATGTCCTCGCACTGTTCCACCCTGCCACGTGAAAGTCTACTCTACTGTACCCTGCAAGATGCGCCTCCTGGGGAAATATTAGTGGTGTAAAATGAGTTGTTCATAACCATAAATAGTTCTCAGAATCAAAAAATATACAAAGTTTTTTAAGAAATGGGATTAATCCCATGTTAGACATTTTATTGTTTGCGATATGTATATCGAAACTAAGATCGTGAGGAATAGCACAATGAATTGAATGGTAAAGGAATACTTATATATTACAATAATAAATAATGTTCTACTGTCTACTGTTTCATTAAGAACATATAAAACTGTTGCGAAATTTCTGTAAAACAATTCAATTGTATATATTGAGTTGAACCCTACAGTTCTCACTGGTAATATAAACTTTACATTATTTATTCTACAAAGAACTTTGTTTTCCTCAAAGTGTACACTAAGGCCAGTGCAGATGCTTCTAAAAGTAATGAAAAGTGAAAATAAATTATAGTAGAATGAAACTCATTAGAAAAGGAGGGGAATATTATAAAAATTAAGGGAAAAATAATTTACGGGCGATCTGAGGTCGAGAAGGGTACGGGCGTGTATATTTAAGGGTAAAAAATGGGTTTTAAATGGAGGACTTCCAGAGTAAACAACTATAAAAAATAAATTAGAAAGAGCATTTTCAAAACGATGTCGAGTGTCATTTCATTAAAAGGGACATGATTATTTTATCCAAAAATGGTACTGTAAGTAAGAAACTTTTATTTTTTTCTTCAACGTCGGAAAATAAAGATTTCAACAAATTAAAAACATGCCAAATTTTTGAAAATAGCTGATATTTTGACGGGTGATTTTACGATTGAAAATGAGGCTGATTTTTCGGTATTAATTCAAAATAAGCTGAAAAAATAAATATTTCTAATCAAATAAATTACAGTGCATTTGTAACATAAAAAGGAAAGTTTTCGCGAAATTTCGTGACAAAAAATTGTTTTTTGGAAGAGATAAAAATAAAAAACCAAAAACTTGTTTTTTTGAGTTTTTCACATCATTTTTGAGGTTATGTGAAAAAAGTATAAATACAGAAGTTTTAGATCTTTTTATTACCTACAACTTTGCCATATAACATTTTTCATTAGGACTCTTAGTTTTTCCGGAAATCGAGAAAATCCCTTTTTTACCCTTAAATATCCACGCCCGTACCCTTCCCGACCTCAGATTATTTTTCCCTAATTTTTTATAACATTCCCCTACTTTTCTAATGGGTTTCATTCTACTATAATTTAATTATGTTTTAAAAGCTATCGGCACTGGTCTAACTATGTACATCGCTTCTCCGTGGTACCGTAGACTTCAGCTCAGACTAAACAAATCAACTATCAATCTGACCAACCTTCACTACAGCTTCGAATAAATAGCTACCAATTTCACGTTTTCTCTCACGAGGCTTCACGAACAGGTCTTCTAGTATCAGAGCCTTCCCTCGCCAGGGTGAGTACACGGGGTAGTACACGGCGTACCCTACTAACGACAGCTCGTTCTGTCTCTGAACTTCAGCGACGATACAATGAAAAGCCGGCGGCTCTCTTTGGAAGCCGTCACGCTGTAAATCTATATTTATAAAAAATAATCAAACGACATTACTAACAGTATTCCAGATTCATTAATAATTATAGTAAAACACTAAAAGTCAAACCTTTTTCAAGTTTTAAAGGAAATCTCACTGAATTATGGTAGACTGCGAGCTCCTGGAAAATTAAAAGTTATATTAATATAAAATATGAAAAAAGTAAGATAAAACAGTGTTAATAGTTTGATGATAAAATTATCAAAAATTACATAATTTATGTTAATTTACCTACTTCAAAAGTATTGAAAATACATATAAAGTTATACAATAGTTAGTGTTTTATATAAAGATATAAAAACTTTGTGCAATATTTAATATTACATATAATTTACTTCCCTTTTTATACAGTGGATTCTTTTTGAGTTAAAATTATTTATAAAGTTAAGTTTTCCCTTATCTATAGCTCATCTGCAAATATTTAATGTAAAAGGTTAACTGTATAAAACAGCAACATCATTTGTTTCTAAATGACACGAGCTCTTCGTATATTATGTCTTTTTATATTCTTTTTTTATTAACTACATCATCATGACGTTTCGGTTTCTTTACTGTGTACAGCAACCGTGACTCGGACAGACCAGTATAATTTAAATAAGTACTTAGTAAGTAGTAGTAAAATTCTTAAATATCATTTGTTTTTGTTTATAATGTTTAGTATTAGAATATTCAGTTTTGAGTCGGCACCACTTTCATTTTTAATGTAGTTAAGAATTATACCTAATGACATAAAAGTAGGCATCCTTAACGTAGCGTAAGTATTTCTCACCGAAAAAAAAAGGTATCCTTTACATGGATAAAGTTTTATTCTTCCAGCTTTGTAGCTATGGCGTGCACTCTTATCCATAGATATAAGTAAGTAATGCGGTATGTATTACTACACATAAATCAGGTAAACGTACTAACCTATCACGCAGTATTTAATATAACTCACATATTTCGCAATACGAGTATTCATAAATCATAGAAAATTGTAATACTTGTTTTATGATTTTATAGAAGCGCCGGTTGCTGCTAGCGCCGCAATGCACACATAGTGGCCGTAAGAAAAACTACTCGCTGATTATTCTGGCAGCCCGACACATTTAAGTGGTCTAAATTAGTTGATTGTAAACGAAGTAAATGTATTTTGGTCGGTTTGGCGTTTAAATATTTTGAAATGATTACTTTACAGAGAACCACTAAAATTTTATTATCTTATTAGTGATCTCATTAACTAATTACGGAAAATTATAATTTTGAATGCTGAGCTCTTTGGGGACATTTCTTTAGATAAATTAAATATAATCTTACCTTTCCACCCCTCATTTGTAACACAGTGTAACTTTTTTTAGTCCAGTCAAAATAGACATTTGACTTAGCCAAAATTCGCATAGAGCTGAAAATTGCCAGAGACGTTAAATACATCATTATAAATGAAATATCAAAAATCCCCTTCGATCCTACTTCTGCAAAAAAAATTATTCAAGGTCAAAAGTATAAAATTAAGATTTTTTCCATTTTTCTCCAAAACAGTGAATATTATCGTGAAAACAGGTCAGACAAAAGTTGTAGATCATACAATTCTCTACAAAAATGGTCGTGTCATTTTTTCTCTTACGACTCACCATTCATGAGATATCGCGGTTTTAATCATTAGAAAATTCATATTTTACACAATAACACATTTCCGCACCACCTATGAGGTAATGTACTTGGCGCATTTTTTTTAACGTGGTTTCCCCAGTAGGTATACACCACGATCGTATCCTCTTAATTGAAAGAATAGTAATATTGCTAATGATTAAAGTGGAATAGGTTGTTTTTTTCTACATGTCATCATTATAGAAGATAATTGTCTATTTCTACTTCAACAATTATTTCTTCGTCTTCATTCTCTTCTTCTTGCAGAGTTTCTGTCCGCTGTTCGAAGAAAAGGGATGCATCAATTGTCTCTTCATTAATATCATAAATATCTTCATCTGTTGTATTTGTTTCAATATATGAGCAAGTTGACCCTGACAATTGATGCATACTGGCGAACAAAATAATCCTACTTTTTGACAGCCACAATTCTTACTACAATCCGTCTTTTATTTATAAAAAAATGTATTAAATAGTTTTTCTGCAGCAGGCGGGAGTAAAGTTTGAATTGGCTCCAAATAATTGTCTGTTAATTTCCAACCCCATTCTTCTGGGTCCAGCTTATTGCCTAGCCACACTTGAAGTTAATAATACACACGATACAAGTGTTGAAAGGCAGAAGCAGATGTTGGAGGGGGACAAGACAACTGTACTCTTTTATTGTTCCATGCAGATTTTAAAAACTTCAAATATCTATATTTGTCTATGGAATAATTTTTTTTTGGAGCACCATACAAGGCAAGAAGAAAACAAATTCCATTTGTAACGATGTCGTGTGGAGAAGAGTCAATCTTTGTGAATACTTCTGCGCAATGAATTAAATCATTACGTTTTTCAAACAATTTATATATTGATGTTTTACCTCTTTTAAAAATGGCTGATGTAGTATCGCAACCAGTTATTGCATGTAAAAATAAAATATGAGCTTGAAATTTTGGATATGCAGTCAGACTTTGTGATGAATATATTGTTGATTGTACTTGAGCTTTCCCAGGTTTTAAAAAGTAAATAATTTTAACATTTGGAGTCCGTGCAGTCAGTAATATCAACGAATCAACATCTTCCCCAACAACGACAGTTGTATTTGAACTTTTCCATTGTTCTATTGCTGTTTCAATTATAAAGACATCAGCATCATTATCAGCTTGTTTTATTGAAATACCAGCAGCTGTAAATTCTTCACATAGCATTAAAATGAAGCGAAACTTATTGTATTTACAAGAAATTGTTATTGGTTTGTTGGAACTTTCATATATCGATCAAAAATTAGGGACTGACTATACTGTCTTATATTTTAAAATCCTCATTTAATTTATACAAGTTTTATTGTGTAAGTGACACAAACGAATGGTTTCTTATTTTCATTTATATTGAACGTCCGGTGACGTATACAAGCTGCATTTTAGTGCATATTATATAAAATATGAATTTTCTAATGATTAAAACCGCGATATCTCACGAATGGTGAGTCGTAAAAGAAAAAGTGACTGGACCATTTTTGTAGAGAATTGTATGATCTACAACTTTTGTCCGACCTATTTTTACGCTATTACTTACTGTTTTCGAGAAAAATGGAAAATATCTTAATTTTATACTTTTGACCTTGAATAAATTTTTTTGCAGAAGTAGGATCGAAGGGGATTTTTGATATTTCATTTATAATGATGTATTTAACGTCTCTGGCAATTTTCAGCTCTATGCGAATTTTGGCTATGTTATGACTTATTTTTGTCTATTTTGACTGGACTATTTACTATTAAAAACTATTTGAACTCACATTGATCATTTCCGCGACAGCACTCATGTCGTCTATTGTGGCGCGACGAATAAAAAAATCTTTGTGTTTAAAAGACATTTGATACGTTTAACTCTTCTGAAGGCCTATCAGTCTAATACAATCAGACCTCGTATTAAAAAAATAGTTTTAAATTATTCGATAGAGCTCGTACAATAAATATCACTTTATACTTATCGTTTAGCCCAAAAAATTATCTTGACTAATTAACTATTCTCTTAATAATTTATGTAATGTGATATACATTATAGAAAACTAATTGTAATAGAAAATATGTTAAACTAATGTGATCATTAGACTCGCAAACTGTTATCACCTCATTTAATTCTTACTACACATGTAATAATAATTGGAATTTAACCTCGTTTTCCATCCAAACTTATTAAACGGTAATGAGATCTAAGATTTTCGAGAGTACTCATTTAAATGAAACTAATATTTTTCGGATTTTACTTCGCGTTTTATTTTTGATTAGAAAACTACATACTCCCGACGTTTCGGCTACTTTTCAGTAACCGTGATCACGGGCAGATGCCTTTTTCTAATCAAAAATAAAACGCGAAGTAACATCCGAAAAATATTAGTTTCAATTATTAAAGGGTGTTTATGCTACGGCCCGTCCAACTCATCTCATACATCTTCTTCACAGCATTTGATCTTTGTAACCTGCATCATGGTCACCATAAGAAAGAGAGTTTCTGCATCTTGTAGGTCTACACTGATGTAGGGGTCTCACAAACACAAGTTTCCCATACCTTTTTGACTCTGCAAATAAAAAAAAAGAAAGCAAACAATGATCCGTCATACAATTTATTTTTTATAGAACCTCCAGGGCGCCTCATATTACAGACACATTCAGTTTGTTAACAGCTAATTAGAGTACCTTCTGTTCTTCTATGTTTTTAGACTATAAAAGTATGAAACCATTGCTACACGTCTAGTCTCTTTATGTAAATGGTGTCTTTTTTTATCTTAACTTTCTGCAAAAGTAGGTACTTAAATGTAAATTTTTATTTAAAAAAAATTTCAATTTGACATGTGTCCTTACATACTATTATTATTATTTTCCGACCAAACAAAAACGATTTTATCTAAAAGTTGTACGTGTATCTGTTATTTCATGATGAATCTTGAACTTTTCCAGTTCTGGACCTTATCAGTTTCTGTACAAGTTCCTTGTTACTACTATCAGTCGTAATCTACTTACTGACAACTATTTTTAATTCTTTTATCTTTTAATACAAACGTGACACATGAATCATCATTTTTAGTAATGTGATTGAGCTTAATTTAAGTAATGTAAATAATATAATTAAAAGTGGTACTATTAATATCATGTTACAGTTAAATATAGGTAATACTTCTATCAAATCCACTGTAGACCCTAAGGTCTCTAACTAAGAGCTACTCTCACATGTAATATATAGATATATAGATTTTGGTGTACTGACGAAGTTGCTTTGTATTCAAATGTCTTAGTAGAGATAATTATTTAATGTAGTTTCAAGATACAGTTCTGTTTGTTAACAACAGTAATCAGTGTGTTAACAACAAGTCATATAAACATTGTTATATTTGCTTTTTAATTGTATCAAAGGTCTTACCACATAGTTAACAAACATCCTTTACATTAAGAACACAACTAACATCTTTTAAATGATATCAATTAAATGGTTTTATTAAAGTTATCAATCAAGTTTTCTTCATTTGCTAAAATTTAAATCAATATGAAATAAAATGCCACATTTTAATGAACAACAGTGTTTTAATGAGAATAAACAAAATAATCTAATAAATATCTATCATGATTTAGCAGTGAGAGCGACCTTCTCCAAAGCGTCACCGCTGAGTCGGTAGTAACACCACTTCTCAGTTTGTGTTATGTTGATGGCTCCTTTCAAGTCATAGAAATCTCTAGCATTTTTATTCCACTCCAGAACATGAAAGTCGAGTCTCGGTGAACCCATCAGGTGGGCTTCCTGGAACAGAACATGAGAATCACTCACACATATAATATGTGCTCATCTTTATGATAATAAACATATGTATCTAGTAATTACTCTAGCAACTGCATTAAACAGTCTATGTCCGAGCCCCCGTCGCCGCTCGCTGGCCCGCACATACAGGTCCTCTAACATCATGGTCCGACCCATCCAGGTTGAATAAACAGGGAAATATAAAGCATAGCCGGCGACCAGAGGAGCTCCGTCCTTGTTAACTTCCGCCACCAGACACAAGAACGCTGGCGGCTGTAGATCGAACCCATCTCTCTGTAAGTCTATTGATTACATCAAATTAGTACATAATTACAAAATATAACTATCTACAGATGTCGTCCACTCACCCTGTACACTCAGTTTCGGTCCGTCTGACATTTCCTCCAGGTCCGCGAGTTCCTGTGAATGTTGATCGTTATATTTCACTCACAATTGTATCACTAACACCGTCGCTCACCTCACCTGTATCATTTCAGCGACAGCCTTCATATCGTCTCTTGTGGCGCGCCGCACCATCACTTCTCCGTCCTCGTATTTGTCGGCCATATTAATATAATGTTTTTAATGTCCTAGCTAGCTTCACTCACTCCCTATACTCCATCACCTCCAGACTCCAGTTGGCTTGTGACTTATAATTTATCACACACCTAGTTATCATGTGTAATTGTTTATCTTTTCAAACGTCACTGTCAACTTAGCTGTCAACGTCAACAAGTCTTGTAAAAAAGTTCGGATTAAATGTACACAAAATAAAACTTGAAATAAATAGTACACATTTAATTTGGTCCAATTAATATTAAAAATAAAAACTCTTATTTATTAATTTCTTTAATGTTAAATCATCAGTTACATATTACATATCGTTACAAAATATTGTCATTTAGAACGTACGGTTTAAATTAATCGGGGACTATCGATAACACAGTCGCGACCTCTAAAGAGTGAAGACAGAACGAAGTGCCTTCATTAACAATAACTATACTCAACTCATGTCCTCTATATAATACTCTGTACACTATAGCATACAAGTGTGACGATAGAAAAATATATTAATAACAGTCGCCGGCACTACACTGACGTGTGATGACGACCACGAAATTATAAAGAATTAGGGGACGTTAAAATAAAATATAAAGAAAAAAACAAAACATTAAATATTTCGCTCAATACAACTAAACCTTATACAGTAACAACCTTAATAATGTTATGAGCCTCAAAGGACAGCTCGAATGTACGGAGAAGCTTTAGAATCGTTTTGGTGACGGCAGGGCGGGTGGAGGAGTGCGGTGTGGTGCGGCGTGGTATGGTCAGTGAGTGTAGTCCGTCCGCAGACCGAACTCCGCCACGTAGGCCCCCGTCCAGGAACTACCGACCTCGGCCGGGCTGGCTGTGGACACGAGGACGTTACTACCAACACATGGAGGAACTTACTAGCACAGCCGTTCAAGTATTATACTCACAGATCTGAGACAGTTGCTTGACGGAGGGTCTGGACTCGTTACCGCGGGGCGTCTTCCCGTGCTCGTCCGTGGTGGTGGGCGCGTGTTCCCGCCTCTGCGCTTGGGCCTTGAGCAGCTTACTCATGGTGTTCCGCGGCGTGGGCGGGGGTCGCTCGAGCGCGCGGCCGTGGGCGGCACCCGCATGCCTCTCCAGCATGTAGCGCCGCTCGAACCTCTCCGGGCAGAAGGAGCAGCGGAACAGCCTCCGCCGGGCGCCGGCCACCGCGGCCGCCCCCGCGCCCCCCCGCCCCCGCGCCGCCCTCCGCGTGTGATCGAGCGTGCGCCACCAGGTTGTAGCGCTCGGAGAAGCGCTTCCCGCATACCGGACACTCGTGACGCTTCTCCCCGGAGTGGACGCGCGCGTGACGCTTGAGGTGGGAGCGGGTCATGAGCGCCAGGCCGCACACCTCGCACGAGTGGGGCTTCACGCCCGAGTGGGACAGCTTGTGCATCTTGAAGGACGACGTGTGGATGAAGGACTTGCCGCACAGGTCGCACTGCAAGGACGACGGACGGTCAGTGGGGAGACGAGGACGAGCGGACCAACCTGAGCGGCGCGGGACGGACCTGGTAGTTGAGCTTGCCGGTGTGGATATTGTTGTGTCTCTGCAGGGCGCCCTTGGACGGGAACAGTTTGTTACACTCCTCACACTTCCAGTCGCTGATCCCTGCAACACAATCAACACCATTCACTGTCTGCCTCGTACCCGGGGTCGGTGTTATTCCTCAGTTCGTCCTACCCTTGTGCATGGCCACGTGTATGTCGCAGGCTCGCTTGTGTTTGTAGTGGGCGCCGCACACCTCGCAGATGTAGGGCGGCTTGGAGTCGTCGTGCTTCCGCTTATGATGTTCCAGTCGCACTGCACACACACACACACACACGCCATGTATCTATTAAGCTGCCAACAGATCGTTCAACATCATTAACTACAAGTAACATGTTCCTCACCGAGCGAGGTGTACTTTGCGTCACACTGGTCACAGTGGTGCACCACCTTAGGATCCTTCTCCTTGTGTTTTCTCTTCCCTCTGGTCCTCAGTCTGTTCCTCGCGTGTCGGTCGTCGGGAGCGTAGTTGGAGCTGTTGTCATCGTCCTCGAACCCCTCCACCTTGATGTTGAACTTGGTGTCCAGCTCTGTGAAGCTTGGACTCTGTGATCTGAAGGGTGAGAGTCATCATCTGTGTCACCGTTTAATAACATTTGGCAACAAACAAAAATAAATAAATATGAAAAACATAACTTAGGATTTTATTTAGAGAGTAATACTCCAACAATAACTTATTAGCCAAATAATTATTAAATAGATAAGGAGATATATAGATCATGACTATACAAGTATATGGTTCCCAAAAATCAGACTAGCATGTCTATAGTAAATCATGTGTTGATTTAAAATTCTAAAGAAATAATATAAAAAGATTTTCAAACACACAAGCAGAGTTTAAACCGGCAAGCTTCAGAATAAAAAAAGTTAGTATGTTACAAGGCAAATCTTCCATGATATATTGTCTCATAGAAAAGAAATCATATTGTATAAAAATTCAGTAAAACAGTAGAAACTCGATTATCCGGCCCTCAGTAATACGGATTCGCAATTATCTGGACTACGGACAAGTCCGGACAAGAAATAATGTCAAAGCGAGACTGGTGTTGTTGAGAGTGGTGTATGTCAAATGACAATTACACTAATATTCTAAACCGAATTAAACTTATCATTTTAATTCATGATTAATTCTATAGTTTTTAGTACATACACTTATATGTATATGTAATCTAAGAAAATGTATCCTTTAATTACTTATTAACAAACATTGTTTTTCGTTGATATCTATGTATTTGTTTCTTTTTTTAAATAAACATACCTATAATATTATGTACCACATATAATATTATAATATTATGTACCACATATGCACAAAACCGGCTTTTCTTCATACATTCGCTTATCCGGATTTTCGATTATCCGAATGCCTATTGACAACAATTAGTCCGGTTAATCGAGTTTCTACTGTATTATAAAGCACAGTAACTGTCTATCCAACAGCTAATGAACATTCAAAAGCTAATTTTAAATCAGTAACTGTTAATATCTATGTATCATATATCAGACATCTCTTCACCTGTCCGACTCCTCCTTCTTGAGTTGATCAACAGAGGTGAGTGTGTGTGCGAGCAGCACATGTGTGGCGCCCGCCAGGGGACCTCCCGATGACCCCTGGGCAGAACACTCACCACACTCCCATCTGGATATTCACACACATTTACATGTAAAATATTCTACATTTATATTACAACTTAAAATAAAAATACTGTAAATAAATAGTACAATTATAACAGAAAATCTAAAGAAAAATCTCTATTAAAATAGCAAACAGTAAACATACAACTCCTGTTCAAATTAATCTGTGTTTTCTTTATTGAATGCCTCCTAATTCAGTATAATATTCGGTACAATTTCAATTCAGTTGATAGTAATACATATATAAGTGAAATTATTTTGTAACATATCCAATACATATATTTGTAAACATTACCCTTCATTTTCCTTGGAGACAACTTTATGTTTAACATCGCTCATTGATTTCTTTTTCCTCTTGTCAACCTTCCGATGCCTCTTCTTCTTGGTGAGAGCCAGAGGTTCGTCTTCAGAATCATTATCGTTTTCGGCGACTGACTCCAGACACTCGTTTTTAATAGATTCGAGACTAACATCATCTTGTAAAGAACTTTCAAACAGTGGGTTCTTATTAATGATAGATTTGAATTCCTCTTTTAGCTTAATATACTCTATTTCTGCTTGTTCTAGGACATTAACTAGATTGAGGCACGTTTTGCACACAAATTTGGAACTAACCGTCGACTTGGACAAATCAGAGTTCGTGAATTTACACAGGAAGTCCTGTAATGACGTCCCGGAACTGGTGTTAGCGGTGCTCAGGTCGCAGTGTTCACGGCTCCGACCCAGACATACGAAGCATTCCACTACTTCTTGTTTTACGATCACCTCAGTCTCCAACTTAACACCCAGTTGTACATGTTCTTGTACCAGAATTTCTTTCTCATCCGTTTTGCAAGTTACAACACTGACTTCGGTCATCTTGTATTTCACAATTGGAGAGGCACGAAAGATTCATTACATTTAATGACTTATATTAAATGCTTTCATTACAAATAATTCATCAGTTTTCATACAAAAAGAACAAAAACAAAAAATAGCGACTACAAATCTTTGACAATCCGATGACAGTTAATTTCTTTTAGTTCTTAATGTTCAGTTCTAAAAAATCGAAGGTTTTCTTCAAACAGCCCAACGGTGATATTTTATCTTTATTTTAATCATATTTATATTACAAATTGTGTTAGTGATAATCATGTATTTTTTCATAATTTATAAACATTTTATATGCTGAAACACTAAATTAACGGAAATTACTAATATGATATGAACGGCTCTTGAAGGCTAGTTGGTAGTTGGATGTCAGACAGGCAGTTAGTGACGGACCTTTGTTTGTGCTGTTCGAGTAGATTCCGCGGCATTATAAATATTCACGACAAAATACGATAAATTAAAAAAAGTTTTACAATAATTTTATTCTTTTTGTGTGTGCAAATTTAATTTTATAGTTTAAATATATATATTTTTTTTGTTATAAATAGTGATTTCGTTTTAATATTATTAAGAGGTGAGTCTAATGTAAAATAAGTAGCTATAGTTTATATAAATTAAAGTGAATATTACTCATGACATAAATAAAACGCTCCAGTGATTTCTGTATTTATCGTAGTTAAATATTATTTATTATGAATCCTAGTTCTTGTCATTGTTAGTGTTGACCAGCCCACTGTTCAGCTTAACCCTTTTTTTTGTTTCTGGAGTGTTTCTCTTTTAATGTGAGTCAGTAACCACAGTAGTTCACCTGCCAGTAAGTATCGTACGTAAGAGATGGTGTGTTCACGGTCGGCTGCAGACCGCAGAGCGTCATTCTTCAACATATTGCAAAAGCTTACTTCACTACCTGACTTACTTCAAACAATTCGCTTATTTTCTTTTACGGTACAACTCTATTGGGAACAATATCTTGACGAAAAAGTTACAAGTATTATATCAAAATATGTATAACTTTTATAAATATTTATTCATAGTTCCGTTACTTTGACAAAAAATACCAAGTATGTAATATATATGTACAAGTGTCGAAGTCTCTGTAATAATACAAGTGGCCTGGTGTAGTGGAGACCGAGTCTTAGAGTCGAACACCGTGACGACACAACGGTCAGACACACATGTTATAGGGCAGTGGAATAAATATGGATATAATATGAGCTTTACATTATTATAACTTATATACCTACTTAATAAAATGAAAGGGGTCTGTAGGTTTGTTAACATCGAGGTAAAACTTCCGAATGCACATAGACCTTATTTCAAAAAATATTGTCATTTGACATACAATTCTAAATGTTTTGATAAACACACATTTGTATAAAGTGCAGTTTGATGTTTGACATAGGAAAACTTTGTAAATATATATGTACAGATATATAACGAAGTAGCGGGTATTTACTTGTGTTAAAAATATATATGAGAAATGTTCATAAAAATAAATAAATATCTTTATCCTCCTTGTATCGTGATATATGTTTCAACAAGTATTATTCTGTTCGTTAATACTAGCGGTCGTCACGGTGTGCAACGCGTTCCTTCGTAAGAGGAAGTCCCACCTGTCCCGGGCTCGCTTCACTGACCCAGGGTAGGGACGAGGGGTCAGCTTACACCGGACACACACACATCACCTCACTCATATAACGAGTACGTTATAATGAAGGAAACACGAGCTATAAAATATTGTTTTAAATTAAATTAAACTAATATATTTTTCGGATATACTACGAGGTTCACATCTCGTCTGCCCGTGATTACGATTGTTGAAAAGTAACCAAAACGTCAGGAGTATGCAGTTTTTTACAAAAATAAATCGAGTAGTATTTTCAAAAGATTTGTATATTAGTTTTCTTTCAATGAATAAAATTAACGAAAGTCTTAGATCTCATTACGTAGTTTTATGTTCATTCTTCCCAAAACGATGTGTAAAAAGTTATTGCAACACAAAGAAAATCGATCACCGGGTCACTTCTTTTCTTTTCTCTATATTCCGACATCACGTCAGTTTTGTTTTTTCGAAGAAAATATTTTTCTCGTAAACGAAACATTTTATTTAAAGTTTGAAAGTTTTATATAATTATCATTATTAATATACATACTTTCGACCATAATGAATTGACAAAATAAATTATTAAATACAAACAAACACAACACATTAAACATAACACAGTTTATAAGACTTAGTTGAATACCAATTACTTATATATAACAGATACGTTACAGTTCTACCTGGCAATTTTATCCAGCTTTAGCCAGGGTCTGCCTTACATGTTTGTTAATAGTTTCTGCTTATTGTTTTTACGACCGGCCGCCTGCCTGACATCAACCCTCTTTGGAAATGCATTAATCAGTGATGCTTAAACATTACATTAAAATGTACTGATTCTAATAGATTTGTTAATTTAAACTTTATGGTTTCAAAGATACTTGTGATGTTATACTTACATCGTATATTTAAAAATCAAACATCTCTCTAATGTGATTCAAGACTTTCACGAGTGTTAATTTAAACGAAACTAATATTTTACGAATTATACTACATACTCAAAACTTTCGGTTACTTATCAGCAACCAAAACTTCGGGAGTAGGATGTACTTTTTACAATAATGAAATACGCGTAGTACCTATATGTAATCCGAACAATATTAGTTTCATTATAACAACTCACTGTTTGATAAACTTATTTAATGCTAATGTACCAACATGAGAAAAATGAACCATGTATGAGCATTTTATATCGTAGGAGAAATGTATATTTTGTACTGTAGTATTTTGTTACTTGAATACTGTCATCTCTCCAGAAGGCGGGTGGCGAGTAGAGCCGGTCTCATCCATTAGATGAAATCTTAGATAGTCGAGGTGTGATGGGCTCTCATCAGTCATCAGGCAGATGTTTACCGTGAATGATACTGTTATGATGATTCAAAAGAAAGCGAACTTAAATCTATCATTGATCTTTTTTCCGCTTTCTAAATGTACCGTCTCTGACTGTGAGGGCGAGCAGAGCCAGTGGTTACTGTGGATAGTGAACGTACTTAGATATTGTAACATTTATAAATATATACAAGATATGAAATACTACACTTACATGGAAAGTGTTTTTATTTTCATCGGGATACAACTCACTTTTATCATTCAAAATTCTTTTGATTAAAGTAATACCAAGTCATAATGCTTATTCATAGTTTGTCGTACTACAACATGAAGTGTTTCCCGTATCTCATTCAACAACTTACGTCAATACTGTAGTGTGTGGAGATTCATGAATGAAAGACTGTTTACTCTACGTACAGATATACTGTGATGAGCCAAACTTAGAGTAAGCGTAAGATTCTACAAGTTGTAAACGTTTACACCCACACAGCCGTATAGTTCAGTTACCTTGCGTCTGCTCATCTCATTTCTCGCCAGCAGTCATCATCACACATGACAGATCTTTTAAAACCCCAAGCCGCTAAGTTACATAACATTAAAGACGGTTTGTTTATAGGTTCTTATAATTAATTGTTATAGTATTGAATTGTGAAATTCTACGGAACACAAAAAGCGTCAAGTGTGCCGTGAGAAATAGATTGAACTATTAGAACAGCTCTGATTGTTTTAACGACTATCAAGTGGTGTCTGACGGCAGGGAATACATGCTTATATATTTATTATTTTACCGAAAGACAGTGTTAATTGAAGAATGACGTGTATTTCATGTAAGATACCGCTTCATCTATCTTAGTATTATTCTAATGAGTTATTTGTGTCGTGTGTGTAGTTGTCGGGTGGCTGTATCGTCGTCGGGCTGGTGGTGAGAGGTATGAGGAGCCGGTAGCAGCATGGACACGCTGCTGTGGCTGGCGGTCACTCTGGCCGCCGCGACACCCGCCCACACACAAGGTAACACACACACACACACACACACACACACACACGAACCTTACTTTACGCAACTTTGATATAAGAAAAGAATTATATGGTCAATATCTTAATACTTCTGTATGAACAGGACGGTCACTGTGTGATATTACTCATGTAATCAAAGTTTTCAAGTCGAAATCCAAACTAATAATATTTGTATTTACAAGTATTGAAGTGAAGTCGTGGATGAGTGTTCATAAAAGTATTAAATTTAATCGAGAAATATTGTAACATGTCTTTCAATAACTCTGAGAATCTCCAATATGTAGATATTGTAAAGAGCACTCCAAATATACGATTTGGAACTTGAAGGGTTCTATTGGCAAATATCTAGCTAGGAAGCTCTGGTAATATATTTGTTTGTAAACAGCTCGTGACAGTCGGCTTTGTCTGTTTAGGAACCTGTTATATTATTGTAGAACAATTCATTGTTTCAACTCGTTAGTACTGATTGTATCTCATTGTAAATGAACCGCCCCACATACAGGTGGACAACGGAAAAAATCAGAGCATTGTAATGAGCGGGAAGTAGCGACTAGCGTGAATCACAGGGGTCGTGACCCTCTGAGGGGGAGGCTTGTGGAGTGGGGGTGGTAGGGGGAGAACGGTCAGCTACCACCACCACGCGAGGTCAGCGTAGAGTGAAGACACATTAGAGTATCGTGATACACGAGACGATCACTTGTCTTGTAACGTGAACACGACCTCTGACACTAAGATCACTGACAACTGAGTTTACTTAAAATGTTATTTTATTATTTGATCGTTACAATCGACTAGACGTTAGGATAGAACATATATACATATATGTATAACATTTTTATAAAATTATATGAAATTTAATGTAATGTCATTGACCCGTCATATTAATAGTATTATAAGTCTCTTTAAGGTTACATTCTGTAGTGTATTATAAATGTATCGCGGCCGTCGCTCCAGTTCGCTCAAGCTCTAGACACGCTCACACGCTGAACACCTTACAACTTAACGTAGAAGTGGTTCCTGAACTGAACGGATAGCATGGGATATAAATTTGCAAAAGAAAACATATTTCGTTTCATTTCTTAAACGTTTCGTTTCTTACTGAAAACGAGATTGAAAAGTAGATTTCAAAATGAATGATATGATTTTTACTTAAATGTGATCTTTTTACTATATTAATTTCTATTTAATTGTTTTACATACATATGGTAAACTCCTTATAATTTTATCGACGGTCTCGTGTGCTGTATCCATCTATTCTTAGTTTGAACTGTGTTCTATGTTTGAGGTCAAGGGTCACGTGGACACTTCCACTACGGTCATTGTTACACGGACGATCGACGGAGTCTCTAACGATATATATCCCATATAATAAATACAATTATAGTATACAAGTCATAGTAATGAGAAATATTAAATATTGTTAGAAGTGATAATATGTTTGTATGTTTTAAGTACGTATTCATTACATAATTACCCAAAGTGAACAGCGACTCGTTAAGACTTGAGATCTGTTATCAGCTCCTTAGTGATCCATTGTTAGGAATGATTAGCACAACTTACAAGTCACACTACCTCCGTACGTTTATAGTTAGATACTCATTCATTAAACTTCGTATATTATAGTATAAACGTAACTTATTGAACGAGAAACGCGGGACGTTATGTATGTAGTGGGAGGATGAAAACTCGTAGGTACTAAGACATAACGTATGAACTAGTAGGAATTCTCTAGAACTAGCCTTATTTCTTTTTCTAACGTAGATACACACATTGCATTGTATTTTACTATGAATATCAAGATTACGGTTATCTCTTCTATCGTTAATATTAATTCTCATTTCTCAGTGTACCGTCATTACATTGAGTAATTTATTTTAATGTTTCGTGAAGTTCGTTAAAGCGTTTCTTCCGCGGCTTCTAGAGCCCGCCTCACTATTATAATGGAACTGTGTCAAACGCCGTTTACATCTCGCAATATTATAAAACGTGTGACTAATTCGTGTTTACAATAGTTATATGGTTACAAACGATTCTATCGACGCCTTGACAGGTCGCTGAGAATGAAGCTCGGCTGAGTTAGACGATGTGAAGTGGGGGGAGAGAACAATGAGAGGGAAGGGGAGGGAGGCAGGAGACACGCTCCGAGGACCAGGGGAGTTACAAAGACAGCCGCGAGACACACGATACTAGGTTAACAGTTGAAGAATACTAAAAGTACGATCGAACAGAACACCTACTACATGTTATAAATAGTGAGATGTGTATCGAGCTTCAGGTCCCGAAGTAAATTACATTAAATTTTCTCTAACAATATCGTTATAACGCTATTTTTAGTTCAAATTAAAAAATATTTCAGAAATTAATCTCAAATTTCTTTTCACGGGAATAATAAAATTTGTTCCATCAGTCCCGTTAATGAATATTTCATCTTCGTAATTCAGACCGCGGATAATAAGATTTGTGAAATTTATTAAATGTAATGAAGGCTTCGATGTTTAACAAACCGTCTTATTAACATACAAACAGCGCGTCGTATGTAATGGTCGGGTCGGGAACAATTAAAACGGTTACACGGTACTAGTGAAACTTAATCAACAGACCATTTACATCAACGATTATTATAATTCATGATACAACTAGCTACCGTCAGCGACCTGCCGACACCTACCACCTACTACCCTCCTCGATGGTAACAATATTATAATTTCGCTAGCAATATTTATATTATATTAGTCTAGTTGAATGTTATCAACTGGCCGTATTGTATGTAGTGCGTATGTGTGAGTGAGGCGGATGTAGTGAAAGTGTTCTGTGTATGTGTGTATGTGTGTCTGTTCATTAGTAATCACTAACTACGAAACATCGCCGGAAAGGTGTAGGGTGTCGCATGTGGGGTCGCTGCCGGCCCACCCTTTGTATCCACCGGATGGGCGTCAAGTCTTCTGATCAATTTTAAAACTCAATTGCTAAATGTCTGTTCCTGTTATCCGCGGCGCGGCGTGTCGAAAGCTAACTACTGTTTACGTTTCAGTAGCATCTTGTTGTGAGTATGTTTTTGCGGCGATTTCTCGTAACCTTCGGGTATATTCCTACGATTACTGCCATTATTTTGTGAAATCCTCTTGGATATCAATTATAATAATATATTTAATAATATGTAGATGTAACTTTTTCCTTATACGGTACATTAATAAGCAGTCGTTCATACTCATGTTTCTAGTGGATGTGAGTTCGTTTTTCTTATGTATTGTTAACGAAAGGATGTACAATTAGATTATTAAAATGTATTCCGTACTAATCTACATGTAGGAACATGTGAAACTCCATAGATATATCTCTAAGTATAGTTCACGTGAGGCGCGGTGTATGTGAGATGTCCTCCTATACATGTGTTATAACCCGTCGCTGCCTGTCCCAGGGTCTGCTCCCCCGTCCCTGGCCGCCCTAGCGCTCTCCATTCGTTCTCGGGGTGAGTATGTCGCGGTGTGTGTGTGTACGGTGCATGATGTAGGTAGTTCACCATCACCTAGTCATGTCATGATCACTACACTCCTTGTTGCAATCAGTATATACATTATTTTCTTTATGTTCGTAATATACATCAGTTAGTCGTTTCTGCGGTGTGATCGTGGGAGTGACCTCCAGGGGTCACACCTAAGGAGATGTCCAAAGGTCAAGTGAAAGTGTCGACCGTAACTGGCTGTCGTTATTTCGGTGGAGTGTGTTCCGCTCTCACGCTGTGATCTCTTCAATGACAGCACAATAACACGCATCGTGTTTTTTGTTTCGGGTTCATATTAAATGTCAGTAAAGTCCGCTCCTCTGATTGACACACGGACCGCCTCGCTAGTCGCCGACTATGATTGCGATAATTTTCCACCATACTAAGTATGGCAGAACGAATTAGATTCTGTTTTCTCTTTCGTGTGCCGAACTTTTTATTTATATTTAATATGTAACTGTATTAAAGTTATTATTTCTTACGATCACGCAGCGGTGAGCGTATGAGATTGGCCCCATTACGATTGGTTATGCTCTGGAAAATGACACACGGACAGATTGTACCGTCGTGAGGTGTTCTGAGGCGGCGGGGTGTTGAAACATATACCAGTTTGTATGTCACTCGCGTTTCAATACTCAATCAATGTAATTGTTTATGTCCATTATATGTAACACGCACTTCCCCCGTGTCTCGACCCCAGCTCGTTACTCGTGTGTTAACAATGCGTCCTTCTCCGCAGCCTCTGTACGTTCCCATCATCATTATATGTGGTGATAACGTCACATATGATTCATGACTTCCTCACACCGACTCCCTCTGTCTCCGGCTAATGAGACAACTAATCCGATGTCATATGTTCGGTAGTTTATTGTTTCACATCATCAATATATTATAATAGTTGTATATTATCTTTGGTCGCCACTCTATGTTCTGTGTTCTCATGTACATATATAGCTGCCGTGTCCACGTCTCATATAACTTTTCGTTTCGCTCCACATTTCCATTCCTCTTTGTCTGTTCACTAATTGACACGGATTTATTGTAGTATCGTGTTGCATTCACTTTTATATTTTGCAAGTAATTAGCCAATCCACCGAGGGCATGTTTGTTATTGTAATGTTAGTATGTAGTATGTATATAATATCATGTTTCAGCTATCCAGGATAGTCGGTGTTATTTGATGAACGGTGGCGCCGTGGAGAGCTTCTTCATCAGCGAGGACACGCCGGTCGGCAGTATTATAGGTGAGTATAGTAGGGATCGCTGGAAGTAGTGTCGATGGACATAAATGATGTAACCTCAACCTCAACCAATTCTAAGGAACCCTATCAGTGAACGGTGACCCTAGCGATGAGGGTGACATCAGTCTGCGGGTCCAGGAGCGCAAGCCGGCCGTGGCGCTGGTGCCGGGCTCCAAGAACCTCACGCTGACCCGCGCGCTGGACCGGGAGGAGAGGACCGGACCCTCCAGCGTGTACGTGAACGTGCGGTGTGACAGACGACACACCACAGACCCGGTGCGTACCACCTGCGAAATGGAACACGCCTGGAGCAGTCTCTACAGTAGATACTCTCAAAGTAGATTTACTGCGTGTATATAACATACTATGTCTGTTCGTCCAGAGTTTCGTGATCCCGGTGTCGGTCCGCGTGTGGGACGTGAACGACAACGCTCCGTCGTGGTCGGGCGCGCCGTACAGGGCGCGGGTGTCGGAGCTGGCCGCCGTGGGCACCCGCCTGCTGACGGCGCGGGCCCTCGACCCCGACCAGCCCGGCCCGCACGCCACCGTCAGATACTCCGTGCTGCCCGGACCCGCCGCGGTCGGTGCAACACACGTACACACGCACACACACACACACACACACACACGAGCGGTCGATGAACTCAGGCGTGTGTCTGGTGACAGGAGTACGTGTGGTTCCCGAGCGAGCTGGACGGCGCGCTGGTGGTGAGGAGGCCGCTGGACTACGAGACGACCACCAACCTGACGGTGAGGCTGAGGGCGCAGGACGGGGGCGCCCCGCCGAGACACAACGACACCACGCTCACCATCGACGTGTTGGACGCGGACGACCAGAACCCCGCCTTCACACACGAACACTACAGCGCGCTCATACCGGAGGACGCGCGGGAGGTACCCACAGACAGACATCACATTTATAAACATCTTTATAAACGATATTGTTTCGATATTTCAGCGCTCAAAAGTCTACCTATTCGCAGATGATCTTAAAATTATTAAAACGATTACAAACAATTTTGATTTCGCACTTTTACAGGAAGATCTGAACAGGTTGATGCAATGGTGTAACCATAATCACATGACACTGAATCCCAAGAAATGCTTTTCAATCAGATTTACAAGAAAACAAAATTATGATGCGTGATTCAGGCGTCTTACTGGACAGAAGAGTTAAGATTTACCAGCCACATTGATAATATTATTACCACAGCAACAAAGACATTAGGTTTTGTGTTGAGGGACTCAAAAGAGTTCAGGCAGCCCTCTACTACCATCAAACTTTACAGTAGTCTAGTGAGAAGTAACCTGGAATATTGCAGCCAAATTTGGAATCCTCACTACAAAATTCATAGTGATAGAATCGAAAGGATACAAAAACAACTATTGCGTCATCTTGCGTATCACTCGAACTGAAATTCACCGATAATTCTTATGAAGGAAGGCTTGAACGATTCAACATTACTTGATTACAGTCGCGCAGAATAATGTCAGATCTATTATTTCTACACAAAATATTGAACAACAATATTGATTGTCCAGCTATATTGCAATTATTTGATATCAATATTCCCTTAAGATTACCTAGAAAACCGAGCCCCTTATTTCGAGTACCGCTATACTTATCTAACCTAGGAAAATATTCCCCACCAGCTAGACTAACAGGCACATAATACAATGATCTCTCCTCGAAGATCTCTAACCTTGATATTACTTGTAATAATTTGCCTATTTTTAAACAAATTTGTTAAGTTTCCTAAAAAATAATATAAATTATTGAAACTAAAATTATTTATTATTGTTATTAACTCAAAATTAATTTAAAAAATGCTTACTTATTGTTTAATTTATTTTGCATTTAATATGTTCATTTAAATACAAATAAAATGATATTGTTATAAAACTGTTAAATAATTCAATTTCTTTTTAATTATATAATCGATCCAAAGAAAACAATCTTGTGATAATTAATTACTAATGTTTAATATATTTAGTGCACGCTGTGATTACCTATAAAAAGAGATACAATTATCAAGTGTGTTCAATTGTTAACTATATAATATTTCTAATACTGTCATTTCTGTTGGTGATCCTATAAAATAAATAAATAAATAAATCACTAACACGGACTCACTACCATAGACTGTGACTCATTACTACAGAGATTTAATAATGTTTCCAGGGCACGGTCCTGGAAACATCCCCTGGGCCGGTGTCGGCGTATGACCAGGACCGGGGGATCAACGCGCCCGTCACATACAGCGTGCGAGGCTCCCCCTCCCCCGCAGACAACCACACCTCCCTGGTCCGCCTGCACAAGGACAGCGGCCAGCTGACCGTGACCCGTGACCTGCTGCGGGCCAGCCTGCCCGCCACCATCGTCATACAGGTACACACGCACACACACTGGGAGGACGACACAGAAAACACCCGGCAGTTTCATCGAAGCATTGACAATTGCTACAATTTTATTTAAATTTGAATTTATTCTGTGTTTTTTTTATTTCGTGTAGGCTTTTTTAAGTGAACACGTTAAGAAGACACAAAACATTATAAGGGTGAATATACGCTATTTGGTTTTTTCGTGTCCCAGAAGGAAATGTTATCGGTTCCAGTCAATATTTATAATTTATTTATTTGACACTATTTTAAAATTAGTAATCCCAGGGGCCAGACGATTATTAATTTTTTTTTAGTTTTATAAGCACCAGAGGGAAATGTGTTACTAGAAGAGTGACACTTTTGCCAGAGTATAGTAACAAATCAAAGAAGGATATTGTCATACCATTAATTACTAGCTAAAAAAGTTGACTAATATTAAATGAAACGTCTATATACTTCTATTCATTTATTAAAAAAAATTGTCACTCATCTGGCTATCATGTATGTAATATGCCAGAGGAGTGACGCTAGAAAAGTGACAAAATCACACATAATGTATTAAAATTAACATCATTCGCTTTTCTCACATTAGTTTAAGTTAATATGTATTTGACATCTACGGACAATAAACATTGATTATAGAAATTAACAATTTCGTAACGATAAAATACAAATATATATGCTTACCAAAGGAAATACACCAACGACTGGCACAAAATTACTTTCCGAAAGTTTATCGAAAACTGATCAAATATTTTTTTTAAATTTGCTCAAATTATTTAGGATTTATTCTTTAAGATCAAAAGCACAAAGTTGTGATTTTTAATAAATTTTAAGTCTTTGATTTCCGCCAGATGAAGTGACAGAATTATAACATGACTCGAAAATAAGTTATATTATTTTATATTAATAAATATTTTTACACTTAATTTTGTTCAAATATGTTTCGATGTTTATTAAAGCGTATGTCCACATTAAGTGAAAAAACATAATTGTGTACTTTTTGAAAGTATTCAGCCATAAGTTCATTTTAATTCATAATTGGGAAGGCCAGAGGACTAGTGGTTAAAGAACTTTATTTCTCATAAAGAACATACAATGTTCACTTGAATGAGATGTATTACATAGTTCAATTCAACCAACAATTCAGTACAGTAGCAACGACCCATACACCTCAAGAGCGGTTAATCCAAGTGCTCCCTACAATAACCCAATAATTTCCTTCTAAAAATCGCAAACGTTTTTTCATCAAAAACTTCGTCAGGCAAGCTATTATAGAGATTCGCTCCCCTTAACTGTATAGTTTTAATTCCGAGGAGTATACCTTTAAAATATTATTAAAAATATAAATTAAATAATTATCGTGAATAGTCTTTGTGGGCTAGATAAAATGCCATATTCTTTATTGTTAAGCATGGAGAGACAATAATATAATAAGTTTCACATAAAATTTCAAATTTCACATAAAATTTGTCTATAGACAAATGGAATTCAAATAGCGTATATTCACCAATAAATCAATAATTAATTTCTTAGTCTAACCTCAAAACAAATACTCGTTGACTTCCTGGTACTTAACAACGACATCTGCTGTTGTGTCATTAAATCAATTAGTAAAAGCAAATAGCAAAAAGTAGTATTACTATTCGCCAATAGATGGCAGGAAGAGTCATATTTTAAATGACTCCTTATTGTATTTTTTTTTAATAAAATATCAGTAATAGGCCAGTACAGATGCCTCTAAAAATGATGAAAAGTGAAAATAAATTATAGTAGAATGAAACCCATTAGAAAAGGAGGGGAATATTATAAAAATTAAGGGAAAAATAATTTACGGGCGATCTGAGGTCTGGAAGGGTACGGGCGTAGGGTATTTAAGAGTAAAAAATGTGTTTTCTCGATTTCCGCAAAAACTAAGAGTCCTAATGAAAAATAATATATGGCAAAGTTGTAGGTAATAAAAAGATCTAGAACTTTTGTATTAACATTTTTTTTCACATAACCTCAAAATTTATGTCAAAAGTTCAAAAAACCTAGATTTTGTTTTTTATTTTTATCTCTTCCAAAAAATAACACTTTGTCACAAATTGGTGAAAACTTTCCTGTTGATGTTCCAAATGTACTGTAATTTATTTGATAAGAAATATTTATTTTTTCAGCTTATTTTGAATAAATACCGAAAAATCAGCCTCATTTTCAATCGAAAAATTACCCGTCAAATTATCAGCTATTTTCAAAAATTTGGTATGTTTTCAATTTGTTAAAATCTCTATTATCCGATGGTGAAGAAAAAATATTAAAGTTTCTTACTTAGAGTACCATTTTTGGATAAAATAATCATGTCTCTTTTAATGAAATGACACTCGACATCGTTTAGAAAATGCTCTTTCTAATTTATTTTTAATAGTTGTGTACTCTGGAAGTTCTCCAGATTGTCCGACTTTTAGGAAATTTACAGAAAATTGACATTAAGCTGCTAAAACTATTAAAAATAAATTGAATGAGCGTTTTCCAAACGATATCGAGTGTCATTTCGTTAAAAAGGACATGATTATTTTATCCAAAATTGGTACTGCAAGTAAGAAACTTCTATTTTTTTCTTCACCATCGGAAAATAAAGATTTCAACGAACAGAAAACACACAAAATTTTTGAAAAACGCTGATATTTTGAAGGGTGATTTTTCGATTGAAAATGAGGCTGATTTTTCGGTATTTATTCAAAATAAGCTGAAAAAATAAATTTTTCTAATCCAATAAATTACAGTGCATTAGTAACATCAAAAGGAAAGTTTTCACCAAATTTCGTGTCAAAAAATAGTTTTTTGGAAGAGAAAAATAAAAAACCAAAAACTTGATTTTTTGACTTTTTCACATAATTTTTGAGGTTATGTGAAAAAAGTGTAAATGCAAAAGTTTTAGATCTTTTTATAATCTACAATTTTGCCATATAATATTTTTCATTAGGACTCCTAGTTTTTCCGGAAATCGAGAAAACCCATTTTTTACCCTCAAATACCCACGCCCGTACCCTTCCCGAAATCAGGTCGCCTGTAAATTATTTTTCCCTTAATTTTTATAATATTCCCCTCCTTTTCTAATGAGTTTCATTCTACTATAATTTAATTATGTTTTAAAAGCTATCGGCACTGGTCTATAATAAAATAACATTTTCCAAAAGTGATAAATATTCTTGTGTTACAATATAGACGAGTTGTTGTTTCGGCACCTATATGTTCACTATCCGCTCCTCGCATGTTCCAGGCCACCCAGGTGGACAACCCTGACCGCTACTCGCTGGCCACCCTGTCCGTGTCCCGCGCCGGCTCCGAGTCCGTGTCGTTCCCTCGTCGCTCGTACTCCGTGTCTATTCGTGAGGACGCCGCCCCCGGGACCGTGCTGCTGTCCCTGGACGCTCGAGGCCAGGTACGTACACCGCCAGGTCACGGTAGGTCTCTCTCTGTTAGTTCCGTCCACTGTACTTCGTGTCCGTGTGTCAGGGGCCGCTGCAGTACTTCGTGTCGGACCGCAGCTTCCTGCAGCAGTTCGCCATCAGCGAGGAGGGCGAGGTGGTGCTGAGACGCGCGCTCGACAGACTCGTGAGGCACTACGACTACCAGGTCATGGTGACCGACGGGCGGACGGTCGGTATACACACACACATACAGGTACATACATGATATGTGAATGTAAGCATGTGTGCGTGTGTCACAGAACGACACGGCGCACATCAACATGTCGGTGTCGGCGGTGAACGAGTGGGAGCCGCGGTTCAAGCACGCGCAGTACTCGTTCGTGGTGGAGCGTCCGGCGGGCGAGGGCCGCGTGCGGGTCGGCCGCCTGCACGTGTACGACGGGGACCCAGAGGACCGCGTGTCGGTGAGGGTGGCGGGCCCCCGCGCTGGTGACGTCACTGTGGACGATGAGGGGGACGTGTTCGTGTCGGCGGCCGCGCTCAGGGACCTGCCCGCTGACACCATGCACCTGGTCGCCACCGCCGTGGACTCGGGCACGCCGCCCAGACAGGTACACGCGCGCACACACACACACACACACACACACATGTAGAAAAAAAAGCAAAGGTTGTGAACGGACCATGTCAGTAACAGCCTACATTCTCGCTCAGAACACACACAAATTACAAGGAAATGTAAACAAAACCTCAGACGAGTTGTTCCAATACTTGACCGAGCGTGGGGGAGAGGAGAAGCGTCTTGAGTTGTCCTGACATGAGAAAGAGATTGACTGAACTTTAATCTTTGGTTGATTAAAGTTAATAATAAAATTAAAATAAGAATAAATAATGTGCATAGGTTCAAAAATCCAACTTCTGGTGTTTTGCCTCTATTTATTTAGCACACTTAAAAAAATACTTATATAATTTTACTTATTTTTTTAAGTGTGCTAAGTAAATAGAGGCAAAATACCAGAAGTTGGATTTTTGAACCTATGCACATTATTTATCCTTATTTTAATTTTATTATTAACTTTAATCAACCAAAGATTAAAGTTCAGTCAATCTCTTTCTCATGTCAGGACTAAAATTAAAAGCAGAACATATATTCAAATATTTATATTTTTCTTTTTGTGAGTATTATAACATGTAATCGCTTGGACTTTGACATTTTCCTCATTATTTGGACAATTTGTAAACTTTCCCATAAGCAGCCTGTTAACATTGGTGCACCAACTATGAATTATTAAATTTATGATATAATTTAATAAAACTCCTTTAAGGTTTTTATGAGTTTCGCAAGAAAGAAACGAAAAATCACAATATAAATCAGCTTTTTGAATAATTTTTTCTTTTTATATTTTTTGTTTGTGGTTCTTAACCTAATTGTTTTTGTATGACTGCATAAACATCATCTAAAAATGAACACAACACCTCCAACGGATACTTACAGGATTTTTTAGTGTAATCTCTAAATAAAATATAGTTATCATTAGCAGGTGTTGTGCTTAACAATTGCATTTTACATGTCTTACAATTTTTACATACATTTTTAATACATTTATGTACTAAATAGCCAGCAACATAGCGTTTAGCTTCTATGCTGATTATGTTGCTGGGTTTTCAATTGACATTTTCTTGCAACAAATTAAGTAAAGAATCCACATTTATTTTTTCATTAAATGTATCTCTTACTCTTAATTGTGAATTAATAAGGCAACCTAAAGGTTTTAAAATTTTGTTATTGTCATGTTCAGAGTTTGCACCAATGGAATGTGGCGAAGTTAAATTATTTACAAGTAAAGTTTTGTATGCAACAAAAAATTGAGAGCAAGTTGGAGATACATTAGGGATCCCATTACTTCGAATATTTAAAAAAAAAATCTCTAAGGGATCCTGATTTAAGTTTCTTGTTAAAAGACTGCTTACTTCATGATATTTATTTAACTCAAAAAATAACTCCCTAGTGGCATGAATGTCATGTATCCAATTTTTAATGGATGGTACCACAATAATTTTTTTATACCATTGTTATTTACTTCAAATCTCATTGAGTTTAATACACGTAATGTTTGTTCCCACAGTTTGAAATGTGGAGAATTTGTTTTCAATGCAATCCTTTTGTAATTTAGCATCTTCCTAATAACTATGACCATTGAACCAAACTCAGTCAAAGAGTTTATCTACAAGAAGCAGCAGGTCAGCTGTGGCGACACACGCTTTTGGTAAAATATTATGATCTGGAAATAAAATATATATTAAAATAATTTTTAGACATAGGCCTTATCATTAAATTGATAGATCGATAAACTTCTTTATTGCATACAAGTAAAGTTGAGAATTAATAAAAGCAAAAGACAAGAAAAAACATAAGTATGCAAAGGAGGTCTTATCACATATAGTGATCTCTTACAGACAACCTCAGGAGTAAAAAGCTGTTATATTAGTAATATGTTAAGTGCATAGAAAGTTTATGTCAACATAATAATAAATAAAACTTACTACTACTATGAAAAAAATATATACTAACTTGCTAAGAAACACATAGCTGATGATACTCGCTTGCTGAAAACTTGGGCTGCATATTTCACTTTCATTTTCAGTAATTTATCTTTATATATATGTGTTTCTGTTAATTTATTTAATAAGCATGTATGAATTTCTCCAACGTCAACCTGTAACGCCATTAATAGCATTAAAATATGCAAATGACTCCAATTTGCTATTTTAATTTCTTGATTTTGTTGAAATAATTTTATAATTTAAAGGTAAATATACCAATCATAAGTAATTTTAAGCTTAGTTATATGCCCATAACTTACCTTTAGGAAATAATTGAGAGGAATTAGGAGAACTCATTTGTAGCTGAACTTGATTCATATTTAAATCCAAGTGGTGACTACAAGATGCATCATTGTCTTCTTTTTGTGTATCAACACATTTTTCAGTTTCAACAGAATGTGATGAGTGTATAGTCTCAAATGTTGATGCTGCTAAATAAAATATTATTTTAAATACAAATAAATATATTAAAAGAAAAGTTAAATGAAAAATCTTAAAATTTAATGATAACATAACATATTGTCTTGATTTTATCTTTCTTCCTCGTTTTGTTTAGAGTTTCTGATTGAATGTAAATAGACTTGTAATTTTTACTGAATTAAACACTGCCATTCTTATATTACTTCCTATTCCTTCATTTACATAAAAAAGATAAAAAAGATCGCACATTATAAATCTATCAAACCACATGTAAATTTATAAAAATGTTAAGATGACTTATATAATAGGTATCTATTTGATTATATTCAATTGAATCTAATTTTTTTGTTTTTAATTATGAGCACCAATTTCTAAAGTAAAATAATAATAATGTAAAATATTATCTATATTTATAAAATACAATTGATTATTTATAGTTTTATTATATTAGTAGTATGTATTGTGTGCCTATAAATACTTGGGAAGTTGCTTACTTTAGATACTTCCTTAAGTATAAAGTTGGTACAGCATTTTGAGTGAGTCGTTTACTTGAAGAACGGTAAAAGTGTTCCAAATGACGATCACATATTCTTATATTATTATAAATGTAAAAATCTTCCTTTTGTTTCATGTCTTCATTTAAAATATGTTTCCATTGAATGAATTTCTCCAAATTTGGGTATTCAGGTTTAGGAAATTTATGAAAAGGACCTGAAATTTTTTATTAGAAGTCAATAAACTGTTACGGTTGAAATTAATGCAACAAGAGTAGTAATTGATTGTATATATGTATACCTATATATGACAAATAATATTTTTATTATATAGATTTTACTAAATAAGTATCGTACCTTTAGGGCGGTTTCAGACTAGCGTTTTATACGCGCGTATGAGCTGGTTTTTGGAAGCGCATGTAGGCGCGTATAGGCGCGCCTTTTGGCACACGCTCAACTCGTACGAGCGTTGTCGCGCTTCTAAGCTCGTATAAGCGCGAGCCAAAAGTAATTTTTAAATCGTTTAGAATCACTTCGCAGTTCTGGGTAAAGTGTATTAAAGTGACCGGTTATCAGTCTTGATGCAACTATCGGTGACACCCAGCACTTTTTCCGTCGTCTCAGTCGGCAAATAAGTAACGCAAAAAGTATGTTTCTTCGTCAGAATCCATGTTGATACTGACACGATACCACCGGTTCGAACGAACACGCCGAAATATGCACGTTTACGCGCGTCCGGTTTTTTGAAGCGCGTAATGAAGCGCGCGTGTAAGCGCGTATACTGAAACGACCGTATACGCGCTGAAAAAAACGCTAGTCTGAAATCGCCCTTAGTCGCACACCGAAAATAACACTTAATAGCCGATTTTCGTGGCATTTTTTCAACTTATCCATAATCCAAATTCGTAGTTTGCAATCAAAATCCAATTGAGAAAAGCCGGGGTCGATCGTCAAAAGCCTGGAAATAGGAGTCAATGATATATTAAGCCGGGTCAAATGCTTGAAAAAGAACGTACAGCACAATAACAACAGTAAACAACGGCAAATGAGCAACGGAAATAATTAAAAATTTGTCCTAATGTCAAACCAATTTGAGAGCTTCTTACGCCATCCATAAAGTTATAAAGGAAAATAGTGTCAAAGTTGTTGTATCTTTGTCCGTTAGATGGCAGCATTTTCTATACATACATTATTTTCTTACATTTTAATTATATGACAGTTTCATCCCCATGTTTTTGCGAGTTGTAATGCATCTCCCCCCCCCTCTCTAGTCGTCGGTGCCGCTGTCGGTCCGCGTGTCTCCCCCCGCCCCCGCGCCTCCCCCCGCCGCCTCCCTCCTCTCCAGTGTGGGCACGTCCGTGTGTGTGTCCGTGTCGTCGCTGGTGCTGCTGGTCGTCCTGCTGCTCTTCCTCCACAGACTCAGGTCAGTCACTGTACCTCATACTGTAACTCGAACTCCTTCACTATCCATTCTTGCTTTTCTTCCTGAAAACTGATGAAATTGTCCTCGTTCGATGTTTTTAATGTATCAACAGAAAAAAACGTCAAGTGAAAGACAAGAGCTCGAGCAGTCCGCTTCCTGAGAAGACGGCGCCCGTCAGTACGTCCGTAAGCTCCGTGGGCACGGACTCAGGCCCGGCGGTCCCCGGCGGTCCCAGCGGTCCGCCCGGCCCGGTAGGTCCGGTAGGTACGGGTGGTTCCCTGCAGAGCGTGTCGGCCGGCGCCAGCAGCATCCTGGCCGCCTCCACCACCAGCCTCGAGCTGCTCGACAAACAGCCCCGTGAGTGACGTCACCACATCCCCGGCCCGCTCGTGGTCTATGTCTATGTGTGTGTGTATGTTATATGTAGCGAGTGTTCCTCAGAGCCGGGTCTGTTGTCGGACCACTTGGCGGCGGGCGGCGCGGGCAGGTCGGGGGTCGCCTGGCCCAGCGCCACCATCCCCGCCAGGGTCAAACAACTCAGCTGGGAGACGGACGACCCGCGCCCGCAGACCGACGGCAACATGAACCTCACCGTGTACTTCTAGACGAACATGAGACAGAACAAACATCAGAGAAGGACATCGTAGTCGTGAAACCAAAAGAAAACGAATCTACTCATAGGTTTTAATTAGAGACGCTCCCAGTACTTATAAATTAATATTAAAATTAATGGAAGGTTGTATTGTAACGAAAGAGAGATGTGATCGTTGTATAATTGTAATAAAGAAAAATAAAATATACTTAAGTGTTAACGAATTACCTATAAGGTTTAGTGACCCGGACCAAAATAATAATTTTAATAAGAATATATTTATAAGACGAACATTTCAGAAGTAATTTATCAATGCACGAGGCACAGACTGACTGACTGTTATGTTCCGTCCGTGATGATGGAGAGCCTCCTCGTGATAGATCCGTCCGCGACACTTTATACATATAAAGTATTATTGATTGTTACTTGTATCATATCATTAAATAAATTATTGTTATTCTATATTTTTGTTAATTGCTTGTTTTATTTCGAGTGAAAGCTCCTTCCGCAATGAAAGTGAATTAGTAAAAAATGCTACATCTGTAGATATCTGCTTAAAAGTCCTGTTTTTAGTACAGAAAAAAGTTACCGACGACGTAACAGAGTAATTTGTATAATATTGAATGCAAAAACTCAACACGCAATTATAAAATTAACTCACTAACTACTTTGAAGAAAGTTGTCTCTTAATAAAAGTAATAAAAAAAAAATATGGCGCCGGCATCATAACTAACACTCGAAAGATGAATTAATATAATACATGTAAAATATAAACACGATGTGTGAGTCGAGTGGACATAGGGGGGACGCGGACTGTGTTGCCAGATTAGGATATTTGCCCATAATCAGACTATATTATTAAATAAATGTATAAAATTGCTAGGCTATTTAAAAGTACATATTAAGTTTTAAAAACCAACTTTAAGCAATAAGGCCTATTTCAGATATCAAACATCACTAAAAATTATCATTCTTTTAGATTTTAATTTGTTTTAGTTTGATACTACATATTTAGATTCAAGTAAATGGTTTGTTAACATACATAGATATGTATTTCTTGTATGTATGTTGAAAACTTTATGTTTATAAATCATCATCGTGTCGCGAGTCGTGAAAGTTTTCTGGCAGCACCGGGCTCAAAGCCTCAGACTCAAACAACCACAGTCACTAGTCACTAGTCAGAGATCAGATACCGCAGGAGACGGTAGATGAGTGAGAGAAAGCGGTGCAATACATCGCGTTACAACGTGAGTAGACGTACAATTTATTAATGTACATATAATGTTAAAAATATCAATATTCCTTTTAATTTTTAAACTCTTATATTTTTAAGAATATACGACTATTTGATTTGTTATTATTATATACTTTTTACATCTGTTAACTAACATAACAACATTGGCTTAATGAAAACAATGTTTGTAACTCTTCACACGAATTCTAATGAAACTGGTGTATGTGTATACTTTATAGTGCTCAGATTGGTTACATTATATTATAATTATTCACATTGGTTACATTATATTATATTGAAAGTCCCGCGGTTTTCCCCGAGTGTGTATGTCGTTTATGAATCCGCATTTCGCGCCAACTTTCTCCAACTTATATAACAACCCACGCTCGCGTGCGCCTTGACCTGACCCACGACCACTAGTGTTTACAAACAGGATACACTAATATTATAATTAAAATATTCTCTCCTCGAAAGACATCGATATAACAGCAGGTTCTCTAGGCATAATAGGACATGCTTATTAAGATTATTATTATTCTTTAATTATGAATAAGCATTAATAAACTTTCTACTCATTAACTTTCGCTATTTGGTGATGACATATTGTTCCGTCACTCTTGTTGTAATGATTACCGTCGGTACGTGATTAAAATGAACAACTAAAAACTTGGAATACGAGAAAAGCCAGGAGTTAGTCTATCATCAAAAAGACACACATCACTGCTCAGGAATCAGGATAATATAATCTGTTGACTCATGTAATTTCTGTTACATTTTAAACTAGCTGTGCTCTCGACTTCGTCTGCGCGGAATACCTTCCTACTAAGTTTTTATTACTCATATTAAACCAAAGTTTCCAAAACAATATGAACCATGTTGCTTCATATTACATCAGCTTTCTTCAGTAAAGTAACTTCTTTAACATAATCAGACTGAAATTGTCAAAAATGTTACTCTTAAGCATGTAGAGTGCAGTTTTTTAAATGCGGTTATTTAAAATATTTCAAAGGGACATTACAATTTTATTTTTTAGTAAATACGATGAATATTCTAGTGTTCTTAACTTCCGTAAGAGGAAGGTTGATAGACTGAGAACAGTAAAGTTTTCTAAGACATCAAACTAGTAAACAAATCCTGTTTGTGTGTGACGTCACTTACTAACAACCTGACTGGCCCTCTCCCGACACCATGTAAGGTCTCTGGAGCTCTATAGTTAAAGTGCGCGGCCACAGAACCTGATATTGTTTAAAGATATCAAGCTTCAGTGTCAAGTGAATCATTCTCATGTTGAAATTCTCAAAATGAAAGTCAAAACGTCTCGAAATTCGGTCAAACGGAAAGTTAAACTTTCTTGCTCTGTATGAACAACCTCAAATACATATAATTTATATAAATACGTTCATAAAAGCAGATAGTCCTTTTTCTTAAAACTGTTACGTTTAATAGAGTAAAGACACAACAAACAGTGTACATCACGTAGTAGGCATTGTGTTGTGAGTTACGTAACTTTAAAAACGAGGGCACTGCATAAGTACCCACATTACACATTACACATTACTCATTTGTCGCTTTAAATAAGGTCTTGAATAATAGTCGAGGAAATAATATTCCTTCAGATGGCGCTACTGTTGTTCGGACTGGTTTTATTAGTAGCGGGCGTGAGGAGTGATAACCACACGGAGATAGAGTCATGTGTGGAGGGGGACGGACCCTGGAGCCGAGCTCTGGAGGAATGGAGCCTCTCAGCGGGCCCCGGCAGACACGGTGAGGAGTCCAACTATATAGGAACTTATTGTAGTAAACATAACTATACGAGTACTACCATCGCCGTTTTATTAATCCTCTAACTACCTACTAAATATTAATAGGTAAGAACTTCAACACAGGTCGCATCATGGCGCTGCCGCAGAGTAAAGGCTACTACGTGTCTGACCGTGTGGAGACACCCTTCCTGTCCCCTCCGCCGCCTCTGTACAGTCAGCAGGGGTACCCGCCCCCGCCGCAGGTCATGCAGGGGCCGCACGGGTACAAGGAGTGGGAAGGGAAACCTTCACATTCCGGAAATGGCAAGATAGTCAACCGGCCGCCCAATAAGGATAAGTTCGCGCCGAGTTATGTGAGTGACTACACAGACACTATATGTTCAGTGTATTTTTTAAAGCATCATAACTGTACGTCATCCTGCTGTGACCCCAGCCCCCTCAGAGTCAGCGGCCGTCCATCGACCGTGTGGACGACCCCCCGCGGCGTCAAGTCTCCGAGACCGACCTGTACCTGCTGAGCGCGGTGGAGAAGCTCGCGCACCGAGCGGACTACATGGAGAAGAGACTGCGGAGACTCGAGGAGACGCTGTACCTGGCGCTGGAGAACAAGGAGCCCGCGCCCGGTACACACACACTAACATATCACTCGCCCGCAGAGACCGCCTCGTATAATTCAAACATTAAATATTAACTAAACTAATTTCCTCACCCTTTCGTCTTCGCGCTCTTCTCTACCTGATGCTCATAAATGACTCACTAGTCACAGTTGTGTGATTTTAAAATAAATACTATCAACTGTTTTATCCCTACCAGAGTATGCTTCCAATAATAAAATATCTTGGACTACTAATTAATAATACTTTGTCTTCGAAGTCCCAAATAATTAATTTAACTAATAAAATAAGAAAACTAGTATATATATTTAAAAATCTCAGAGCTTCCGCGGAAAGATCTACTATCTTCATGGTATATTATGCTATAGTTCAGTCATTGCTTATGTATTGTATAACATAACATATTTGTCAACTATTTATTTATGAAAATGTTTTACACAAACACAGTAGCCTAACATATGTTGATAATCGTGATAAATGGAGATAATACTGCACATTGAAAAACACAAAAGTAAACTTGCAGGGAGACATTATTATATTATTAGCTCCAGATTATACAATAAAATTAACAAACTTATAAATATATATCAACTTAATAGAAATAAATGTAAAAAACGAATTAAAAGAATGGTTGCTAGCAAAGTCGTACGATGAAACTGAAAAGCTGCTTTAAGTCTTAGGTTCCTAGTAAGCACACACAAACATCTCAAATATACTCATGCTCAATTTAACACATACTACTAATTCTATACTACATAGTTTTAATATTACTATACTAATTTTACTATACTAGTTATATTCTAAGTTAAAGCTAACGATAATATGCTTAGCATACACTACATAATATATTGTGTTGACTTTTTTCGCTATTCCACATTCATTTGTAAACTTGGTAAAATGAATCCTTTGCAACAGGAGAGTACTGTCGCCTGAAATACAGGTTTATATCTAGCTCAGGGACAGTAGACTTTATTTACATATAATACCTTTTACCTTTATGCATTGTGATCAGATTATGTTAATGTCCATACAATTGTAATGTGTTTGAAATAAATAAACATTATTATTATAATATGTGTTCTGTTCCAGCGCCGTGTCCGGGTAACTTCACCCGCGTGGGGTCGTCGTGTTACTCAGTGTCCTCGGTCCCTCGGGACTGGAAGGACGCGTCCCTGGCGTGTCGCGCCTCACACGCCGCGCTGCTAGAGTTGGACGACGACAAACAGAAGAAAGTCGTGCTGGCCTGGCTGCTGGCTGACAAGGAGAGGAGAGGTCGGTTATAGAGAGGAAGTGGGGGGGGAGACACGGCCGGCTCGAGCTCAACGTGTGGTGTTCATTCCAGGTGTGGACTACTGGACCGGCGGCCTCAACCCCGGCCTGCTGTGGATCTGGTCGCACTCCGCCCGCCCGGTCAACGGCAGCGTGGCGGGCGAGGGACGGTGTCTGGCCGCCGTACACGACCCCGCACTCAACACGCACGTGTACAGGGGCAGGGACTGCGGACTCAGGCTGCACTACATCTGTGGCAAAGACGACGACGGACAGCTGAGTAACGAGGTGCTGCGAGCGGCCAGGGAACTGACGGGGAGGAGGGAGGGAGGAAGGGGAACGACACCTGGCGTACATTATAATATATGAGAACCGACAGGTCACTTAATATAATATGAATTAAGTTATGAGGGAGCTGTAGTGTGATTTAGTTGGTGTAATAAAAGACGTCGTCTGATAAATTCTTATATTTCTAAATATTTACAAAGTTGTGTTGAAACAAAACAAACCTAAGTTCGTTAGCGCGCGTCCTCGTCGGGACGACGCTCGTACAATTTTTCACTTTAACCTTTTAATGAAGTGACGTTCAGTGTTTTATCAAAATAATTTAATATTTACAGACACGTTAAAGTAAAAAATTGTTTACATTTACACAAAATAAACGAAGGAACAGAAAAAGAGATACCTTCACATATAAATAATGTTAGGGAAGAGATACAACAGATTATATGAGAATATACAAGAAGTGAGATAGAGAAGAGACAAGAAACATTCCTCTGGTAGATGTTAGTATTTAACAATAATATATTTATTATGGACTAGTTGTAGCGGCCCGCTCATGGCGGAGTTATTTATTAATAAATTATACATATAATATTTATAGTTTTTTATTTATTCATCCTCGTGAACAATAGTAATGAATGGAGGGAGTCCGGGGGCACTTGGGGGGCGTGGGAGGTGACGAGCTTGGTCCTTGATGATGTTACATATTACATAGTATTATGCTCATACAATGAAATAAAAAACTAACCGCTTAAGATAGAGTTTACTAAAGGAGTCCGGACGAATTCAAATATGGCGACTTTGAAGTTACCGCACCGATATCACGGATACAGTTTATATAGAGAGGGGTGGGGGGGTGTCAGTTGAAGTGGAACTTGAACTGGAAGGGGCTGCCGTGGTGGAAGTGACCGAAGGGGGCGTTGAACCCGGGCTGCTGGCGGCCGGACTCAGGGTCCAGCGGGTCACCGCCCGCGTCGAACACGGCGCGCTTCTCAGGGTCCGTCAGCACCTGGAACACACACACACACACCTTACTGAACATGTATTGAGGACAGGTTGTGACTAACACGTGTATTTAAACAAAACAATTATTGACTATTTTTTTTCTAAGTTTTCCTAATTTTATATAACTAGTAATATTTTTTATTTTATTTTGTGATTTTTACGCAATATTTTTATTTAATCTTTAAATTAGTATGTAAACTTTTTTAAATCGTGCACTGTTTACAGTTAGTATATGTTATGTACACTTGTCATTGACGTACATATCCGATGTTTTAATAGGTCACTTTAACTGTAAATATTCAATACTAGAAGACCTGGCGAACTTCGTATCGCCCTATAATCAACAAATATCTATTACGTTTTTTTATTTATATTTTTTGGAGTTTTCCTGTAAGCCATAAATCTGCGTGTTTTGAAGTGCGACAGAATGATTGACATATTAGTTAGTTGTCAAATCTAATGTCAAAAAAAACGTTTGTATGGGAAATAGAAAAGGGCTGTTTTTCTGGTTTTCCCAGTAATTAATCAATTTTTTTCAGCTTTTATACCTTCCCTGAACCTCCACGAACATTTCAAAACTAAGATAATATAAATCCGTTCAGCTGTTCTCGAGTTTTAGCGAGACTAAGGAACAGCAATCAATTTTTAAATACAGGGTGACTGGTGAATTACTATCAATATTTAAGGAGATTACTCGGTACATGATTCTCATTCGAATTATGTAAAAAAAAATAGGTACTTAATTTTTGACCAAATTTCCGTACAAATAAATGAGTCGTATAGAATCAAAGGCGGCAATCTGCACATTTTATCAAAATAAAGATTTTTATATGGACACACAGGAAATTTAAAATAACGTTACGTACTTAATTTACTTTATAACAAAAACGACTATCTCGGAGTGAAATCCCTTTTGAAAATCAGGTTTAGCATCAAATTCGGCAATCTTCAACAGCATAAGAATCAAACCCGGCATTCTAACTCATTCCACCAATCACAAGCGTCCGTGTGGTCACGTGATCTAATGACGTCTGTATGAAGTTTCTAACGAATTTGTGTCCGTGTTTTTATTGAATTATTTTATTTATTGTGATTACTGTTATAAAATAAATGTATAAATTGAATCATGGATCTACATTCTAAACCTGTAATAAATATGTTTGCCCGGAAACGACAGAGAAACTCAGAAAAATGGAAACAAAACTTGGCGAATAAACTCAAGTAAAATGTATAGGGCTGTCACGTCACGACTAAGACAAAGTGTATTCTATGTTTTTTAACCCTAACAAATGAGTGTTATAAAGTTGACCACTATACTATGTGTATATGTGTGAATGGATTTTCATGCGGTTCTTTTAATATTCCTGGACAAAATCTGAAAAAAAGTTACACAGTTTTAAATTATAATTGTCAGCCCTTTTTTCCAAGACGCGACAGGATTATAGCTTCTCTTTATTGGGTGAAGGATTTTTAAAATTTCAATATATTTTGCTTGTTTCTGGTTATAGTTTTGGTTTAATCAGTCCCTGAAAGAGTCTGCACGCATAACACAAAATGGCTTAAATGTGCTACTTGTGCTGTGTTGTTGTGCATCCGTGTAGTTTCATTATCACCACTTGATTTATTCAAATAAAATCCTTAAAACAACTTTATAAAATTTTTTATATCCTTTTTGACAACCCTGAACGAGTTAATTTTTTTGGTAAGTTTCATAAACGGCAATCTCGACATAATTTGGTATCAAATACGGCATTCTCAGATGTTTGGTTTCAAATCCGGCATTCAAAAATCCGGCATGCAAAATTCTTTTCTAAATTTCTTCAAATTGTTATTTTTATAGTACACAATGAGAGTTTAATATTAAGCGCATCAATACTTACATCACTTAAAATAAAGTTACGTAATATCATTTTTGAAACGGACGACACAAACCGAAAATTTTCAATTCTCTGATTTCAGTCTAAGTGTAGATTGCCGCCTTTGATCCTATACGACTCAAATAAAGTGTGGACACGTTCCAAGTGTTCCAAGTGTGGACGCGTGCGGCGGCGTGCTGATACAACACCACGCTGCGCACGCGTTTGTGTGTGTGTGTGTGCATACCTAATCTGTAGGGTGTTCACACGATGCGTAATTAATTACATAACTTTTAGTTAACTTTACTTAGAAGTTTATTAATATTTATGTTATATTAATTTTTATTGTGTCATATATGATCGTCAAATATCACGTCCTCAAGTATCGATAGTAATTCACCAGTCACCCTGTATATATAGAAGATGTGTGTTGTAAGTGTTCTTGTTGTAAATAAATAAACACGTCTGTGTATCAAACTGATGTATAAGTGTGTGTGTGTCTGTATCTGATGTGTGTGTGTGCGTGTCTGTATATATGTATGTGTGTTCCCTCACCTCCTTAGCGGCGGCGATGTCTATAAACTTCTTCTCGGCCAGTTTCTTCTCGTCTCCCTGGAAGTTGTCCGGGTGCCACTTCTGAGCCGCCTTACGGTACGCCTTCGTTATCTCCTGTTTGTTCGCCGTTCTATAAATATACAAAACAATTTACAACAGGCTGTCTTTTTCTTTCTTTTAATTTTTTTAATAGTTATAAGTTGTCTTTTTGGTTTATGTTTTTTTTGTTGTTGTTTTATTTCTTATTTTTAAAATACATAACTGATATTTCATCATTTTTGTACGATCCCATAAAAAAATATGTTCTTTCTTTCTTCTTCTTCACCTACACGTGTTTGTGTGTGTGTGTGTGTGTGTGGGTGTATGTCTGTTCCTCCTCTCCGTACCTCTTAACCCCCAGTATCTTGTAGTAGTCCCTCTGTTCAGATTGTTTCTGTAGTTTCTGCGCCCTGCTGATCCCGTCCTTGGCTCTCTGCAGCCCTTCGTCCAGTTCCAGCGCCTCCTTGTATGATCTGATAGCTGTTCATTATAAAGGGATGCTTTTTTATAGGCTATCTTTAAAACACTAATAAAATTATAACTATTGCTGAGATATTTCTCAAACAGATATAGTTCCACATTATTTTATTTCTCTTTAGTCATAAAGAGTTAGTTTTACCCAAGACTAGAACAAAACTGGGCAAAAAAATGTTTCCATATGAGGGCGCACAGTATTATAATAAATTGCCGTCTACATTAAAATCTGTAAACTCATTTAATGTATTCAAAACTAAACTATCGGAATATATTATACAAAACTACCCACTTGTAAATTGAATACATTGAATGGGTAAAACAACTCGTTATGTAAATATATCTTAAGAACGACATTTAATATTACTTGAATTTTTTGTTTCCATGTAAGTGACTTTGTGTCTTTTTTTTTGGAAAATAAAGATCTCTAAACCTATAAACAATGGTTCATATCTATTATCTAGTACATTCTTAAGTACATCTAGTACGTGTTGTATTCACTAACCATCATCATATTCCCCAAGTCCCAGCCACGCGTCTCCTCTTGAACACAACACGCCCGCATCTCGTTGTAGCTCCAAGGCTCGCCCACACTCCAGGATAGCTTCTGAGTACTGCTCCTCCTGAAACATACACACAGCTTCACACTAGCATCACCTACATATATATACATGTTAGAGATAGTATAGTCCGTTAGACTTAAGCTGAGCTTTGCATATGTGTGAGTGAAAGTAAAAGTAGAGCTAGACAAAAACATTTAGAATTCAATTTTGATTATATTTTATAAATACATAACATAAGTGCTATAAAATAAAATAAACTTATAAAAGGCCAGGTGGAAATATTATGAATATTATGGAAAAAAAAATATTAATTAATAACAATTTTTTGAAAAAACTGTACAAATTCTTCTTCACTTGACATTGCGTTTTCAACATTTGATTTTACTACCAGTACAAAGGCTGAAGGAAGGAAGGTGCGGGGCGAAGTAAAAGCAGAATAAACCGGTTCAAAACTAGAAAAGAGCGTGGCATACAAATATTTGACATCACACCTACACTATCCGTGTACACTCACACAAATACAAAGCTCAGCTTAAATCAAACGCACTATACTGATATCAAGCTATAAAGTCATTCGTTTTATTAATTGGCAACTTGTAAAGCATCTTTCAAGTTGTTCTGTTAGCTATGACGTTACTTTAACTGTGAGTGCGCATTGGTGCCAGCGCCGGTGCGCACTGATTGTTTGAAAGATATTCAACATGTTGCACTCTGACAACGAACACGAATTTTACATAGCTCTTATTCTGCGACCTACATATATACACTGTGTATGAAAAACTGTGTCAACACCCTTAACTGCGTTATCACTTATCAGTATCGAAAATGGAACACAATCAAACAACTTACATTTACAAACTCTTCAATAAAAATAATAAAATTAAATATTAAATCATTATTATATGTAGAGTAACCAAATGTTTGTACCCACTGGTATAACACGATGGGACTCAATGACGTCATCACACCTGCTGCGCTACTAGTGACGAACTCGAAGTTACTTTCATATTATTGAAAATATCGATATTTAAAAAATCATAACAATAAATAAATATTCAATTCATATTATTTCGATACTTATTTTGATATATCAAACATTTATCGATATATCTAATTTTTAAACTTGCAAATCTCTATTCTAAAAACTGACAAAATATTAATAATAACGCCGGCGGCCCGGCGCCAGCGATGAATATACGGCGCGACTATACGGCGCCTTAACCGTTTATGTGTCAGATATTTGAAACATTTACCAAATAACGTCGATTTAAAACTTATTTAGCCTATGCACTGTAACTGACCTCTGCTTGGTATTTTTTAAGTTATACTATTTTTAATAATAAGCTTATACTTATATGTATACATGTGTAAAGGGTTGACACAGTTTTTACAACACCCTGTATATAGGTATACAAGCAAGTCCCCCGATTGTACCTTAGTATACAATACAAGTCGCGTGACATACCTTAGCGTGACACGAGCACAGCCACTTCCTCGCCTCGAACACCACCAGCGTCACTTCCTGTTCCACCCTCAACACCCCCTCGGCCCGCTCCACACATCTCCCGAACTCTCTGTTCTCACTCGCCTCCTCACACTCCAACAACAGTTTGTCAACTTTCTTCAACTTCTTGTACAACGGGAAACACAGCTTGTGTTCTGGGTCCAGTTTGAGACATTCTCTTATTTCCTGAAACAAATCATTGACGGTAATGTATTTGACAGATTAAATAATATGTTATATGTCTAGCAATAAGATTTATTCGTTGTTTTATTTAAAAGAGATGTGTGTCACTCGGAGACTGCCGCGGTAAAACTGTTGCATAGCATTTTTATCAAATTATGCAATTATAATTATATATTTATTTTATTTATGCAATATTTTTTCGTTACGGAATTTCTGGATTCGGTCTCCTCGCTCAAGGTCCGTGATAGAAGTTATGCAATAGCTTAAAAAAAGTTTTTAATGATGGAAAATTCCTAACACTGAAGACTAACAGGCCAGTGCAGATGCCTTTAAAAACAATGAAAAGTGAAAATAAATTATAGTAGAAAGAAACTAATTACAAAAGGAGGGGAATATTATAAAAATTAAAGGAAAAATAATTTACGGGCGATCTGAGGTCGGGAAGGGTATGGGTATGGGTATTTAAGGGTAAAAAATTGGTTTTCACGATTCCCGGCAAAACTAAAAGTCCTACAGAAAAAAGTTGTACGGCAAAGTTGTAGGTAATAAAAAGATCTAAAACTTTTGTATTAACATTTTTTTTCACATAACCTCAAAATTTATGTCAAAAGTTAAAAAAACCTAGATTTTGTTTTTTATTTTTATCTCTTCCAAAAAATAACACTTTGTCACAAATTTGGTGAAAACTTTCCTTTTGATGTTCCAAACTGTAATTTATTTGATAAGAAATATTTAATTTTTCAGCTTATTTTGAATGAATACCGAAAAATCAGCCTCATTTTCAATCGAAAAATTACTCGTAAAAATAACAGCCTTTTTAAAAAATTTGGAGTGTTTTCTGTTTGTCGAAATCTCTATTTTCCGATGGTGAAAAAAAATATAAGTTTCTTACTTATAGTACCATTTTTGGATAAAATAATCATGTCTCTAAGAAATGACACTCGAAATCGTTTTGAAAATGCTCTTTCTAATTTATTTTTAATAGTTGTGTACTCTGGAAGTTCTGCAGATAGTCTCTCTTTTAAGTAATTTACAGAAAATTGACATTAAGCTGCTAAAACTATTAAAAATAATTGAAAGGGCATTTTCCAAATGATATCGAGTGTCATTTCGTTAAAAGGGATCTGATTGTTTTATCCAAAAATGGTACTGTAAGTAAGAAAACTTATATTTTTAACTTAAATTTTTTCTTCACCATCGGAAAAAAGAGATTTCAACAAATTGAAAACACACCAAATTTTTGAAAATAGCTAATATTTTGATGGGTGATTTTTCGATTGAAAATAAGGCTGATTTTTCGGTATTTATTCAAAATAAGCTGAAAAAATTTATATTTCTAATCAAATCAATTACAGTGCATTTGTAACATCAAACGGAAAGTAGTCACCTAGTTTCGTGACAAAAAATTGTTTTTTGGAAGAGATAAAAATAAAAAACAAAATCTAGGTTTTTTGAACTTTTGACATAAATTTTGAGGTTATGTGAAAAAAATGATAATATAAAAGTTTTAGGTCTTTTTATTACCTACAACTTTGCCATAAAACATTTTTCCGTAGGACTTTTAGTTTTGCCAGAAATCGAGAAAACCCATTTTTTACCCTTAAATACCCTTCCTGACCTCAGATCGCCCGTAAATTATTTTTCCTTTAATTTTTATAATATTTTCCTCCCTTTCTAATGAGTTTCATTCGACTATAATTTAATTATGTTTTAAAAGCTATCGGCATTGGTCTATAAAGTAATATATTGTATGTGAGAAAGGTGATGTAAATAGGTCACTTGTTAGTGACCAAAGTATTCCATAGTTTTCAACACTGTGTCAGTAAGGTTTAATGATATATGTATGTAGTTGCATTAAGTATCGGTAAAAGGTCATGGTGGCCTACAGGTTAAAAAGGCCGCCTCTCGTGTATGAGGACGCGGGTTCGAAGCCTGACAAGTACCAATGTGATTTTTCCGAGTCATATGTACTTTCTAAGAGTATTTAAACACTACTGGCAAATAGTGAAGGAAAACATTGTAAGCAAATGAGATCTAAGAAGTTAGTTTCATTTAATTGAACATTGTAAGGGAACCTGGACTTATAGTTTCAAATTATATGTTTAAAATCACCAACCCGTCTTAAGCAAGTGTGGTGATTAATGCTCAAAACTTCTCCATGTGGGTAAGAGGCCTTTGCTCGGCAGGTTAATGATGATGATGAAGTGCCGTTATATTACTCAGAACATTTCGTTACCTTGAGCGCGTCACTGACGTGTCCCAGCTGGTACAGCAGCGTGGCCAGTCGGTGGTAGCCGTCCGTGGAGTCCTGTTGGAGACGGTTCACGGACCTGATGTCCGACACCGCTGAGAACAGGTCGTTCTGGAACGACAACGACACACTAATATAACACATAGATCATGGATAGTGGTTCATCATCATGGATAGTGGTTGTTGTTGGAGTACAAGAAATATTGAATAATTAATAGACATTTAAATGAAACTAAAATGTAAAATTAATGTTTTAAGAACTATGTACATACTCCCGACGTTTCGGTAATACTTTCAGAAACCGTGACAACAGACAGACGAGATGATTGCTGCAAAGTAACCGAAACATAGAGAGTATGTATTAAATAATTAAAAACGCGTAGTAATCCGAAAAATATTACAGTAGAAACTCGATTATCCGGCCTTCAGTTATACGGATTCGCAATTATCCGGACTACGGACAAGTCCGGAAAGAAAGAATGTCTAAGCGTAAGAGAGTTGTGATGTTGAGAGTGGCGTACGTCAAATGAGAATTACCAAATATTTAAAGCAAATTGAACTTATTATTTTAATTCATGGCTTACCAAAAACATGTTGTAATTTATTTCATGATTAAATCTGCAGTTTTTAGTACATACAAGTAAGTATATGTATGTATATGTAATCTAAGAAAATGTATCCTTTAATTATTTATTAATAAACATTGATTAATTATCGTTGTTATGCATTTGTTACTTTTTTTAAATAAACTTATAATATTATGTACTACATACATATAAAACCCAATTTCTTCATACATTCGATTATCTGAATGCCTATCAACAACAATTAGTTCGCTTAATCGAGTTTCTACTGTAGTTTCATTTAAATTAATACTGGCGAAAGTCTTAGATCTCATGACGATTATTATTTATAGTAACCAACTCACAAGTGCTATATAGCATTCGGCTCTAAGTTGTCTCAGGTTAGCGGACCAAGGGGAAGCCTCTAGTAGGCGTGAGGCGAGTTCAGCGGCGGCGGCGAAGTCCCGCCCGCGGTAGTAGGCCTCCGCTAACTGGAGCTCCTCTGACAGACCATCCATACGATGATACAGAGAGACGGCCTCCTCATTGTAAGGTTCACTATACGTCTGAAACATAGATTATGTAGTTAGTGAATACTTTACTTGCAAATTGAAGGTTCTTACTTATATACCATATTTGCATTTATTTGGTAAATTAATAAAATTAATAAGATTTTTGTTATTATTAAATGACCAGAGCAATGTAACATAATATTATCTCTGAACATTAATAAAAGTTTTGTTTCTGATATGAAATCATAAAGATAAAGCATTGCATCATAAAGGTATGAGCAAGTGTTTACAACCTGGGCCTTATCAGTTTAATTTACAATAACATTCACACAACACCGCTCTCACCTACAAGTACACAAGTCACCTCACACTCTTCACATACATTATATATTCCAAATTTCATATGGGACAAGTCATGGGCTGAAACTAGTATTATAATATCTTGTTAATGTCAATACAAATGGTTTTTGTGGCGTTAGAGCCTAGCTGGGGCCAAGTACCTACATTTCAAAAGAGGGTTGGCTCAACCGGGGAAGTATAACTTTCTCACAAGATCAGTGTGAAGTAGAATTTAATGGCTGTATTTCGTCTGATGAGTGAGAGAGCAGTTTGACCTTCCCTTTTAACACCCTTTCCCACTTTTTAGGCCAATCAAGAGTGGCAACATATATAAAACATAGTTTTGGATATCCACGGTGACAGTACTACCTTCATCAGGTAGACCATCTGTTCAGTTGCCCTTTTTAGCATAAAAAATACAAGTATAAACTCACAACTTGTAGATAGTCTTCCTTGGCCTCCCTGTACTGAGCCAGCTTGAGGTACACATTAGCTCGGTGGAGGCGGGCGGCTGTGAAGTCAGCCTTCATCTCTAACACCTACAACAAACATACATAATATATTACAAGGTCTGACTGAGCCAATTTCAAACAATACTTCAACCACCCTCAAGTATACTTGCCTTACTAAAATCTTGTAAAGCAAACTTTGCTTTACCGAGTGCATAATATACAGTGCCTCTCTTAAAGTATGTGAGGTAGTTATGTGGATCACCCTCTGAAAATATATTATTATATCAATTAGAAGTAAAATTATTGAGTATTACATGTCATTTTAAAGACTGTATTGGAAAATGTTATAATTTTTTTTTACAGAATATAAAATAAGAAAAAAAAATAATAACTACCGATTTAAAAAATATATATATATATATTTTACAGTTAAATTATCTTGATAAATACGAATATATTCTAACTGGATCAGTCATTGGTTAGAAGGGTCAAGTGTGTGTTATTTCTTAGGATGTTTTAACTAAGTAGATGTCTGCGGTATATTATTGAGATGATAGCGAACGTTGCATCTTACGTGCCACTTACCAACAGCGGCGTGATAGTGTGTGAGTGCGTCAGACAGCTGACCTCGGGCCAGGAAGTCGCGGCCCAGCTCCAGGTGCTTGTTAACTTCCGCCTGGGTCGCACATTCTGAAACTACACCACACGATACATCTCCACCAGTCAGAAAACAAACCAAATTAATACATTCACCAAAATCGGCAACACTTACATTCTAGCAAAACTTCTAACACTAATAACACTAGGCATGGCGTGACTTTGTTCCAATTTGTGTTTAAAAACAAGTCCATCGTTATTTATTCATATATTTATTTTTACACTTAATAAAGAATTAAAGTTACTCAGTTCCAATTTAAAGTATAAACTAATTATTTGACAAAGCCACAATCCATCTTTCCTTCGTCTCTTTTCGTGGTCTGTTCTGATTGGTCCAAATCAGTTTATAATGAAGTATAATACAGATATAAAAATTAGCTGTCAAAATATAATAATTAATACCTAATATTATATAATTCAAGTCTAAATGTACTTCCTAATAACAACAAATAAGAACTGATATTATAAATTCTGATATTTATAACCCAAAAAACCTGTCATATATAAAAACATAACTTTTTTTTAAATTCTTCAAACACTGATTTTAGTGCAAGAAATATAATTATTGATTTTATGAAACAAATAGACTTTAAAACAATGGAATCAAATTTTGGAGACTAAACATCATAAACTAAGTCATACATTGTGTATGCAAACAAAAACAATTTAACATTATATCATTACACCAATGACACACCATCAAGGCTTCTGTATTTGAGTCTTTTTTAGTAATAAAGAAACAATAAAATGATACTTATACTAAATTGCATAGTGACTGCATCACAGTTATATCAAGACTTGCAGATGCATGTTATATAGCCAAACATTATCCTGTTTTAAGATATTAGTAATTATAATATATAGGCATGAATTATGTGGGTTACTCTTCATAGTTTGAATTTAAATTTAAAAAAAAAACTAATAACAAAAGACTCAATTGTGATTTTAACTACACACTTCATAATAAATAGTTAAAAATTGTGTATAATTTCAATAATATTTTTTTATTTTATAGCAAATACTAAAATATCAAAATAAATACTTTCATCTATCGACTAAACTCTTAGAGGATTTAAAAGTAAAATGTTCATATTATTATTTAACAATATTTCTTGGCATTAGCATTTTAAGTATTTTTTGACTTTGTAAACAAAAACATTTAAATTAATTTATTTAATATTTAATGATCATATTGACATAAAATATTATTGTATTTCTTGCTTTATTATTTTATTTTAAACATTTAAAATATTTTGGTGTAATTCTTACACACAAAAAAAATTATTAAATTACAATAGTATGTATTATGGCAACTCAGTCTTTCTTTCACTTCAACTGCAAAAGTAGTGTCCGGTTAGTTTTATAAAGTTTGATTTTTATAATTAAAATGGCTATTTTATCTAAAAATATATCTGTAACCACCTTCAATTTTAACAGTAGATTATATAATTTCATTCAAAAGTGGTGGATTAGTGATTTTGACGATGATAACTGGAGATTGTTTTTAGGCTGAGATGTCAACATAACCTCTTGACGGTTCGTGGTCTGTAGGATTAATTGTGTGGTGGTTTTAAGGAATGGCTGACGCAGCCCCATCGACTGCGCCTAAGGCGAAGGCGCCTAAGAGCAAGGCTCCCAAAGAGAAGGCCGAGAAAGCGGCCGCAGCAGCTCCCGCTGAACCCGCGAAGGCGATCCGCAAAGTATCGTCGAAGCCTCGCCACGGCCGACTGTACGCCAAGGCAGTGTTCACAGGCTACAGACGCGGTCTCCGCAACCAACACGAGAACACCGCTCTGTTGAAGGTAGGACTGCTCTGTTAGAGGTTATGTTTTAACAACAAAGTTGTGACAGTGTCGTATCTCTTAGTAGAGGTAGTCATGATAACATTGTTAATAATTTGTTAAGCAATATACTACTAATTTCTATTACAACTTGTATAATAGTAATAAGTTCATTGTTAGTAACTATACAAAATCTAATCGAGACATCAACACTCCTAGTCTCAGTCCTTGTCTTATAGAAATATATGTTTATCGTATTTAATTTTAATCCATGTGGGATGTGGGTTACAGATCGAAGGTGCTCGTAACCGCGACGACGCAGAGTTCTACGCGGGTAAGAAGTGCGTGTACGTGTACCGCGCTAAGAAGAGGACGGCCATCCCCGGAGGCCCGCGAGGCAAGAAGACTAAGCTGCGCGCCATCTGGGGCAAGGTGACCCGCTCACACGGCAACGGGGGCTCCGTACGAGCTCGCTTCAAGTCCAACCTCCCCGCACAGGCCATGGGACACAGGATACGAGTGGTCAGTAACACTTGATATACACAATACACTGAAAACTTTACCATTCATGTATACACAACAGACATACAGATAGTCTGTGAGTTAACTAAACTTCTAAATGATGTTTAAGACATTTGAAACCTGAACCTTCATGTGGATAACTTTTCTACTGATTGTATAACATTACAAGTGAAGCGAACATTCGTTTGAACTGTTGATTAAGTGAGGATTTGTTTTGTTTCAGATGTTGTATCCCTCAAGGATTTAAAACCTTCGTAATTTAAGACTAAATAAAACAAAAAGCCCAAAAAAGTTTTGTTTTATGTTACTGCTGCCCCTAAATAACTTACAAAAAGAAAAATTCTGGAGATTAGAAATTTGGATAGTTTTCTAAAGTATTGTTAAGGTAATAGAAAATTTTGTAATTAAAGTTAAAATACAAGTTAGTAATGTTTATTAAACAATATGGTGACTTATAGAAATGCAAATCAAAGAGTGTCAGGTGGTTTCCCTAGTCTTTATTTTCTTTTAAACTGGAACTATCTGATATTTGTTGAGATACTTAGTTATTTTAAACTATGAGTATCCCACTCATTGTATGAGTAAATTTAGTTTGAATGTGGTTTTGTATTAAATATAAAGACTTTATTTAACAATATATACAAATATAAATACACATGAGTTTTGTAATATTGCTGGTATCTCCAGTCTTTACATAATAATCTTTGGGCCAGTGTACAGTTGATGAAGGCTTCTTCATACACACCCTGACAATCAACGCCTTACAAAAAACAGTCTTAACTGATATTCAACCAAGTAATACCTTTCTGTTAGTCTTAGGAGATAAAACTATGTTCAATTCAGAACGTATGTATGTATCGTGCTGAGGAAGACTATTAATGAACCCAATATAATATGTACAATGATATACCTACTACTTAAGCCTTATACTTGACATCACATTATTTTTTAACAACACTGATGAAGTATAACTAATACAAAATTATCACCAAAGTAACTCAAGTCAGTCACATGAGGTTGAAGAGTGGCTGCACTGTCTGTAGAGGTGGTTCAAGATGAAGTTTGCTGTGAGATTTCCTACAATGACCTCATGTTATTTACTGATTCCAGTGCTTACTATTTACATTACCTTTATATATAGTACTAGTTTTTGCCCGTGACTTCGTCCGCGTTAGTTTGGTCAAGAGTAATATGTGTAGGTATAGCTGACCAGGCGAACTCTATTCCGTCTTAGAGGCCATAAATAATCAGGTTTTTCCTGTTTCTATCAAACAGAATGATTGACATATTAGTTAGTTGTCAAATCTAATGTCAAAAAAAACGTTTGTATGGGAAATAGAAAAGGGCTGTTTTAAGGTTTTCCCGGCAATTATTCCAATTTTTCTCACCTTTTAAACCTTTCCTGGACTTCCAGGAGTATTTCAAGACTAAAATTAGCCAAATCGGTTCAGCCGTTCTCGAGTTTTAGCGAGACTAAGGAACAGCAATCCATTTTTATATATATAGAAGATTATTTAATACTAGCTTTCCGCCCGCAGCTTCTCCCGCGTGGAGTTCCGTTATGTAGCGTTTCCAAGAGAAACTTTCAAAAATCTGGAATAAAAATTATCCTGTTTTTTCTCAAGGTCAACTCTATCTTTGTACCAAATTTCATTAAAATCAGTTCAGTGGTTTAGGCGTGAAAGTCTAACAGACAGACAGAGTTACTTTCGCATTTATAATACATATTAGTAGGGATTAAAGTTTTCCCGAAGTAACTTCATGACAGCTTTCCTCACAGTTTGTGTGAATATAAATATGTATTTACAACTCATTTACTGAGTCGAACAGGTTGTCGGTTACTGAGTGAGGGCGCCATCTAGTGTTACAGCGACGTAGCTTTTAACAATGTACATGACTGGCATCCGTTACGTGCCGAGAAGATACGAAAGATGATAATAATATATATGTATAATAATATATGAACATTTATAATTATATATTATTTTTATTATCTTATATAATATTTCGCTTTTTGTCAGAGTAATAATTCAGAACTAGTTTTAGCTTCTTTCTATTCATATTTTCTATGAGTTATGTTCTTAACTTCGACAAGTTCCTAAAATGTTTACGTTTGATGTTTATTTAAAATGAGTATTAAAAGACGGTTATTACATTTGAAAGGAGTTTATCACTATCAAAAGTTGTTGGAGTATCAATGTTAGAGTGTTCTCTGTCATGTTTGAAGTCAAAAGGTTCCAAGGAGTCAGGAGCGTCTTGTTCTACCGCGGATGATACTCGAAATGCACCCGGCACCTGCTGAATAAACATTAAATATAAAATGATTTAGGTCCGTTGAATTTTGTTGAAAATACTGTTGCTAATTAATAATCACAGAAATATTGTTACAAGTGGCGCCATCTGTGTCGCACTAATTATAACATACTGTAATCCTTAGAATTCTTTTTAGAACTGAGTATAATTAATGTTGGCAACATTTAAGTATTAGCTGGTACATATTTGAATTTAGAGAATTATAAATATTTTGTTAGGACTACTGGAAGTAACACCGAACGTTAATTATATATTCATTGAAACCCTACGGCATGAAAATGCTACTGCTTATTCTATTTAATATTACATGTACTTACTTTGTTCAACTATTAGTTTGTAATACTTATCGTTCCTATTACTGTTTTAGTCGCGTCTTGAATCCGATGTTATACATTTTTTATTCCGAGTCCTTTTAATGACGAGGGTTGTACGTGTTTTCAGTCCAGTGGTCTCCGTCAGTAACAAACCCTGCTCAATCATCATATAGTCTTGGAAGGAATCAGTTCCCTGATTTATCCGACTGAACAGAACATTACCTTAATCTTATAAGCTAATATTTTTGTTCCCTCATGAAGGACACTTGATTATTTTACTAGTTAACAACGGATTTCATTCGAGTCATATCTTCACTTACTAACTTATACGTTACCTATTACATGCGGTGTGAGAGACAATCTATATTTCCTAATAATAGCAGCTCATCGTGTCTGTTCAACAAGGTAAATCGTGTTTTCTTTGTATTGTATTGTAAAGCACATGATATCTACGTGTATACTATTTTAAATGCTCGCGCGGTCCTCCCTTCGTGCCTGCAATATCTAAGATCATGTTTTTTGTCCGCTCATTTGAATAGTGTCTAAGGTTTTTGTATGAAGGCATTCTTTATTTCGGTGTTACGAACCGGAACAGGTAAATGCCTGACTAACTTCCTCACTAACATCGCGCCGCTCGAACATGGCTGTAATGATTAGTGTAAGGCGACCACACTACTGACTACATACGTAACGTTAACAGTTCGCACACTAGAATATTGAAGTTTGATTATTTAATGAGAAACGGGGAACGCTTCGTAGGTAGTGTGAGGATGGAAACTTGGAATAACCATTCATAAGTATTGCGTTGTTATCTGTAGAACAATAAATGAACAATGTCTCCGGCGTCTGTATGAACGTGACTAGACAAAGCCGCTCAGATTAAACGCACGTCCTCATTTCAATAATGAATACAGTGTGTACTTGTCACGTGTTCTATAAACATGCCCCGTGTCACACGGGACACCGGCGGGACGGACACGGGACACGGGACATGCAGATACAATTGTATTAAACGTAATAAAGACTTCACATACGTTTATAAAAGTGTAGATATTTATCTATTTTCCACCATCAAGGAATTAATGAATAAATTTTAAAATGAAATTTGATTAAGAACTGTCCAAAGTCGAACAGATTGTACTGAAATTTGAACATATTTCTTTAAAAAAATGCTAACTTTATAAATATAGAAAGAATTCGGGACTAAATTATAATGTTTACGTAATTACAAAATTTAAAACATTGCTCCTCATTACTACAGTTTAATGGTAACCCTGTTTGTTATATGTGATGTTAAAACTAACTTGCATGAATCAATATTCAATACAGTGTATTGATTCATGCAAATACCGGCCTGGGTATCGGGAGACTGATTCTGTCCATTTATTTAGGCATCATATACATATATATATATGTAAACGTTTGTTCGATTGTTTGTTGTAGTCGTGTACCGCTCACTGCACTCCGAGGCTCGTCTTAATCTTCTTTAATCTGCTCTGACCGCCATCAAACAGATACACGTCTCTTGTCTACACTTGATGCGTTCTGTATGTTTAGTATAATACTGTACATTCCCCGGACGATAATTCTACCTTCTCTATATACCCATTGAATATTGGAAGTGTTTTTTTATGTTAGGGTCATGCTATCATCGTTGAATTGCTGTGTCAACGTTATAGACCGATCCCTTGCTTTCCTTTCATAAAATTTCTAATATCAGACTTGTTTTTATTCATAAGAATATAAAAATGAATGTAACTTGTTTCTGATAGTGATAGAACTAATTATAATAAATACTTCTACTAATTATAATCTCATTTGCATTATATATACTGCAATCTATTATTATTTATGTATGAACCAACGTCAAACGCATTTCACAATGAAGATGGTGTTTGTGTATTAAAGTTGCAGTTACATTTCTCGTAACACACAACTTATATAGAGTTATACGTCTCTGTGTTCCAAGACCTTATAAAATTATAATATTCGTCAATGCTTTTCGGCATCTACAATGAAGTACTTAAATGCACTATAGACATCGAATAAAAAGTTTATTAAAAACAACGTGGTAATAGTTTTTGTATGTAATCAAATTAAAGATAATTTTCATTGTAACAATAAATTTTATGCACGCGGCGAGTAGCTCAGACTACACTGCATTTAAATTTCCCTAATTAACTTCAACATGAGGCGATTACCATAAATGTATAAAATGTAGTGTCACGTTTGTATCAGCGTGATGATAGAGCACGTGGCCGGCGCGGTGCATGGAGAACGGACAGGTACCTATAAAAAGTAAAATTACTTAATGTATGGACTAGCTGATGATGACATTATAATAGATGTTTACTGTTGGATACTATCAAGTATGGATCCGCTGTTACTATGTTCGAGTGAATATAATACACTTAGGTTACAAGACAGTTTCATGTTAAATAATAAATTATTTGATGGTCTACCTCCTAGCAAGTTGTCATTGTCGCCCTCTGGACATCTTAAAAGAATTGATGTCCTACGTTAGGAAGTCAATTTTAGCTGTTTCGATATCACGATGATTCGACTATTTCAAATAAATCCTTCCAGGATTCAAGATGTTTCAGTCCCTAAAGTGTAGATA